TGGCCGGCCCGCATACAGGACTGGAATAGCTGCCTGACCGGTTCCGAGATGACATCCCAGCATGCCTGGAGGAGGCGTGTTGTGATGCCGTCCACACCAGGGGTCGTTGTCTTTGTTAAGGTGGCCGTCTTCACTTCTTCTCCGCTAACATTGTCCTGCCAAGTAATCGCTCGCCTCGGGACGACGGGTACGTCAAACGGGTCACCCGGTGCGTCATCTTCCGCACTAAACCTGTCGAGAAGGGCTCCCCGAAGCGCTTGAGCCTTTTCGTTAGTATCCTCGATCGTCTGGTTGTCCACAACCAATGGGGGTGCTCTGGTCAGTAGGCTCGCCTTCCGCCAACCCATGATCTGGTACAGGTCCCGGTCTGAAGCGACTCCATCGATCTTCCGGCCCAGTATGCTCGCTTAGCCTTCCTCACCGTGCTCAGGAACGCCTTTCGTTTCTCCATTAGATAAAGGTGCGCATCTTGCTCCGTCTCCCAGGCTTGTTGGTTGCGGGCAGCACGGTATGCTCTGTGGGCCTCTGCGCATTCCTCCGTCCACCAAGCCGCGCCTTTACCATGTTTTCCTCTCTTCTTGCCGACCGCCTCAATGGCTCGGGAGAAGAGCTCGACGATGTGACTTGCCTGCCCGTCCAGGTCTTCCGGAGTAGGTTGATCCCCCAGATTGGGCATCGCAGCTAGCCCCCCTTCGATCAGGTCTCTCAGCCGAGGCAGCGCCGAGTCGGGCACTGACAGTGGCCGTGGCTGCGGGTGGCCCTCTCCCTGTGACACTGGGCGTTTGAGTAGTGGTATGACGGCCACGATGGCCTCGTGGTCAGCTCCCGGGTGTAGCTGTGGCTGACCTGCGCGTGCGCAAAAGGGATATTAGAGAAAGCCAGGTCCAGGACATGTCCGCAATCCTGGGTTGCCACCCCAACTTCGCTGATAAGAGAGAGATTGTGGCCGTCTGCCCAGCCTGCGATGTCATCTCCCCGGTTCCCGTTCCTCGTCCCGGGCTCCAAGAGTAGTGATGCGCGTTGAAGTCACCCGCGATCAAAGCTCGCTCCGGGGGTTTGAGTTCTAGCAGTATCCCTGTTGTGCGGCTGTGGGGTCGCGGGGTTGTCTGTACACGTTGACGATAGTCGTCGTTTTGTCGACCACCAGCCACAGTACGTCTCTCGTGTGGACAGGCCTCTGCTGCTCCACCGTCATCCCTATCCCTTTGCGTGTGTAGGTCAATACTCTTGGTCTGGTTCCTTCGCTGTCCCAGAAGTCGACCGGGACGAAAGAGTCGAAACCCGGGTGCGTGTTCAGTTGCACGTTTCCGTCCTTCCAGCCCGTCCAGGGTTCCTGGACGAGGACCACATCTATCTGAGCCTCCCAGCAGAGCTGCAGGAAAGCCGTGTGCGCCGGGGAGATCTTTCCGACGTTGCCCTGCGCAACGCGTAGCATCCGTGGGGTCGCCGCTCTCGGCTTACGTCTCCGAGTCGAGTTCGAGGTGGGTGTAGGCATTCGCGACGTTGTAGTTTGGCTTCTGTGCTGCCCGTTGGCTCCTGCTTGGCATGGGTAGCACGGGACGGTCGATGGAGGTGTTGTCGGGGGAGTCTTCGCCTTCGCCTTCGTCCGCCTCGTCTTCATCCATGCTGCTGCTGTCAGTGCTTCCGTCACCGAGGCAAACGATCGAGCTTGCGGAGGGCGTTCTCGTGCGCGCGCGCTTGGCGCCGGGTTGCTGGTTCTGGCTGGTGGAGGTAGGGACGCCTGCCGCCTCCTGGCTACTGTCGGATCGAGTAGCCTTGTACAGAGTGTCCGATGCTTTCTGGCCGGCCTTCCGGATCCGAGCCCGCTCCTTTCGACCGGGAAGGGAGACGACGCCGTTTACGGCCGAGGGCCTCGCTGGGCAGTCTGTGTGGCTGGCTTGGAAGGGGCCGCAGCAGTTGGCACATTGGGGCCTGGCCATGCAGGGTCCCGTTTCGTGTGAATCGGAAGGTCTTCCGCAGTTGCTGCAGATCGGTCGTCGTCCGCAGAACCGGTTGGAGTGGTAGCCCTGGCAGCCGGGGTCGTGTCGGATGAGCGTCCTTCGTTTCTTGACGGGCAGAGATCTGCCGCTTTGGTTGAAGAGCCTGAAGGGCGTGACCTCTGATGTGAATGATATGAGCCAAGATATTTCGTTCGTGACTGGGTTGGGCCCAAGGCGGGACGGTCGAGCAAGGACAGGCTTCTGTCCTGTCTGTGCGAAGACCTCATCTTCAACGAGTGTGGCTGGGTCCAGGACGTCCCCGCCAATGCTGTGTAGTTTTGTTGGGCATCGCGGCACAACGTAAGTGTACCACTTGATAGGCGTCTCGACCTGGTGGGCGCCGAGGCATTCCGCCAGCTTTGCCTTACTTGCAAGTAGTCTTTCCTGTATTTGCTTGTTTCGCGGCTTCAGAGAGTAACCTGTGCTGATATGGTAGACGTGGGGAAGGTCCGCTAGCCCCAGGCCAACGGCCTTACAGACGATCTGTCGTACGGCGAACGGTGCGATCTTCCGAGCGGCCGCTAAGCTTTCTTCCGGGACGCGGGCAAAGATGCGGAGGTCCTCCTTCGGCTGCGCCTGCGGCTGATCCTCGGCGGGGAGTGTGGCCTTCGGGCGGGCAGAGCTCTGGCAGCTCTGGCCGCTCCGGGTCGCCGCAGTGGTGTTGCCCGCCATCGGTGCGACGACAGCCGCCCAACTCCGGGCCGCTATTGGGCTTGTCTCGTGATTGATCAGTCTCTTGAGGGTTTGAATGACATAGGCAGTGGCTTCTTTCGCGATCTGCTTTCTAGAACCGTCAAAGCTGGCGACAACGCTGTCGACGGACCGTGCAATGGTCAGAAAGACGTCTTTCCGTGCCTCGTACTGTCTAGCTTCTTCTGCAAGGGCTGTCAAGACGGACCCTGTGGCAGATCCGCTCGGAGCAGATGCGGTAGAGGCTGCGGGCCCCTCGGCCGAGGTAGGGGCGTCGGTGGTGGCATCAAGCTGGCTTCCCGTTAGGCTGGGCCGGGTCGGCTGTGCCTCGGCGTCGCGGCGTCGCTTAGCTCTTGAGGTGGGGTTCGGCTCCGGAGGTGTCCCGGAGCCTGGTTCGGGGTCGGCTTGGTCGGCCGACATCAGTCCGGTGCCCGACGGCGGCTGTGAGGCCATCGCGGATGCGGGCTCCGGCAAGGGGAGGTGAAGAGTTTTCGGCTGTTAGTAATTTGGTGGTAGGCTCACTCATTCACTAACAGCAGATGCCAAGAAAAATTAGGCGAGAGGGAAGTTGTCATTTCTACTCAAGATGCCTATCCTTAAGACCGCCTCCCGATCAATAACATCCGGGTTGGAAAGGGTTCATATGGAGTAACCTTTCCATAAAGTGAGGGCGGCTGGTGGTATTTATAGAGAGCGAAGCCAACATTACACATACGAGACAGTCGGGCTATAGGAAAACGGAATTCAAGGGGTTCCAAAAGTGCTGGCTGTGGTCGCATGGACACTTTTTACTATCATGTCACCACAACAGGGCTTGTTTAAATATTCCTAGGGATTATCCAGCTTCAAATAATCATTCTGAACAAATTACTTTCAAGGCTTATGCATGGAATGGGCGCTGGAGAATGGGACCTCGTTGGTAGTGCGACCAGAGAATGATTTGGGATAAGCCGCAATGACAGAGCAATATGTCCTTCCCCTCGTTGCAACCCAAGTTAGCAGACATTTTGCGAGTGTTAATTCCATCCTAGTAAAACACCATGATACGCTATTGATTCATGTCTCTGCTTGATTGAACCCCTGTTTATCTTGAGCCGTAGACTTCACCTTGGGTAGTGGTAATCTTCCCCTCCGCCTCACGATAGTGTGGCTTGAACGGGGACATATTTGCTGCATATTCATCCTATCACCCTTCGATCATGAATCTATCTCAACCCAGTCCTTTCCTTACCCTTTAGGTTTTTACCACAAGAGTAAGGCCTCGAGCAAAGAGCGGGGGCACAACTTCACATTCACTGTCTGCTAACAAAATTCCGACGCAAATTCTTCCGTCCCCCAGGCCCCAAGTGCCCAAAAACTCTTCTTCCTCTTTTCCTTTCCTCTTCTTTTTCTCCAGCTTTCCTCACCAATTCAATCACCGTCACCACCAACTTCTCCTTCTTATTTCCCCTCTTCGGCTACTTACTACTGCATACGTGATACCCTGAGCCGGTCTCAACCTTATTCTTATTTTCGACAATTGGGTCAGGTACCTTTTTGTTCCTCGCTATCCTCAGCCGTACGCGCCACCAGCTTCCCGTCCGTCCACGTCCCTTTCCGACACCATGTAAGATACTTCCATCGGAGATAGGAACGAGCGATGCTAACACTCACTCACAGAATCCTATTCAAACTTCTCCGAAAGTCTGGTAACTTTCGGACCTCCACGGCCAGACCCTTAATTTCTCTCACCCTCAACAACTCTCTGCGCCAGGATTTCTATCCACAAAGCCATCAACACGACCTTCTGGCCTTCTAAGTCGTTAAAAGAAGACACTTCTCCCTCCCAAGGGTTCGTTTCCTCCTGCTCGGACATCTACCACTCAGGAAATCAGTAATTCTCACACTGCATCTTGCTACTCTACAGGGCCCAGGAATTTCATCACAACCAACCAACCAACCTCTTCTCTTTAATCTCTACATTCCCCTTCATCTATACTCACGATGCCTATCCTCAAACCTGCCCCTCGTTACGCCAATATTCGGATTGAGCGCGTGCCGACTGAGAAGAAGGTCCTCAAGCCCGCTCCTTCTGGGGTGAAGAAGCGCAAGATCGTCGCAAAGTCGTCCCCTTCTGCCGGCAAGAGCAAGACGTCGGCCAAGCCTGCCGACAAGGTCGCCAACAAGACCTCGGATAAGAAGAAGGCCGAGCCCAAGACCAAGGGCGATCCCGAGCCCAAGTCCAAGCCCAAGGGCAAAGGCAAGGCCATGGCAACCGACAAGGCCTCTGGTGATCCTGCCACTATTCCCACCAGTATGAAGAGCAGCAACAGGGTCACCAAGCGTATCAAGAAGAGAAAGGAGCTTCCCAAGGGCCTTGCAGCCATCGGCAGTTTTGGCTCCGCGGCAGCAACCCACCGTTCTCAGCTGGGGGCGAAGACCAACATCCGCCTCCTTCCTTCGGCACTCCCTCTGCCAGCTAGGAAGGAAGTAAAGGCTGGAGCGGTCGGAGCCAAGGCCGCCGCGGAGCCCAAAAATACGGAGAAGAAGGTCAACATGGCCACCACTGGCCTTACAACCCCTTCACCCACGCCTAGCCGTGGCTCGAGTCGCAGCAGGAAGTACGAGTGAGAAGACCCCGGCCCGGGCATAAAATGCCAAAATGGTCGAGATTGGTCAGGAATTATTAGCTACGAAGGCATTATTAGGAGTTTTGGCGTTTTGTTGAGAGAGCATGGCTGGTTCCATGGCTCCATTAAATTGATTACTGTTTTCGCGCTCAATAGTTTATCTCACTTTGTGCTTGTGATCTATTGTCCCATCTCACTCGATATCTCGGGGTGTAAACCTTGGCTACGGTACGGAGTATCTCATAGCGAAAGAGACAGGGCGATCCAGGTGGGCGGCCAGCAGCGAAGTGCCTCATGGCTTCAATCGTATTGATTCATCTCGAACAAGTGTGGTGGTATTGGTCATTGACCAAAAGCGCACCCAGGCTTGCCTCCCGCTTAAAGGTATCATTTCCATAACATGTCCGTTACATGATCAAACGCCGTAAAAGTGCCATCTACCAACTCCTATCGTCCTTTTTTCCGTCCCAGATCTCACGTAGTAGTACAATTGAGGTCCTTCATGTGAGTCAGACCTCCATTTCACCCTCTTCAATCATCCGTCCTAGAATCAAACTCTGTATGACAAGCTCATTGCTCAAAGTCCTGATTCTCTTTGGCGGCCGAGGAGCGTCATCCGTCGCCGGCGCAGCCCTCTTTCGCTTCTTGGACGCCTTCGAAGGCTTCGACGCTGGAGCAACAGTGCTGAATAATCCCTCCTCTGATCCGGTATGCTCGTCAACATAGACCCAGTCGAATGGGTCTTCGAGTAGTTCTCGCTGCCTGAGTGTATCTTTTGCTTCGTCGACACTGTATGCCCTTGAAAGTGTGGCACCTAAGACGTGGGCCAAGAACACGTACGGCATCTTCTTCTCCTCGGCCCTCGACTTCTTCATCACAAGAAGAATTTTACTGCCTTCTAACATCTTTGGTCTTCGTTCCACGACATCGGAAAGTCGGGCTTCGGAGGCTGGGTAGGGCGCGAGGTATCGCGATCGGATAGCATCACGGAGGAAGGTGGATTGACCAGCGCAGAGCAGATAGGGGAGCCAATCGACCACAGCACCTTTTGACACGCAAGTAGCAATCCAACGATCTGAAATGCACGGTAACCCAAGTGCGAGGGCCTGCATGAACTTGACTTTGCGGGAGTGTCCATCAGCGATCAAGGCAGTGAAACCAATGGTCTGCGCAAATGGGGTCAGCATCAGTGGATTCTCATCCCTCATTTCTGAAGCTGGGCTAGTTGCCGTGCTTCCGAGAGCGTTGGGCTCGAAGAGCTCGTCAAAGCCATTGCTCAACAATAAGCCTCCGCATTGTAGAATCGTTTTCTCCATCTCGCGGCTTTGGCTCATTCGTTGTTCGAAATGATCCGCTCTTTCGCCGTCCTTTTTCGATTGAAAAGATATCGCGAACGCCATGCCGGCAAAAATAGGAGGTTTGCTAGCGTTGTCCTTCGAAGTGTGAGAGAGCATAGATAGGCGGCTACCCCGAGCGGTAGTCTTTGGAGCTTGTATGATACTTTTCTCGAATCCGTTGACGGAAGGTGATCTATGCAGCTCATCTGTCGATGCGGAATCAAGGCGAGTAGCCCTCCGGAGCTTCCGAGTACCTTGCTTGGTGACCCTCGATCCGGTGGCGAGCTTAGGCAAGGCCTTGGTAGGCTGACGTCCACGTCTGGACTTATCTGGTGAGAGAGGTGGCAGTTCCACTGATTCTTGTGATGCAGTTGGGCTCTTGCAGGATGGAACTGGTGTGGTTGTAAGCACGCTGAGTGTTGATGTTGTTGAGCCAGGAGCAGTTGGAGGTGCAGGGTTAGCGTGAACGTCGGGTGTCGCCGGACCCTGCTCGGCAAGACTGTCCTTGGAGACCGTGTCTGAAGGTCCAAGACTCTTCACAACCTTTGGTAGCGGCGGCGAAGATGGCATAGGCGGTTCTCCGTTCGCTATCGAATTTGTCACTTCGGGGGTCACATCCGTCGGTGGAGCTGTTGCCTTGTCGACCACAGTAGCAATGTTTTCCTGCGAGGCCCGGCTTACATCTGGCTCGTCTTTTGTAGGCGGCACGGCCTCGTTGGTTCCGGCCGCATCTGAGGACACAGCGGCACTATCAGTACCCTTGAGGATCTGCGCTTTGAGTGTCGGCTTGGATTTGCGGCTCGACCTGCGAGAGGGCTGAGGGAGGGAGGGCTCGGGAGTCTCGGGCAAAAGCTCGACCTCTGGCCCAATGCTCCTTGGCTCGGTCACCGGGGCGTCTGGCTCCTCAGCCGGTGGTGACTTCTTGATTTCCACTGATACGTCTGGCGGGATATGGTTCCTCCCCTCTGGCCGGGACTGGGTGTTATTGGGACTGGTTTCTGGTATGAGGTCCTTGGGCCGAGATCCGTTGCCTGAACTCTCCGTGCCAGGTATCACGCCATTTGAGCCAGATTTCTGTGTTGCTCCGGCGCTGTCGGGCACCGCATCGTTACTCGAGACAAGGCCAAGTTTCGCGGCGTTTCCTGCTTCCACAGCCTCGGGCGACTTTCTGGCATGAGTCTGCTGATCGGTTGCGTGACCTTGGGAATCGGCCACTGTGAACCCGTCGATCTCATCTTCAGATGCAGTCGAGTCATCATCAACACGTCGAGCACGGTATCGCATCCTCCTCGGGGGAGGTTTCCTGGGCTTTCTTGTCGTTGATGGCACCTCCACAGACCCATTGGAGCTTACCCGCTGCACAGGAATAGTCGTTAGATCCCTGGCAGCCGCCTTCTTTTTCAATGCAGCACGTTTCCTCCGCTGCACTTCCGCGGCCACGTCATCGGATTCTTCTCCCGAGAGCTCGGCCTCGAACTCAGCACTCTTTCTTTTTCTCTCTTGAGATTCCAGCATGTTCTCATAAGTGTCGATCGGTTCGGGTAGGCCTCGCGTGTTGGCCGTGGGTATTTGCGGGGACTCCGGTATCGTGCCATCTTCGAGAGGCCCTGAGTCGCTCGGGCTATGTTGGAGGTCGAGAGGCGCCGGATCTCCTATTCGCAAAACTTGAGGACTCGAGGAAAGCAGATCAGGTGGTGATGTGATGTTGTACCGGTTCTTGAGAGGTGACGTCTCGGCTGTGTTAGGGGAGATGGAGTTGTGGGCGTAGACATGCGGCGATGGTCTCGAAGAGGTAGGGCTGAAATGCTTGACGGCTGATGAGAACTGTGTCTGGCCGAAAAGTTGGGATCCTGCCAGAGCAGGATCACCTAGTTTCTTCCCAGCAAAAGGGTTATGGCGTTGCGCTGGAGTCTGTGGCGGAGGGGCAGTCGGTAACAGAGGGGATTGGCCGTCAGTACGCTGGACAGAGGATTGTTGTTGAGAACTGGAAGTGCGATTCCGCCAAGCTCCACGGGTATGTATAGGTGCGGCATGATCGGGAAAGGATGAAGGCTCTTCGTCGCCCTGAGTGTCGCCCTGAATCAGGTGGTCCAGGTTGCCAAAGTCGACAACGGCCGAATCTTCCTCGTGGATCGCGTGCTGCTCGGCGCTATGTTCTGGCGAGATCGGACTTGTTTCTACGAATGAAGGCCCTTCATAGTAGTTCTCGTAATCCCTATTGTCGTTATCTTGAGTGGGGGACTGCTGCGAGACGTCCATCTTGACTTTCGTGGAGAGCGCGCGGCGCGAGGCTCCAAGGAGGGCATTGACTTTCCTCGCGGGTTTGTCGGCAGTGCATGGTGCGGGGGCTACGTCAGGTATCGTGTTTATCGGGTCGCCGTCGACATTAGGCACTGTACTTGCCGCGAGGAAGTTCGAATTATTCCCGTTGTTGAGTTTCGTCGAGGGTAGGCTCGCAGGAATTGTGTCGGAATCTGGGCCGCAATCTGGGCCTACGACATCCGTACCGACAGCGGCAACAGACAACGCGGGTACCGGAGTTTCGTGATCGAGGTCGTGCTGGGGTAGCTATTCTGGTCAGTGCCATCCCAGCTCTATGTGAGACATCCTTGTTGAGTCAGTGGGGGCGTGACAAACCGCGTTTTCGGTACTCGTCGCCAGCGGAGCAGTGCTAGGGAATGAAAGAGCAATTGGCTGGTGTTCGCTTTGGCCCAGAGGATCAGAATGACGTGAAAGGAGACTGTCGCGATGCCTTTTGCTGCTTCTCGAAGCATGTCGCGACGCGGCGGACGATGCTCTTGGGGGCGAGCTGCTTGTCTGTGGTGGTGCCCAAAATAGTTAGCGCAAGGTCGCAGCAAGGCCTGTGTCGTCGCAGTGCTAAATTGTCGCAATCAATCCAGTCCAATCCAATCCATTGCCAGCAGCAGAGCCACCAAACATGCCCAGGGCAGGCAGAAAATACGCCTCCACTTGGAGGGAAACGCCACCCAAGAAAAAGCAATTATGGCCCTACATACCACGCCGATCCCGTATTCTGCCACATATCGGTCGAAAATGGCTTGGCTGTCTTGCGATTCGTTATTGCCCTCGATGGCCTTCTTCTCTGCCGCTTGAAGGGTTTTGGACCGCGGCATCGTGACCTCTCATTGTCGCACCGGCTTTGACTTGATGAACAGCAGTGTGAATGACGCGACAACCAGGGAATCAAAGAAAGGTGGGGGAGGAAAAAGAGGGCAGGGGTCGAGGACACGCGAGCGGATCAAACACGAGACCAACACGGTGCCACGTGATGCCCTACATTATGTCAGCGCAGTCCACTATGTAAGCTGGTGACTGCACAGACCATCTAGCTCCTGCCTTCGTGTCTTCCCGCGCTTGCTTCGGATAGGTACACTTTGTTGTCAAGGAAAGAGCTTCTCAAGATACCTGGGTCTGAAGAGAAGATAAGAACAAGCTCAAGTAATGCTTGCACTCTTTAAGAATCAACAGGTTTTTCCTACTGGAAAGTAAACTCAAAGACAGGTGTCATGTACAAAGAAGCCTGGTTTCTGGGGGTTTTTGTGTCTACCGGTGGGGTCCTTGTTAGCTGCACTGGGGGGCTCTTCAGGATGCAACAGATAACAGAACGGCTTTGTCTCAACTTGACCACAAAGCTCTTAATTCAAGGGTTGGCAAAGCATCAACTAGCAAGTATTAAGAACCATGATACGGACAGACCATTGTACTCGTCATGCGGCCCAATGTATAGACACGGTACCTCTTCCACGATATGGACGAAATTTCAACGATTCAATGGGTGGTTCCCTAACAACCTCAACTGAGATCATCTCCCTGCTCCATTGATCAATTTGTCCAGCTGCTAATCTCTTAACTGCAGGATGAGTCTCACTCGCAATTCGTCTTGTGATCTTCTTGACCGCTGCTGGCCGGCCTCTCGCAAATGTAATCAAGGGCTCTTGTTTCTCATGACACATCATGTACCCAGTAACCTCGTGGGAGAAAAAGGCTCGACTTATTTCTATTTGGGAAACATGGAATTCATTGCTGATCGCAGCAAAACTGACAAGGTTGCGGCTGGGCAAGCCAGGTTTTTACTTGTTGGACTGACATCCAAGGCCCAACAACGATAGATGCGATCATGACGAGGTATGGTCACAGGGTGGTAGATAACCTCAAATCCCCAACTGTTGCTCTGACAGCGCCATTCATGGTTTTTTTTTATGGCAAAAGATATGTGCGTGGAGCATGCTCCCAGTTATGAAATAGATACAGGGGAAAATGAGAGGCACAACGTGCCCATGAACTATGCCGCTTCGCTTGAATCATTCGTTTTCGTCATTTCAAGGGTTGTAACTCAATACCTCGAGGTTTCGGACTTGGTATTCCGTGTCTGTGTTGGGGTTGTCAGCGGTTTGAGTTTAGGATAAATTGACGAAGAAAGCTTACTGCTCGTTGGGCCGGGCGAACCGGAGGAACCCTCCATTTGCAAGTTGATGATCCTGTATCCCCTCGTGTCAGTAATCTGATAAACTTCACGCTTAGAAGCCAAGCTTTTACTCACAGATACATAGGCTTCCCAAAATACCCGGCGCCGACCTGCGTTGTGATGAGGTTGCCATCCATGTAGAACTTGGCCTGCACGTCCTTGCCATTGAGATCCCTCGTCTCACACTTGAACGAGTGGAAGTTGCCCGGGCTGGGGTACGTGACATCCTTCGCGGCGACAATGGAGCTGGTGTTGAACGTGTTGAAGCTGACCTTGCCGCTACCCTTCCACTCTGCCATGTCGATTTCTGGCGGCCATCCCTGGACGGCCGTGAGCCAGAAGGCGGGCCACGTACCCTTAGTCGTCGTCGCCTTAATCTCAGCACTGAAGTCGTACCCGCCTCCGCGTGAGACGTTGAAGTGCTCCTTTGCGTGGATCGCACCGCTGAGGTAGTTGATGTTGATCTTTTGCCCGCCGTGGGTTGCCTGCGGCTGTCCGCTGACCTTGTTCGCCGTGATGGTCAGCGTGCCGCCGCTGAACTTGACGTTGTCCTTTGTCATGCGCGCGCCACCGTTGTGGTCGGTGCCCCAGGGGTAGAGGTAGTTCCAGTCGGCGTCGAAGTTGGACTGGGAGTCGAAGCTCGTCTTGGGGATGATGGTGCGGACGGCTCCGACGGGGAGCACGTCTGCCACCAGCAGCGCGCTACTGAGGAGGAGGGTGGCTTGGTTGAACCAGACCATCTTTGTAGAAGAGATTGGTAACTTGTTCGCACTTGAGATGGGCGATGAGGCTCCGAGTGCGAGACCAGATGAACAGGCGGGAAACGGGCTTGGTCAAATACCTCTTCAACCAAGCTTCAAATTGATGGCAGTCGGCTGATGTCTAAAGCTAGCTCGGCTTCACATTCCCTGTCAATGCCCCGCCAAACCCTCGAGATAGATGAACTGACCTCCACACCGTCAGTTTTTCCACCCACTGCCAGGGACTGGAAACATCGCTTTTGGAAAGAGGCGAAACACTCCGACGCAGGGGCCCCCCATGACATGACGATCCGAGTTCCGCTAAACTAAGACGGCTGTCACGGCGAACGACATATTGGAGAGCTTTCTCGTCCTGAAAGGGGTTACGGAGTATTCTGTGAGAAATTCCAGGACAAATACGAACTGTCTAGGGTCAACTCAAGCCGGGGCGAGAATAGTCGTCGTCCGAACTTACTGGCACATCAGGCCGAAGGTTGCAACTAACCCCCGCAACCATGCATTGCGACGTCGTATCGCGAATGATTGTCGACACTTGTCTATTTGGCGGTAAAGCCAGACTGGATTTTGCACCAGTCGCCGTTGACAAAGGATATAAAATCACCGGTTAAGCTTCTTGAGGTTCCCTTGGGATGCGCCGGCTGTGCCTGTGATCGACATGTCAGCTCGGGTGACCGCTCAACTGGCGGCCGGACGATCCTGCGCCCTTCCGACACGAGCGTACCGACAATTCGCCCGAGATCTGCATGATTGAATGTGATTGAGCGGCTTCCAGAATATCATAAGTTCGCCAATATGACTTTGGATGGTGTTGTCAAATGTTCGCGGTAGACGAGCCAACAGGAGAAGGTTGTTTCAAGCAAATTGTATGGGGTTTGAGTTGAGACGACTCCACTCATCTAAGCGAGCCCAGGCTTTCGGCGGCAAAGACTATCACTCAACACAAACTTAGCGGACAGCAATAATTTGACATCAACTTTTCATCCCTTCCGCTTTCATGATTTCAACACGAGCCTGAAGAGACCGCCATGAAGATACTTTCGCTTGGTTGTCTGTTATTGTATACACTGCCTCCCGCTTGACATCCGGTGCAAGAGCTTGCTCAAACAGTCAATGTTTTCACTAGTCAAGTCTAGCATCCAGATGCTGGGTCAGTTTTAGTGGTCAGAGAATTGGATGAGACTCCGCCAACACGAATCTTGCAATGAATTCGACCACGAATGCGACTCGAACTCTTGAAAGGAAAGTTGTTAATGAACACTCGCACTCCCAAACTTTGATGCCTATTTGCTCGAAGAGCAACGTTGTTCCAAAAAAAATTAAAATTGAAAGAAAAAAAGCCTCAATCACAACAGGATTTATTTCGTGACATCAATACTCTGCAACCCTTTACAAAATAGTAACATCTCCCTCCCATGCATGCCTAATGGCATCTCCCTCGCGACCAAGTTGTACTTGCTGATACGCAAGACCCAGTCTCTCATATTTGCTTGTACCCGCTGGCGATCTTCCCAAAACAAGAAACGTCATCTCCACAAGCTTCCCCTCAGTGACAAACCAGTCTCCAAGATGGAGCAACATGACTGGCGACTCTGAACCAGCCATTTCAGTCTCAGAACAAGCTGGCGATCGACGAACCGATGCGTCTTCACCTTTTGTTATATCATCCACACCCAACTGAAACCTCTCCAAACGCGCATCGGGATGGAAATCAACCGATTCTCCGTTGTTTTTGATTCCATACGACCTGAATCTGCCGCGGCGTGTGGCGACTACTTCAAGAGTCGCCTGGCCGACCCGACCACGCAAAGTAACATGAGCAGTCTTCACATTCCCTAGAGGGTTATTGACGCCTGTAGTCGTGCTGGCATCGATAACAACCGCTTGGGGGGCCCATTGGTTTGCCTGGGAACCTGGTTCAACATATGGCCCTTTGAAAAAGTCGATCTGGCCACCAGCTGACGCCCAAGAAAATGTTGGAATGTAGCAGTTGACCCTGTCTTGAGAATTCGCATCATCTAACTTCTCGATCCTTCTCTTTGGCGTATACCACAACAAGTCGTTGATGAGATTGTCTTTCCATAACCCGGCGACGTAAGGGGATCCTGTTTTCTGTTGGAAGACAGTTGCTAAACCAGACATCGCAGGTAGTCTGTCACTGCCGAACGTGAGTTGCCGTTGAAAGAATTCACTCACAAGATCGCGCCACTGACCAAACGCGACTTGGGGGCTGGTCATATCTTTGGGGGAAAATAGAGTCGTCTGAGTATTCGTAGAAACTTCGCTGTAGGTATGGCACTCGCAATCCCTCTCAGTTTGGCAGGTCCACCACAACTCATGTTCCGTGTAAGTCACTGTTCTGCGTGAGAGAAGTTCTTCTTGCAGGGTCCAACCTCTCGTCATGAGCGGAAGTTTCGGCTTGCGATCTCCAGTAATGGTCGCCATATGCGCATCTGCCCCTGGAATGACTCGAGCTGCAAGGACAGACTGCTTTCCTCGATCGGTACGCCAATTCATTCGGAATGGCTGTTGTTGAAGGGCCTCTTCGTGTTTCTGGGAGATGAACCCTTCAGTGGAGGTGTGAGCGGTTGCAGCGGCAATGGTGAAGTACGCGTCACTGTAGACGGATGCCATCTTTGCGGCCTCCTTTTCCCAGTCTTCGGCGGAGTCCTGGATGATGCAGATTGCATCTACCCACAGATACTTCAGGCCAAGTCCTCTGGTGATTTGAACAGCGTCTCTCACCGTCTGTGGAAAATCCTCCACATCAAGAGCTGCCTTGTGGCTATCGATGGTTCCTTTCATAGTCACAAAATTTCCACTCTTGCCCCAGCAGTAGCTAAGCGCGGTATAGGGGCTAGCATGAATATGAGCGGTTTCAACCAGCCGTACCTGAGTATCTTCGGCGTTACCGACATAGATGACTCTTGTTGGCATCGTAGGTGATTGAGGTTTGCAGGAAGCGTGATTCTCATCACAGTTCTGGATGCATGTACGGATGAAATCAGCCGTTTGATGAACATCTCCGCAGGTACTCATCTCGTAGCCCTGTGTGATGCCATCCCAGACAGAAGGATATCCTAGGGTTTACCGTCAGAATTGGCAGAGATAGCTTTGAATTAGACAGACTCACCGATCGGAGTATAGAATTGCACAGTAACACGCGCCGTTGGCACGCTCAGCTGGCAACCTCCTTTCTTAAACATGAAGAGGACAACTCGCTGGTAATGCAGTGGGGCGAGTTTGAGGCGGTCAAGGGTTTGAATAACGGCAGTACACCAGCGGCACCCATCGGCGGAGCCGGTTTCAAAGTCATGCTTGGAACGGATGAATGTCCGGAAGTCGTCTCGCCGACCTCCAGCTTGAAGAGCCGACCTTTTGACACGAAGATTGTGACACCATTCACATGGTGCGGGAACCGCAACTGGACCGAATCTTAGCTTCTGAACGCACGCGATGGTAGTCCAAAATTGCGACGCTGGGAGAGTATTAGGAAAAGAGACGAACTCGAGTCTGCAATATCGTGCGTACCAGAAAGTTGCGGCCCTCTGACGCTTGCCGTCAAGGTAGTAGTCGCCATCTTGACAGCTCAAGTATTTGGCAATGCGGTTGAAGAAGTGGTTGGGAAATAGACACCAGCTTGAAAGTGAAAGTTATGAAGAAAATGTCAGAGTGTGGCAATAACGAGATGATGTATTTATCACTTATTGCGCAATAACATAGGAAGGCACGCCCTTTAGAGCCCATTTATATTAGTCCACCTGGCCGTTGAGATGTTCAGGCGATGTCAATTTCTGCATACCGACAACGATAAATCCGATTGTCTTTAGCCGCCAGACCCAAGATGTCTCACATGGCTGTTGGTTCCAACCTCCAACTCATGAAATGCATCTGTGTGGAGCAAATGAATCCTGTCTCCCAATCACGAACGGCCTCCATTCAGATGCGCCGGCCACATCGAGGCCAGCCCCAAAAACGGTTCGGCATGGAAGTGACTGTTGGTAGGAATATCGAACCGGATGACAGGGTCTGAAGCCGCCAGCGCCTAGTATTCGCGCGCGCAATCAAAAGGTCAATCAGACCATCTCATCTCTGCCCTCCATTCGAAACGCTAAAGTTTGAGGTTTCTGTTGGTTTGCTCGAAATGCCTTGCTAAGACTAACAGAGCAAGTCCTCAGTCGATCTTTTCTGGGGTGGCACTTCAAGTATGGCCATATAGAGTACGTCCTTTCTCTCAAATTAGCATGATGGCTCAATTTGTGCTGGGGTGTCGCGCTCGCCTTTTGGAACAGACCCTTGAAGACATCACTAGACTTGCTTGAAGAACCTGCTTTCTTCTTCGCCTCTTTGGCGGGGCCAAAAGCCCCGCCACCAATTGCCTGATCATCTCCAACCTCGTCATTCACATGTTTGTCTTTCATATTCGTTTCATCGACTTTCCCAATATCATTTGCGCCCCCTTCTTCTTTGTGACTTCTCAGATCAATGGTCTCCAAGTTCCTCTGCTGACAGTCTGCTGCCTGCCTTGTCTCGCCATCGACCTTGTACTCTTCCTCTGCTTCTAGAATGTTTCTCTCTTGGCCTTCTTTCGTCTTCTCCTTTTGGTCCTTCTTTTTCCTCTTCTTGTCATCCTTCTCTTTAATGCAGACCTCATTAGCCGTCTTCTTTAGCTTTTTGCTGGATTCTGCTTTTCCATCTGAAGCAAGTCTCCAACGACCTGCTGTAACCAAAGACACAAGATCACCGCTAGATGCTTGACGATTTGGATCAGCGTATCGTGACTTGAAATTATGCTCCGGCATCAAGCTAACCGCTGGCCGATCCTTATTCTCGTTGATCCAGCTGGCTTGAGCGCGCTTGTCCAAATGGTCGTTGATCCAATTTTCCATTCTGTCCCAGGCGTTCTTCTCTTCGACTTTAACATCGGCTCTCTTGGTGTTGCGTTTGAAATTCGGAAAGATGAGCGGCGCTGGCTCGGGCCAGCTGAAATCGCCACGGGTAGGCTTCATCAAGTCGCCCACTTGTGTCTTCATCTCTTGCAACCCCTCTGAAGACTTTATTCTCCCTGCCGCGACGTCTGATACCCCCTGTAGCAAGTCCAGCTTGGTCTCAGGCACGTCTATTTTCACTGAAACGTTGGTTGCTAGTCGACCACGGTCGTTGTCAGGCTGCCATGTGACGACAAGGCAGATCAGTCCTCGCGGGATGAAGAACTCTGCATTAACACAGTCCAAGAACTTATTAGAGCATATTAGACTTTGACCCTCCATGATAGCTTCGGTAGCAATTTCAACGGCGAATCCAAAAAGCAGCGATGCAGGGTCGGGCAGTGCTTCTCCTGCGAACCCCGCTAAATTGACAGCGCTGATCCATGGGTTGGGCTTCAATGACTTGTTGAACGTATCGATGAAATCGAGGAATATGTCTTGATCAATGCCGACGTTGACTAAAATTGGTGCGTAAGCCCGTATGAAACCCCGAGCTCTCTTCTCGGGCCGTCTCTGTGGTACAAGCACTGGCAGTGCGAGTCTCTGCCTGCACTCATAACTTTCAGAAACTGTCAAAGGGTGTCGCTTGATGAAGGCGAAGGCAAGACTTTCTGTTTCTTCAGCAGGTTGGGAAGTTGACATGGAGCCTGATGCTTCATGGTCGATTGCATTGGCTTTTGCCGCCCCTTCGCCAAGTTGTGTCGGTCCAGATTCCGTGTTGTCCACACTGCCTGACTGAGTTGACGATTTGACTGAAATCAGGGCCCCAGATTTCTTCTCCTTTCTGTGATGTAAGGCCTCTGAGACAGTGCCAATACCTGCTGCCGCGGATTGGGCGATTTCTCCCACAAGCCCATGCTTTTTCTCACTGCTGTTGCCTCCAGTTCTGACAACAACCTTATCCCGCTCTTTCAAAATGCTCTGCGCTAAGCTGGCGGCTACTTGAGAAGCCAACTTTTTGCTTTCACTGACTATGCTAGCCGGCATGTTCATACTTGACTAAAAGTTGTTGGAAAAAAGAGAGGCCGTAATCTTGAAAACTACGAAGGCTCTGGTCTTCGAATACTTCAATGGTAGTACTGGCTGCGAGGAGGCTGAATCTTCTAGGAAATGGTGACTAACAGAGTGCGAAACAGCTAGCGAAAATGGAATGCAAGATCAAATCTTTTTGTAACCCAGAAGAGAAGGGCGTCTTATATGAATATTTTCTTTAGCAGTTTGACGGTTTTTCAAACTGCCTGACAGGTAAAAGCGCCCTTTGTGGCAGTGATTTCGCACTCGCTTCCGTGACGAATCTCAAAGCTGACAGGCTATCAGCTCCTGCTTGGCAAGTCAGCAGCCAAGAGTGACGTGCAGCCCGCGGAACGCGGAGACTTAGCCAACAAGCTGCATGGGATAATTAAGGCAAGGCAGTATACAATAACGTCGCTTAATCTGGCCTCAGTGTCGACAAGCCTATCTAGCCAAGGTATGACGAAAAGCAGGATCGCACTGTATCAACCCCTCCCCCATCCCCCCCTACAGTTCCGTCAAATTGCTGGCAGGCTCAACAATCTACCCAATGACACCGTTAACTCGTCTCAATAATATCAAGTTGAAATATTTGGCAGACACAATAAATTTAGGAGCTAAAATTGAATGATCATCTGACTAAAGTAGGTGCAAAATGCCAGACATATCGAGGAAAGGCAAAATATACCGATGTCCGGTCAAATTCTTTGCGAGACCTGGACTTAACCCCTGAGCCACGTCCCATTTAAGTGTGGTAAGCGCTTGTCTAGAAACCCTCGTATTAAGAGCCAACTACGCAGTGCTGATGTCGAAAGATCGTGATATCAATGTAGTTACCACTGGCACGAACCGCCACAGTGGACGCTACCATCGGTAGAGGTGCCAGAGACAGCCCAGCTTCCCGTTCCGACCAAGTTGGATCCAATCAAACCACCCCAGTCGACACCCTTGTTGCCACGAGGAAAATTGACAGTAACTCTGCAACCGATTCCTTGAATGCCGGCAATCGCCTGGTTGCTGAAGCCAGCCTCCTCGCCTCTGCAGTTGCCGGCATAGTTGATGAAAGTGCTGTCGATGGCTGCCTTAAGGTTATCGCGGTTGACGTTGTTGCAAGACCCGGGATGATCGATGGTGACGGTGACACGCTCGCAGTGATCGCAGGCTTTGCGCCAGCAACGGGGTTCGAGAGCCCCCGTGAGAGATGGGAAAGCGGCACTGAAGCCGTAGAAGAGGAAGAAGGTGGTGAGGATGAAAAGGACGGGACGGCTGAAGTGTGCCATTGTGAGTTTGGTGAATGTGAGAATTGAGAGAGATCTCGAGTGTGAAGCTTAGAGCTGAGAGTGTGCGGTGGTGATTTCTTGCTGGTATGGACAGACTTTCACATTACATCGGGTTCCTTCTGAGTATTATATGCGTGCGTCTTTTTCCATGGTGTGTTGCGTTTGACTGTGCTTGATTGTGACATTCGTGAAGATTGTCGACTTTGTGACCGCAACTCCCCAAAATGTCGACCCGGCAATCAAATTGCAGTCTTCAACTCGTATTGTCTCTTCATTGCCCGTCATCCTATGAAATTCTCGCCAGCATCCACGTTCCCGCGTTGCTTCATAATGATTTGAAAGTAAGGTTCCTATCAAGTCTATGGCTGTCTCCTTCAAACTCGCATGGCTAAATTTCGAGAAGCCGACAAGTGCGACAGAGTTTAATGAGAGCAACTACTCGTGTAGTTGTTTCGACATTCTGAGTGGACAGTCAAAAGCTCAGGTCATAGTTCATCCGTCTCTGACTGTTTTGAGTTCGCGCATGGATCGTCAAGTAGTCAGCTGGGGCTCGGATGTTCGGCTACCCCTTGACTCGCCAACATATCTAGCAGCCAACTACACAATTGCTAATATAGTTCTTGAACCAAATTAAATATGAGAAGCTTTTTATTTTCCGATGAACTCTCCAAAAAGTTCCACAGTTGGCCCAGTGTTAGAAAGAGCTCTCATGACCAATAAGAAGCCAATTGTAATGCGCGTGGCGAGGGAGGCAATCCACGATGAACCCGTGCAATTCAGTAAAGACAACGGGACGCATTGGACGGCGGGACTGATGTCTAGCTGTCAAGTATCACCAACAGTGATAGGTACCAAAGATTTTAGCAATGCTACACATAGATGATTAGCTGAACTATTGCGATTGATCGAGAAAATCACATAAATAGTACACTCTGCCACCCTTCTTCATGACATGCTTTTTTCACCATGTGCGGCAACAGTCAGTCTTCTCATACAAGAAATTTTTGAAGCTTCTTCATCACAAACCTTTGAAAATGCAGTTCAGCTCCCTCATCGCCTGCCTTGTTATGGCTCCCTTGGCTTTGGCCATCCCAGCTGAGCTGTCTTCTGGGGAAAGTGCACTTGCCCTCAGAGCTGCTGAGAACATTGAACTTCCGAATGACCTCCCCGAGGACTGGAAGACTGCTATGGAGGCTTACTTCAAAGGTAAGGCTTTTTGCACTATATTGATTCTTATACTGGATACAGCAGGTAATCTGAAGATTGAGAACTGACAACTCAAACAGAAACAGATCTGGACCTTGAGAACAGAGATCTCGACAAGCGAAGTAACGTGCCGTTCATGCACTGTGGATGGCGTCGCTTCTTTAGTAAGGAACCCACTCGTCTCACATGGTCTAGCGTTTACTAACAATATTCAAGGCTGCCTTGGTTCTGTGACCCCTGGCGGTGTCACCTGCATGTGGGCGATTGCTGCGCGCGGCCTTGGTAAGTTTTCACATCATGTGGTCACCCTGAATCCCCCCTGCTTTGCGCCTTCGATACCCCTTTCATCGGGTTTTCAGAGCGCAATAATGAACATGAAGACAATCGAAAGTAAATTTTCAATTGGCAATTTCTAACCTTAGACCAGATGTGAAGGAAGACTCCAAATGCTCAGCTGCTGTTGTAGCCACCATTTTGTCAGCTGTGAGTTTTCTCAACCGTTGTCGGTTACCTTAGGTCAGAAGGCTTACAAAATCTGCAGTCGAACAACTGCAAGCTGTGTGTTAATGGCCACCTTTGAGAAGGAATTGCGAGGCTTTCACATGCCAGTTTTCTTTCTTTAATTGAACGTGGACTGCGTGTACAGGTGGGCAAGGAGCGTTGGACTTGCGATTCCGGTGGTTTGGAGATTAAGATATGTTACTTCTTCGCCGATGTGCTCGGCTCCTATTTCTGACGTAGCATAAAGACTTTGTTGCAACTTAACTCAACATCAATTCAATGAGCCCACTTCAGCTATGACTTGTATTTGCTCTAACATATATACATTGCTTCTACTGCTACTAAAACCATCCGGGACCGGTCGCGCTGCGATGATTTTCGATGGTCGGTATGATGCATGATGCGTATCCACCTGGTCGTCTCAAGCTATCCAGCAATGGTATCGTTACGATTAGACCACGAGACCAAGCGATTAAGAAAACTGTTACGCGTCTTTTTGTTCACGTTATTGAGATAAATTCTGTGAGAGAATGAGAATACTACGTTCCTTTGTCGGAATTCCTCATTGATGGCCGCGATTTTGAGGATACTCGTGGGGTATCTCGTGCTATTAGGCCAAGGATACAAGTTTATTTCGAAGCTCGACAGAGTGCCGCAAGACTTCTGTCAGATCCTGATAAACGGCGCAGGGGTGGAGAGCATACAATGTACAGGATTCACAAGGTCTCAACAGTATTTCGTGTGGAAGTCTCTCTAGTAAGCTTCCACGTCGTGTCTTTCCCTGAGGTCTTCGGTACTCCATGATTAGACGATTCGGGGACGTTAGATTGCAACTCATGTCGAGATCATGGACATGGATGGAATTGACTCGAAACGTCGAAATAATAGTTGTAGTAGTCAAGCCAAAAACTTAAATAAACAGAATGAGCGCGCTGATGAGAAGTGAAAGAATAGTGCATGTTGATATTTACTTTAAGGATGAGGGTACTATGTATCGGAGATGCACACATAATCCAGGACCGTAAGTTTTAGACTTCTTGCTTACTGATATCCAAGCACCGAGAACTTTGATATTGTCGCCCTGCGACATAAAACTAGAGTGGTTCATCACCATTCATGTCTATGTACTGCGGCTAATTTGACTTCTTCCCATCAGCTTGTGCACCCGCTGGTGTGAGGCTTCCGTCGTGTCATTGTAAACCACAAAGAGCCGTTCTAGCCGGCTGCTAACTTTGGAAAACAGGCGCCTTCACCGTCAGAAGTAGCGACTGTTGTCTCAGTGCCCCCCGCAAGCGTGAGTCTTGATTCAATGTTCGTCCCGCCAATGTCGCAAAAGCAGACCGAGCCCTCCTCGACCTGGCATTCCACAAGGATGCGTCAATGACCGGCTGGGCCCCGGCAGACGGCACCCTCTCACTGGGCTCGTACACCAATCTTCACGCATTCTTCGACGCCTACGGAACGAGCGCGTCTCTCAGGACCCGGTGCGACGTCATTGGCATCACGCCCACGACCGCCGTCGTCAAGGTGGAGATGGAAAATACCCCCGACGGACCAGCGTATACGGATTTTCACACGTTGATCAAGACTGATGCGGGTTGGAAGATAATTGCAAAGGTTTTTCATGCTTACGAGTCTTGATTTACCAAGTCACTGTATTCCTATCTGCTATTGTAGTCGTCTAGTTGTCCCAAGGAAAGTCATTGGTGCAATTTCCCCAGTAGCGCTCCTCCCTGACGCTGAAGCAAACCAACTTGCCATGGTCGTTGCCGATGAAGTCGTTCTACGCTTATCGTTAGCGCTTAAGTCTTGACATGTTTACTTCTACTGTATGAAGTCCCTCATTACTCACCAATTCAATTTCAGCCTCCACACGCTCATGCTCTGCTCCATGGACAGGCATAGGCCAGCACTTGCAACTATACACCGTCGGTTTCTCCGGATCCTTGAGCCCACAATCCTCACAAGTGCGCCAGAACCCCCCATTTTTGCGCGGAATCAGCTTTCCGCGCGCATTCTCGATACACTGGCCCAGTCGGAAACGGTTCTGGATGCCGTAGCCGTAGGTTGTGTCGCAACAGGCCCAAATGACTGCTTCTTTGCTTCCGTCGCCGTGGATTTCGGTGCAGCTTTGCTTGAAGCCCCAGTAAGGGACTTCAGCCGGCCGATTGTCATTGGTTGGTTTGTTCACGCTCTCGCCGGGACGGCCTGCGGGGGCTTTGGTCGATGAAGGCTTGGAGAGGGCATGTCCCGTCACGATGAAATCTATGGGGATTACTTCGATTGACGAAGGCTTGAGGAAAGATTGAATGGTCGTCTCATTGATGGGGATCACTGTTAGCTGTTCGGCTTGGCAAATAGTGGCCAACCCCACGAGAACACAGGTGTTGAGCTTCATGATGAAGAAGTTGAAATTTTGATTTTGGGTAATCGATTGCAGAAACAATGAGGTTGAAGAGTGTTTGTGGGAGATGACCTGTGATCGTAGCTCTTTGTCTTTATACATGCAGGTGGGAGGATGTAGTGACTGAGTAGGAAAAATGATGGAGAGACTCTGCTATAATTAGTGAATCACAAAGACTGAGAGTGTCCAAATTCCATTGTTCTGACTTGTGGTTCAATTGTACTCGACCGACCTCTCAAAAGGGAATTTGTTAGGGATCCACCTCAAATTCTCAACAAAAATATTACTTCACAGCGAATCCTGAAGTTGTATAAACTCAAATAAGCTTAACCTTCACGCCATTCTCAGTCGCGGGGATAGGTACGCCTAGGTCGTGATCATACTCAATGTCGCGCAAGGTAGTATCGTACAGCTGCATACGCGGAAAGACTCTCAACACCAAGGAAGTTAGGGCGATGTACAGCTCCGAGTAGGCCAGTCTACGCAGAGAATCAGTAGAAGTCAACGAGAAACCTGCCGGAGGTGTAAAACTTACGGCATCCCCTCACACTGACGAGTCCCTTTGGAAAAGGGGATGAAACTAGCCTCCAACTCCCTTCTTCTCTGGCCATTCTCGTCGATCCATCGCTCAGGTATAAACTCATTCGCGTTGGGAAACATCTTCTCATCTAAATGAGAGATGATGGCGCTCATGCTGGCGGCCCATCCGCGGGGGATGATATGGCACACATCCACATCAACATCCGACCCTTCGGGCCTCCATTTCCTGCGATATAGGAGATCCTCTTCGGTAGCGACCCGGCCGGTGCGCATCGACCCACCAGGCGCCAACCGCAGACCTTCAGAGATGACAGCATTCAGATACGGAAGTGTTTCCAAGGTCGGCCAGTTTGGCAGGTACTTCGGGTCCGTGACCGCTCCTTGGAGTTCCCGCGTCAGCTTGTCCAGGATCGAGGGCTTCGAGAGGAGGTGGAAGCTGATGAGTGTGAGTGTGTAGCTTGCCGTTTCCGTTCCCGCGGTTAAGATGATGACCCCTTCGGATGTCAGTCGTGGGATCGTCTTTTCTTCGGGAGGCAGGTCAGAGTCGAATAACGCTGCAAAGACGTTGGGGCGGGTTTTGGTGTCTGTGACTTTGCGGTCTCTTGCCTTCTCTATGAGCGCTGGGATGACGGTCTGGTTCCAAAAGGTTATCTATCACTGTCCAGAGTTGATTTACAACATGTGAAATTGCAGATAGAAATGAACCCACTGTGTATGTGTTGATGAAGATAGCCGTGTCTATGGGCAGGTAATCCTTGAGACTACCCAAGTCAGCTAGCTCATGTTGATGACTTCCGGTTTGGCGCAGGCGTGGGAACTCCACTCACTATGGCCCAGCATTCATAATCATTTTCAGCGATGGGAAAAACTTGAATAAGAACGTATGATTCAGCGCCCCATAAACGGCCGCGCGATAGTTAGGCGTCCACTTCTTCTGCTCAAGGAACCTGAACGACTCGCCAAAGCAGTACTCCGTAATCACATCCGTCGTGAAGCAGCTATAGGCATCTTGCAAGGGCACGACCTCGTCGTTGGCACCGGCAAACGTGAGAAGCTTGTCGCAGAGTTTCTGCGCCGCTGCGTGGACTTGCGGCTCGAGCTTCAGCATCTGCTGTCGGGAGAAGAACTTGCCGACGCCTGCTCGTCGTCTGCGGTGAAGATCGTGGTCGATTGTGCCGAAGGCGGCCACGGCTGCGCTGTGATGAGTATGAGAGTCGGGCAGCTGGGGTAGAAGTGGTGGAGGAAATACGCGTCTAGAAGGTTGATCATGTGGTGGACGTGCTTGTCCCTCTTCCTCCCGTTGATAGCGTAGACTTCGTCGATGAAGCGAACGTCGTTACAGTGCACCTCGTCAGGGTTGATGCGGACGATGGGTCCTGATCGACTTTTGGTCAGGTCAAGTCCCTTGGAATCTACAGTACCTAGTCTTAAGTAAGAAGTGGTTCACAGACCGTAGAGTTGGTGCATCTTGATGATCTCATAGGTATACCGCCCATTCTTGACCAAATCGTACCACAACTCGGGCGCGTACGATGCGGCAGCCAGCTTGGGGCCGGGAAACTTGCTGAGGGGGTGCAAAAGCGAGACATTGTAGATGGCGCGACCTAGAGAGTACGTGATCCAGATGAGCAGGATCGAGGCTGCAGATTGCCATGACAGGGCGGACGTCGGAGCGACGGCGTCGGGAATGAAACCCATCTTGACGTTGCACCTAGATGCATGTGCAAAAATGTTGCAATCCTCCACGATCTATTCCGCTTTGTCTCGTCCACGACATTATTTCAGGTCCCCAATGGTCCCCGCATCACGACGAGACTACGTGATGCAAGTCGGGCGATGTTGTGGAACGTCAGCGAACTAAGGAAGAGAACGGGGAGCAGGTCCAACAATGTTACATCCCGAGGCTGCGGTCCGCTATAGGTTGCGGAGCTATCATAGAGTGAGACATGGGTGCACTTCAATGAGGAAAATCGGATTGGTTATGGCGTACTCATCCGCTGGGCAAGGGTCCGTAAACGTAGTTACGACCGCTGCATGAGGGCCAAAGACATAAGCAGTATGCCTGAACGAGGCAAGCAGACTGTCTATCGTGCACGCGGTACACCGTGCCATATTCGGATATACTGCCGCTCATGTCTTTTACACCGGTTTAATCTGATCGGGTAGTCTTCTAGACGTTGCAGTCGATAGAAAGAGTTCCGAGCCGACGAGTCTGATGTAGTGCCTTGGTGCTCTCGAAAAGCCCAAATATCGTAATCTTCATCGCTGCATTGATTGAACAGCGATTCGATGCGGCAAAGAGGCGTTTCATATCGTGAAGAGAGGTCTTTTCAACAATCGGTGGTTTCTCGGTCGGCCCAATCCCTTTTAGTTGATCCGCCAACCCATCCCCATAATCATCATCGGGAGTCAGCATCCCATCGGGATTCTTGTTCGTGGGGAACGTAATCGTTCTAACGATGCCGAACCTGGTCTCGCATTCTGACTCAACGAGTTTTCAACAGATTCTTATCGTCCCCATCCCCCTACAAGAAGGTATCGATCAGCAACATCCACAGCCTAACCGGGTTCCACAGCTCAGGATCCTCGATGGAAGTGTAGAGCGGAATCCCATGCCAATACTTTTGCTCATCTCTCCGACGGTCCCGACGCCAATCGTTGAAGTGGATCGCTATCTTCCCAATCTTCTGAAAAAGACTTAAGGAGCCGAGCAACATCCCTAACCTTGGCCCAGTGACAGAGAAACAGAATAATTATCCCATTGTCGCCAAAACGCCTCGGCATCGTAAACCGGGGCTTCTCTAAACGGCGCTCTGCGCTTTCCGGGTAGCGAGTACAGAGGCGTCTCGTTGCCAAACCAAGAGCCGTCAAATCGGATGTGAATCATGTTGATCTGCCTAGCTTCGCGAAGGACGTCAAAGGCTGGGTTGTCCACGTCGTTGACGTCGTAGAACCGCGCTTTATCGATTCGCTAAGAGAACTGGAAGTGATCTGTTTCAGATACCGGGTCCTCGGGCTCGATTGCCAACGATAGCCAGGCGTCTATCGGCACGTAACCGTGATGACGATGGTGAGATTTGGAATCTCGCCGTTTGAGTTTTGAGGGAAGAGGAATGAGGAGAGTTCTTGGGAGAGGTGTTTGCTGCAGTTGAGGATGGCTGATGCCGGTCCTGGCCTCTCTTTATTGTGCCGCCATGGGCGAGGTACAGAGCAGCGTCCATATCTTGCTACGGATTTCTCTGGAAAGCTTCTATAGTAAAATCCTGAGCCATAGTTGGCTTAGACGATGTGTCAAGGTTGTGGATTAATAGAGTGAGTACTGGTTGAGAATGGTGGATGAAGCGTGTCATAGGCGTGGCCAAATTGTTATTTGGTAGGTTCTCCGAAAAGAGCATGGGACTAGTTCTTTAAGAGTTTTACAAGTTTAAAGAGGTTACACATGGGGTTCGCTCTTGAAACCCTAATTTCTTGTGCATCGAAATGTGAATAATCTAGATGCCTACCTCCCGGATGATAACGGGGTTATCTGACCTTTATCCGTGAGGTGTATGCGCCCCCTGATTCCTTTCCCTCAGAGATGACCAAAGAGAAATTGAAATAGAATAGAGAACCGAGACAGATAGAGGCCTTTGGGTTAGGTACTCAAAGTGAGGGTAATTCTGTGCCTCGATGTTCTCTCCAGGCAGCAAAGCCACCACGTGACTTGCAGACAGGCACCCAACCCCCCCACGTGACCCGACCAAACTGCTCGCGGCCGAAGCTGAAAGTTCACCAACAAGTCAGACGAGCTTCAATCTCATGACCACAGGAAAAAGACAAAAAGATAACAAAATACAAGGTGCCTTATTCAAGTAACAACGTATGGTTGACAATCTAACCCCTTGACAATAAAGCGAGCCATCAGTCGCAATCATGAGCGCCTCCACCGCCCAGCACTCGCCCTTACTCAACCTGCCCCCCGAACTCCGCTACACAATCTGGGCCCTCGTCGCCGCCCCCCTCCCCGTGGACTTTGAATACAACAGTGACGAACAACCCATACTAGGCCTCATCAACACATGCAAACAAACAGCCCGCGAGCTTGCGCCGCACCTCTTCCCCCGCAATGAGGCGGGCGAGATCCCCTGCCTCACCATCCGTATCACGGCGACATGTCGCAAGGACCAGTGGATCACCATCGCCGCTTCTCATAGCGATACACACGCGGGGTTTCCGGCGCCGCGGTATATTCACGTGAACCATATGGACAATCCCGTCTTTGATGAGCTCCGAGCCGCCGTCAAGATTAAACATGTCTTTGTTGAGTTTCGGGGACCGTGGTTCCCTGTTGATGCGCCGTGGTATTCACCGAATCATGTCCCTAGACATACGAACGGGTTTCGGTACATGGTGATTGGGTATCAAGTATGTTATTCCTCTATCATGTCAAAGCTCTCAAGCCCAGGGGTTCATGAGTCTTCTCGTACTCAGTTCCATACTCCCACCGAGCTAGATGGAGCCGACGACATACATACACAAGCCTGTAATTAACTAACATGCCCCCAGAGCCGAGGAGTTGAACCCATCGTCGATGATAAAAAGTTCTGGCAGCAGTGGCACGCGCCGTTCCTCTGCCACTGGGCAAAAGCCAACGACGTGGCGCGCTTCCTCGGCTCCCTCGCCACCATCGGAAACCTCGACATCCAGTTCAAGGATTGGGACAAGATCTACGCACTAGCAAGGCAGCGCATCTCGACCATGTACTGGGACGCATTTCCGTTCGGAGGGCAATGGAACCGCGTCGGTGTCCCAGAGTTACTCCTCGCGCCATTCAACCGCCGAGAGAACATACCGAACCTCGTTGACGAGGATCAAGTTTTGACGCGGTTCGGAAACTTGAACCTCGGCAAGCCGCAAGAGGACGGGCTTCTGCGCTGCTACTGGCGTATAGAGGGGCCGCCTCGCCATCCTTCCTTACCTCCACACCGATTTTCGCCTCTCTTCTTTTACCATAATACACCCTCGTCCTTTACCGAAGAAGAGCCATTGATAGTAGACTATGAGGATTTAGAAGGCCGGTTCTTGTCGATGCTGGAGGAGATGGGGGAGGAACACTATGATACGTGGGCATTACAGCAGCACCAAGAGGCGACGCGCAATACCTCGTCCAGCAATTTCTTTCAAAGGACTGCGCGCCAGGTGTATCGCGATGACTCGCCCGCCAGTTCATCGTGATGGGATGCAAGGGGAGAAGTCGGATGTACGATCGGCTCGTGAGTTCTGAAAGGTCTTCCATGTAAATACGAACCACGAGAAACACCTTTTCTCTCCGATAGTCAGACCATCAGAAAGACGGCCAGCCAGCAAACTACCGGAGCTCAACTGCCTATCTGCTGCTCACTCGCCAGAATCGCCACTCGGTCCAGGCACTTGGCAGTGAGACGCTCTGATAAGCAGGTTCCAACCTCCAAGGGTCGTGCTGACCGCATGGTCAGACAGTGAAGGTGCCTGCAATCTGCAGCAGTCTACAGCATACGCTGTCGTACGGCAAAAGTCGGCTGATTGGATCGGCACTGGCCTATTCAGGAAATCTCAATCCACGTTGCGATCTAGAACTCGCGGCATCAGGGAGACAGACAGGTGCACAGGCAACGTGCAAGACAGCCATGAACGCAGGGACCAAAAGGACGCGTGTGAAGCTGTCGTCGCTTGTCTCTGGCTTTCATCTAATCCCGTCCCCAAAGTGTCAGCTGTTCAACTAGCCCAGCTAGCAATTCTGCCGGTTCATCCGTCCCCTTGGGACGGAAGCACCTATAATAGGAAAGTAGACGGAAAGAAGAAAGTCGGAAACGCTAGGGTAGACAAGCACCTCAGCGTCTGAGCGAAAATACGTCGCGAGTCAATAAGAAGCAAGGCTTGGGGCGTCACTGGTCAGTGTCCTGACGCCACACGGTGAGAGTAGCGATGAGGCGTTCGAATGGGCTCTTGTCCATGAGGTGTTAGAAGTGCGAGTAGGGTGGTGTTGGGTGGCTTTCGCTACTTCTCTGCCGGGCGCCGTGCCGTCCGGCCCATGGTGCGGGTGTGCCGGCGTTTGTTGGAGCTTGTCGATTTTGGGAAGGACGGAGGGCCGGGGTGGTGTTGGACTTGGGCGATGTAGGGAAGCAGCTGAGCCTGGGACGGCGGTCGAGAAAGGAAAGGGAGTGCATCAGGGAGATGAGGTTCGTGGGATTGTGTGGCCTGATGAGAGAAAGATCATCATCCTCCAGTGGGTGCATGCGTCTTCGGTAGCAAGTCTTGGATAAATGGGCAAACGTTGAACACCAGGTTTCGTCCGTCTTGCTGACCGAGATTGGTCGCTCGGTGAGGTCTTTTTTGGTGACAGGCTGCAGTCCCCAGGCACGGAATCAATGGTCTCCTGCAAGTCAGGCTTGACAAGCGCTTGGCGATGCTGGATATTGTCCGGGCGGAAGATGCCCGGCCGGAGGAAAGTCAAAGGGGGAAAGACAGAAAAAGGATAGTTACCCTTAGACATTACGGATAACAGGGGACCAATGAGACAAGAGTCAAGACAAATGTGACTTTCGGCCGCAGAAGAAAGGATAGGAACTAAAAAGGTGATGGCGACGAGGAAACAGGCGCGACAACGCTGGACGCACCGCTAATTAGGGGGTCAAGGAATACGCAAACTGAGACCTGAAATGGGGAATAGTAAGAGATTCACCATTGATAATGGGAACTAATTGCAGATAAGGCGAACAAAAGCAAGAATACGACAGCCAGGGACACCGTGCAGGTAAGGAGAGATGACGTCTCGGCGATGGGATGGAATACGAGAAGCGCTAGCCATGTATCTGTCTGTATGCCGTCGGTCTATCGTGAGCGACAGTCTGATGATTCCAGAGGACCGTTTCTCAGAGGGTGCTGAGAGAAAGGAAAAGACGGCGAAAGGAAAAAGGGCTTGAGCTTGCATAAGTGGCGCCTGGCTAACGATTAGCGGCATCTTCAGGTCCGATCTGTTCCTGGATTCCCTCGTTTGGCGTTGTGGTACCTGTACTATCTTGTTAGTGCATTGTTTGGTGTTTCTTTACCAGCCTGAAACGAATGGGGCCTTGGGCTCTTGTTGCGTCGTTGGTTTGAAAGATGGCGCTCAAGTCATCAATCAGTCCTTTGGGGAAACTGACACCCGACACTGACGAGGTCCAGGACAAGACAAGACAAGTCAGGAACGCGAGTGTTGCACGTTGAGAATCGTTTTTGCAAGTTGTTGGACCTGTCTCTGCCAGACTCGCGTGTCTGCGGCGCTAGGCTTGAGGGAGATTAGGGGCAGCTGCAGGTTAGGTTACTTGGAGAGTGCTATTTCCAGCGTTCAGGCCTTGGCCACTGGGGATTGGCTGCAATGCAGTTGTGCAGCAGCAGCCTGCTTCATGCTGTAAGACGCGCAGCCGGTGGCATGGCATCAGGTATTGATGCTTGGGAAGATATGCGTACAGTGTTCGGAGCGTGCGTAGGTAGGTGCCGGACGTCCTTGGCAAACCGTTGGTGATTCAGGCTGGATGGGACATTGTTATCTGCTTTGTTGTTTTTCTTGCTTTGTTCGATGAGGCGGTGTTTCGCTACCAGTCTTTGGGGTCTTCTTCACGGGTCCCTGCAGAGAATGGAGGATCATTCGGGTGCTGGCATAGGCAAGCAAACGGTGACAAAGGTCGACTCTCTCGGATATCTGGAGATACATTGGATTTGAACAAGGTAAGCCAAAAGACAAGGACACCTCGGACCATGATACGAACCACTTTTGCGCGATGACGGTGGATATTGGGGATTCGGAGACTGTCAGACTGATGATGAACAACAGGGACGAGGAACCTGGAAGATAATGGCAGGGAAGCCAGGAGGGATTCAGAGAGAAGGAGGGCCAACTCCAGCAAAAAAACATCTGGTGGGGCGGTGTGGGGCTGGTCGGGTCTTCGGCGATTAAACCGAGCCACTCTGGCAGCGCGCAGGTCGCATTGTGGGGCAAAGCCCTGGAGGTACGTCTTTCCATAGGTACGGAGTACTCCACGGGGTGGAGACGGCCCACGGTGCCTCATTTTAACCGTATCTTGGGTACGTATCTGGGCCCATCAGGCAGGCACCGGGCAGTCGCTGTTCTCCACAACCACCAGCTGCCTCTTTCTCTTTCAGGAAAGTCGTCAAAAAAGCTGCATTTCTTCGCCCACACACGACCTGAATCATCCCGGCACCAACACTCCCGTCCTCTTGGGCATTCCTTGGCCCTGTTTCTATCGGTATTACACGTTCAAGTGTGATCACTGCGAATACGGATACACGTTCGCCATGTCTACATTATCTCTCAGTGGCCGTCGCCTTCTCACGCTTCGGAGCTGCACGAGCTGGCGAGTCGCAACTCGTCAATCCCTAGATCCTTGAAGCCCATCCGATCATTGACTATCATCGCATCCCTTCTGATCCGTCCATCCATCCATTACGCCCTGCGTTGGCCTTCACGCCATCTTTCCACAACTAACCGTATCGACCGGCCGTTTGCCTCCCGTCCGTCTTGCCAGGCGCCGTCAGACGCCTCCAAGCCTCCCATCGTGTATCGCTCAGTCCACTGCCGAGTCTTCCTTGTCAGTCCGCCCTTTCAAGCCGTTGCTTACCAGGGATTTCTGCGCCAAAGCCAGCAAAAATTGAGCAAAAATCATCCGAACCTTCTCGAGCTCCAGCCCTTGGCCTGGCCTGGAATAGTGTGCCCCAAAACACCGGACGGCGTGGCGTTGGCAGCCTGCATACATCCGCCGATCCCCAATAAAAGATACCACCATGTCACTGCAGCATCGCATCGCGGCATCGCTCGCGGCACCAGCCAACGCCAGCGAAGCCGACAGCCGTTGTCGTTGCATCGCAGCAAGCACACCCTTCGTGTCGCCTTCTAGTGCTGAGGCTGGACTGTCTCCCTTCCACGGGCAGACAGGGTCGTGTCAAGTTGGTCAACACTTCTACACTAAGTTCTGGGTACCATTTAGGCTTTCCGTGCGATCGTCAGGGGTTTACTCGCCTTTCGTCGCCTCTCACGAATGATGGGTCGGCAGCTCAGATCACAGATCAAGACTTTGTACGGATACTCTGTGCTCTATCACTCTCTGGGCACCTAAGGAGTATATGGATACTCTCAGGCAAAGGCATTGGCACAGGGCCAAGCCAATGATAATATTGCTCGAGGCCAGCCTCGAACCTGGTCCACGACTGGCACATCCCCTCCATCCCCGGCCTCGCCTGCGCATACCTTGCCGCATACTGCATCCTATCTAGCCTGCCCAGCTCCTGCGGCCTGGTGACAAGACGCCGGCTCACTGGTCAGATCCGTGCTTCCGTCCCCATCGACCGACCGTCCTGGGTGGTTTAAGACGTTAGGTCTGTCCGCTAGCTTTCGAGAACGGGCCGGGATGCGATGCATCATGGGTGGGCTTGCTCATTCCACGCCAATCATCCATGGGTCGGCCCTGCATGGGTCCCACGCTTCTCGTTGCCCGTCGGCGCAGCAGTCAGCAGCTTTGGTGCCGGACGCGCTCGAGAGCCAAAGATCCAATTTAGAGATAATATCGAGAGCTGCCCTCCCGTCTTCCCCTCCAGGCCGATGGAGATTCTGCTTTTTCCCATCCTCCCCTCACGCCAGTTTGTGCTTCCTTCGTTTAGAGCCAAACCGTCACAGCTTCACCCGGCCATCTCGCCAGTGAAGATCACAACCCACTCATCATGGCTTTCAAGACGTGGGTGATGACGGCCCTCGTTGGCCTTGCCAATGGCCTGGCCTCAACAGACACAATCACCTGGGGAGGCGACAATTCGAGAGCCGGGTATCAGACGTAAGTTCACGATCCATTCACTTGAACCCCGTATATCCATTCTGCCCTCCCCGGCGTCGATCGTCTTTGACAGCGATCCGCCGAGTGGGGGAAACGCAATCAGTCCCGCGGGATCAAGAGGACAGACCTAACGCGACAATTTTCTCATAAAGAAACCACAATATGGACCCCTCCGTCGTGGGGAGCTCCCAGTTCGGCCAGCTCTTCCGCACGCTTCTTCCCGGCAATTATGGCGGCGTCGCAGAGCAGATCTTTTCTCAGCCACTCGTTTATACGCCTGACGGCGACAGTACGCAATACGTTTACGTTGCGACTACACAGAATAATGTCTACAAAATTAATGCAAAGACGGGTAGCATCATCGCTTCCCGCAACCTCGCCATTCCCTTTTTGACCGCCGACTTGGATGGCTGCGTTGATATCCAGCCTCATGTCGGAGTCACGTCCACTGGTGTCATCGATGCATCGACCAACACTCTTTACCTCACTCTCAAGACCTATGTCGACCAGACCTTGACCGGCGTTGCTCAAGGAAAACCTGCCGGCCGTTACTACCTCCATGCCTTGGATGTCAATGACCTCAGCGAAAAACCCAACTTCCCCGTCAACCTCGAAGGCACCGTAGCCAGAAACAACCCTATTCGCTCTTTCAACGGCGGTATCCACCATCAGCGACCTGCTCTGCTGCACTCAGGCAACTACATTTACGCTGGTTTCGCCTCCCATTGTGTTCAGTACAACTTCACAGGTTGGATCATGGGATTCGACAAGACCAGCGGTGCCAATGTCGAGCGCTTTGCTACTGAAGGTGACGGTGTTCCCGTCGATACCAGTGGCGGTGGTGTCTGGATGTCCGGCGGTGGTCTCGCTTCCGACGATGCAGGTTCCTTGTTCTACGCTACTGGCAACGGATACGCCTCCCAGCTAAGCACCATTCCCGTCAACGGCCGCACACCCCCGACATCTCTGGAGGAGGCCGCTGTTCACATGACAATCAACGCTGATGGAAGTTTGAGTCTGGTCGATTTCTTTATGCCATGGGAGAAGCAGGCTCTGGACGGTGCCGACAAGGACTTGGGAACGAGTCCCCTCCAGATCTTGCCCAGCACATTTTCCTGTGGCGACGTCAAGCGCATTGGTGTGGTCACTGGAAAGAGTGGCAAGACGTACTGGCTCAACTTGGACGACTTGGGTGGCTACCGAAACGGTGCCAATGGCCTTGATAACGTGATCCAGGTGTACCAGAATGAGAACTCTGTGTACGCTGGTGCGGGTGTGTACCCGGGCGAAGGTGGTTACATCTACATCAATGGTAAGTAAAAGCTAGCTCCCTTCAACCTCTCATGACACTCGCGTATCCGAAAGTCTCTAACCAAGAACAGTCATTCAATATTCCACCCACGTCTTCAAGTTCTCCTGTGAGGCCGGAGTCCCCTCTTTCACCAAGGTTGCCGACAGCCCTCAGAACAACGCCTACATCCTTGGCGTTAGTCACGGCACTGTCACTACCCTCAACGGTCAGGCTGGCACCGGTCTTCTCTGGACGCTGGATGTACAGGGCTCCCAGCTCAAGATCTTCGAAGCTGTTCCCAAGGATGGCTACTTGAACATGATCAAATCCTTCAGTGTCCCGGGCAGCACCAAGTTCACCAGAGCCGTCTTTGGTGACGGCATCATGTATCAAGGCACTACCCAAGGTTACCTGTACGCTTTCGGCTCGCCCGTCACGACACCAATCAACTGCACTGCTACCAACGAGTTCGGCGTCGTCGATGTTGGATCCACGAGTGACCCGCGCACCATCACTTGCACGGCCGTGATCGGTGTTACCGTTTCGGACGTCGGCCTCGATGAGACTGGAGACTTTACCCTCTCTGGACTCCCCGCACTTCCTCTCACTCTGGCTGCCGGTCAAACATTCACAATCGGCGCATCCTTCAAGCCTACCACCGTTGGCCTCGTATCTTCCGACATCGTTGTCAACACAACCAATACTGCCGAGGGCTACAGCCAAGGTACCCATATCAGACTCACTGGTACTGGCGAGAGCGCGGGTCCTCTGCTGTCTATCACTCCCCCGACCATCACTTTCCAGGGCGTCATCGCCGGTCAAACGGGCGGAACAGAAGAGAGCGTGATCTTGTCCAACCAGGGTAACTCGGCACTTTCCATCACCGACGTCCAGTTCTCTACCAGCAGTGCGCAAGGTCCCTTCACCAGCTGGGACAGAGCCACTGCTACCCTTACTGTGGGAAAGTTCACCCTTACCAACGTTCCGGCCACGATTCCTGCCAACAGTGCCATTACCGTTCGCATCGCTTTCGACTCTTCTGTCAGCGGCACCTTCGGCGCGTATCTTCAGGTTGTCTCCGATGGCGGAACCAAGGCGTTCACCATTGCTGGCTCTGCAGGCCCTGCCCCAGTGGCTCTCGTCGAATTCCAGACGCCTGATGGAACTGGATGGGTAGAGTATGATGCGACCAAGAACTTCACCTTTGGCAACGTCACTGAGAACACTTCCCGGGCTTTGAAGTTTCGTGTCACCAACGCCGCTGCCGAGGGTGGCGTCAAGCTCTCTCTTACCGTTTCCAAGCCGCCTTTTGGCATTGCCGGTATCATCCAAGCCGCCAACCAGGTCGATCTTGCCGAGGGAACTGTTCTGGCTCCTGGCGAGAGCGCGACTGCCACCCTGGTGTGCACTGTTCCCAAGGCTCAATGGAACACCGACTCGTACAGTCACGGCACCTTGGACCATGAACACCAACGACCCCAACTTCGAGAAGCATTTCTTCACTTTTGAGTGCACTGCTGTTTCCGAGCAAGCACCGCCTTTGCTCGGTAATGGTCAGGGCAAGTACCGCTACATTGGCTGCTACAAGGAGAATAACCCCGGCCGCCAACTCGCAAACCAGTTGTACGGTGATGCTACAAGCACGAACGGCAAGTGTATCGCTGCTTGCGCTGAGAAGGGAGTCGTCTTCTGCGGTACGCAGTATCACACTGAATGTTGGGGCGGCCCCAACATTCCTACGGAGAAGGTGGACGAGCGCAACTGCAACTTTGACTGCGGCGGCGACCTCAACCAGATCTGCGGTGGTAACGGATTTGGAGCCAACGAAGGCGGAGCTTACATCTCGGTCTTTGCTGACTCGGTTCAATGGGACGGCAACACGACAACTCCCACGCCAAACCCGAACCCTTCAGGCCCTGAGGTGAACCCTGGTGTCGGTCAATACGTGAGCGAGGGTTGCTACACCGAGCCCGCCGACACGCGTGCCCTACCTAACCTAGTCGCGACAACCGAGAAGACTGTCACTCTGTGTATCGAGGCTTGTGCCGCTAGCAAGTATACCTACGTCGGCTTGGAGTACGGAGGAGAGGTTAGTGATCAATCTTTGACATGAATGACTTTGAGAACACTTTCACTAACAACAAGACAGTGTTGGTGCGGAAACACTCTGGCCGCTGCCTCGGTCCCCGCTGCTGCCACCGAGTGCAGCATGGCATGCGCAGACAACAGCACGGAGTACTGCGGTGGACCTTCTAGGCTCAACCTGTACAAGCTCGACGGCACCTTGCCTGAACCCACGAACGCAGTCCCGACTGGCGCCACCACGACTACATCAGCCGCCCCGACTTCGACCGCTCCTCCGGCCAACGAAAGAGTCGGCGACTGGCTCTTCCAAGGTTGCTATACTGAGGGAACTGGCGTCCGTGCGCTCTCTTCTCGGACGTACGCCAACGATTCAATGACTCTTGAGTCCTGCGGTGGTTTCTGTGAGGGCCTCAAGTACTTTGGTACAGAGTACGGACGGGAGTGCTGGTGCGGTGATGAATTCGGCACTGGCAGTGCTCTTGCAGCGAACCAGAAGGATTGCTCTTTCCCCTGCGCCGGTGACAGCACACAATTCTGCGGTGCCGGTGACCGACTCCAAGTTTACATGTACTCGCCGGTGGCCGCGACTACATCGACTGAGGCTACAACCACCGCCGCGTTTGCTTCCTTGGCAGCTCCGCCCAACGGGACTGCGACCACCACCGCGACAGAAACTCCTCTGGCAGAGAAGCAAGCATCTAACAGCACCATCAGCACAACCGCTTCCTTCACTCCGTCAAACTTTACCATCTCCAGTGCTAGAGTGACGGCCGAGGCTGTAGCACCCACTCTTTCAGCAAGCAACTCGTCCCTTCCGGCGACTGCTGAGGCTTCAACCACCTCATCCACTCTTTCAGCCACCAGCTTCCCGGCTACATCAGCTCTGAACACAACCTCCACGCCTGCTTTGGAGCAGGTCACCACCTCATCCGTCATATCGGCCACTTCATCGGCCTCAGCAATTGTGCTCTCCAACACCACAGCACCGGCTACTTCATCGGTCTCAACCACCTCCTCAGTTCTTTCCACTTCCACATCGTCAACCAAGACGTCAACCTCGTCTTCCGCCACCCCCACCCCAACTGGCCCAGTTATCTCCACTGGCAACGAAAACTTTACCTACTACGGCTGCTTTTCCGAACCGGAAGTCGGCCGTCTCCTCCCCACACAGATCATCAACCACGACAACATGACCATTAGCATGTGTCTGAGCGCCTGCTACGACAACAACTACGCCGGCGTCGAATACGGTCGCGAGTGCTGGTGTGGCGACGCCCTCAACATTGGTGGCGGAGGTGACACAGCGCCCGCTGCCAACGTGACGGCCAAGGATTGCTCGTTCACGTGCCCCGGCAACAGCACCGAGTACTGCGGTGCCGGTGTGAGGTTGAGCTTGTACATCCTCAAGGATGAGCTCGAAAAGTTGCAAAAGTCCAACGCGACGGTCTCTTTCAAGTCGACATAAATCATGATTGAGCGAGGGATAATGTCTATGCTTATGTAATTACTTATAGAGGACTACGGTCTCCGTGCTGCACGGCAAACGAATGCAGCCTTTTCCTAAAATATAATATTGATACCTACTGCCTGATAGTCTTACTTCAGAGCGCCCTGTGTCCATTTCAAGCGCTCTTGACTGCGACACTACCAGTACTTAACAGGACGAACTCCCTTTGTAATCTCAGCTCAGTGAAAAGCATCTCAAGGTCGACGTATTACGCGGCGAAGGTAACCTGGATGGCCACCCAATCAAGATGTAGTCATAAGTTCTCACACCAAGGAGGCTCCCTTCATACTACCTTTAGAGAGTTGTTACTCCCGAATTCCTTGCCGCGGGAGATGATCTTATTTGATCGACACTTATCCGAGCTGCAGGTGCGCCATTGACACATTGGAAATTGACGAGAATATGCACCTTTGGTCTCGTCATCGACTCCCGACGTCCTAGGGCCAATAAGGAGCCAGTGTCTAAGGTACCTACCCAAGATCAGATCATGCTCATGTGGGACACTTAAATCTCCCGAGAGGGGTCGACGACGGTCCCGCCCCTGTGGCAGAAGGACGGTGAGCCCGCCTTGCGCATTTGGCACCCTCGATGCCCAGACGATCATTGACAAATGTGACCAGCAGAACTTGAAAATGAGCCAGTAAGGAAGGGAGATTCAAGGGAGTCTAGGAACTGTCCGAGAATGATCACATAATTTTTCAATGGCCCCTCGAAGGTGTGAAGACAGGATGATGACTCTGTATCGGCAAAGCAAGTACTACAACACATTCGTGTCTCACCTGGCCGCCTACCGGAGAAAACCCAATGCCAATCATTCTTGGGATGGTATTTACGAAGCCTTGGCAGACCTCGAGCTCAAAGCTCAAGACATAACCAGGACGGACCATATGCCAAGGGCCACGAAGCCTTGGGGAATCAGGCCACTGCGGCAGGCTGCAAGATCAAATGGCGGGCCCTTCCACCTCCTCTTCCTCGGGTGAAGTCGGCCCAACGACGGTGTTGGTGTATTGACCACGGCCTCGCGAGTCGTCACTCGGCTGAGACGGCGAGGCCAGCCAGGCAGCAAGGCGGGAAGCGAGAGATTTAGACAAGGCTGGGCCTTGCTTTGCTATTTGGAAGTCTGTCGTGTGGCTGGACCTCGCCGGGCTCCGATGTGGATATTTCAGAAGTCTGAGCCCGCCGGGCCCCGGAACTCTCTACCTCCACGACGATGCGACATTGAATAAGTAGGTGGAGCTTTCACGGCGGCGTTGGCACCAAAAGGCTTCACTGGCAGGGTTGAAGCTGTCACGGCTTTACGCACGCCGCAAGTGGATGCATAGTCACGATGGTCTCCGGGATGCGAGGTAACGAGCGCTAGAAATTAAGTTAGACGTTCTGCACAACATCCCAAGAAAGTGGACCTCGGGGCGTCTCGGCGGCACCGGGCTTGAGGGCCGGGAGGAGCCGGCTCAAAGTTTGTAGAAGGCGACACGGAGGATATGGAGGAGATTTGAGCGCCGGGTACATGTGGACTCTGACTTCTGCTACCTCACTGCATCTACCACGACAGGCCGTTGTGAAGACATTGGAAATCTGCAAAGGGAGTTTACAGTGCTTACCACACTCTTTCGAGTGATGTTCAGTCGCACAACAGCAAACAATAGCATCTTTCTTGGCGCAGCGGCAACTCCACTTCTTTGCCTCTGTGAAATGCAAAGACCACAGTCCGGTCTCAGTCCTGAGAACATTGGACCGGCCCGGGTCGAGGTCTCACCCCGCTTTCTCTCCTTCTCTTGACTCCTGAGTCTTGAGTCTTGGTCCCACCCGGAATACTTCTCACGAACTTCCAACGCCGTAAGGACCCGGCATGCGCGAGGGTGATCCCGTCAGGCAGTATGGGATGAGGCTGGGTGTGGGGTAGCGATTTGGGTGGGTATCTGCCAACGCACCAGGCTTGCCGTTGTTGATTTGCTGGATGTTGCGAGGACATCGCTTCAGTGTTCTTCGAGAGTTCCATTTGTCAAGATCATATCATCAAGCAATAGGTCAAAGACCCGTGATCTCGCCTAGATCATGAGGAACGGGAGCAAAAGAAAGTGGTCACCGAATCCCAAATACAAACGGATGAGTCGATGAATAAAACCCAAGTTGAACCTGACCGCAAATGTGAAAAAATGGAAAATAAATCAACCTCAAATGTGGCGTGACTTCTACAGCGAATTCAAATTCCGGTCAACTGGCGCGATATCACAATGCAGGCTTCCATTGTAAGGAATTAGCGCCGCGGCATTGCTTTTTCTCGAGCCTCAGCCGTCGGCCGCCTCGCAGCGGAACCGGGAAAAGGTGGGCACAAACCTTCAAAGTCACGCCATGCAGCAGGGCTGGCGCCATTAATGTCTCAGGGACAACTGACAATAGGGCGGGAATTCTCTCGGCAAGATGAGGGAGAAGAAGTTTTCACAATGCCATGTTCAAAGTATCTGTAAGGTCAGATATGGAGACGATCTTTCATGTACGCGTCGTATACCTAGGTAAAGGCCGGAACTCCAGCTCAGATTTACGATGACTGCTCCATGATCGGTACCAGGATGAGGCCTGGCCGCAGGGTCTGTTCCGTCCCGACTTCAGCTCGCGGTTTATGGAGTCGAGCGAGGACCGGCAGCGGGAGATCTGCATGACCCCTGCTCATCCGCGGACCTCACCCAGGTCGTAAAAGTCTTGACGAAGGATGCGCTGATCTGGTCGTAGGAGGATGGGCAACTGCAAGTCTGAGTGGACATCGATGGGACAAGACTTCAGAGAGGTACGTGGAATCTGGGGTTAGGGCGGCTGGGACTTCCCCCTTTCGCCATTGGAAGCCGTACTTTTCTCTGCCATGTAAAGATGTGATACATGAATCCTTGCGAATCGGAGGCGGGAATCGTCCGATGGGCCACACTTTTGCAGACTCGGTAAGGCAATAGCTGGGATTAAAGGTATGAACTTGTTTCTCCATTCATGAAGCTGCCCTGAGCACATTGGCTGTCCTACTTCTGGACGACAGCTCTCTCCCCGAAGCCATAAATCGCCTTCCCTTGCTGCCCTTCCCCACCGGTATCTCCACACATCAGTCAACCTCGGGAGACTCCAGCTCCACCTCATTTGCTTCCCTTTGAGGGCTGGTACTGCTTTCGTTGCTGTTGTCGTTGCCGTCACTGTTACCATTCTCTTTGCCCTCTTGACCGGGTTCTTTACCCTCGGCCTGCTCCTGTTCCTCAGGCTTGACCGGCTTCACAGGCACCTCAACGCGCAGGAGATCCACCTCGAGGGCAGTCACGCCTTCCGGAAGCTTTGACTTTAGTCCATCCTGCTCGACGTCAAAGTAGAGAGCCCAGAAGTTCCCCGTTCTGACGACGCAGAACCCTTCCCAGCTCGCAAAGGTGAGTCGCTTGTCTTGCCTGGTGCAGTCGAACGGGCCCGTGTAATTGTTCTGGGCGTACGGCCGGGTCCCGAATTTGACCTCGTACGTGTCCCGGTCCACGTAGATCCAGTTCATGATGGGCGGCTCGTCGCAAATAGTTGAGACCAGGCCGGCGTATTGGCTGTCTGGGTACGGCAGGAAGTAGCCCGCAAACTGGTGTCCGAACGCCGAGTCTGGGTCAGTCCCGGTGTCAACAAATAGCTAGGAAAGGGAAGAGTAGCTTCATTAGCAAAGGTTGGAGCTCCAAGGGAGGGGTCTGGATGACTGGGATCTGAAAATACCTTGTCTCCCGAGAGAACTACGTGCTTGCCGTGGATATCTGGGGAGTGACATGTTGACTTGCGGCATCGGATAATGAGGTTATTTTTCCGGCTTCGATGCTCTTTTCTCCGGGCTGACTGTTGCGTGTGTCGGATAGCTTCCGCCATACCGAACACTGCCGAGAAGGCGACGATGAATTGGGCAACCATTTTGCCCTCTAGTTGCGTACTATAGGTATGAGATGTCTCTGTTGTGTTTCCGGCAGGTGGGAAAAGGGGGACACTGCAGCCCAATGGGTGATGGATTTATGCCAGTGTCTGGCAGAAATTTACTCCCGATGTATTCCGTTCGAGCCTCTCTCGATACCTGGAGTGAAGAGCTCACCGATCAGCAGGCATCACCCCCGAAGGCATAATCGTGCTTTCTTTTGTTGGGAGCTGCTCGGGAAACATCCCGTCGGGCAGAAAGGCAATGAGCTGTCTCTCCATTGCAGAAATCTCCACCACCAGGTTCCCATGGCATCCTTGTCGAGGATCCTCGAGCGAGGGCGACAGCAGCAGCACTGCAGCAGAGTACGAAGGCGACGTCCGGACGAAAGGAAAATTGGATGATATTCTCCAATCTTCATATTAGTCTTGTGCGACAATGTCTCACTTCAGGGCCGTCGAGCAGAGGATAAAAGAGGAAGCAGATGCCCGGCTGTCATGGCCGTCTTCTTCCTCGGCAGCACCAAGATTCCTCAGTCTCATAGCAACTCGGCCTCAAGGCACTCTCGCAAAAGATCTCCTTCCGAGCAGTCTCTCGACAAGATTCCGCCGGATCAACAGCCACCGCCTGAAAAGCCTGAGCTTCGCCAGAGACCATCGCTCAAGTTCATCCACGTCCGAAGTTTGGGATCACCGTCTTCTTCACGACCGTCTTCTCCTAATCGTCCGACTTCTCCCCGTCCACCGTCTTCGCTCTCGCAGTCTTCTCGCCCGTCGTCTCCTCGTCCTTCATCTCCTCGTCCTGCCACCCCGCCTCTACCCCCTCCACGTCCTCGATCAACCACCGCCGCAACCATGTCTTCGCCGTAAGTATAGCCAACACACCCAACAGGTCTGAACCCACGACCAATTGAATTTTCCTCCCCTTTTAGAACCAAGAACTCGGTTCCCCCGACTACCACCACCACCTCTAACCCGTCTACCACTTCCACCAGCTCCAGCAACCCCCTCAGCTCCAGCACGAGCAACAGCAGCTACCCTAACAACTCCCTCAGCAACAACAATCCCAACACGTCCCTCAACAACACTAACAACAACAAGTCCATCAACAACAACAACACCAACAACCAGAACAGCGGCTTCGGTAACTCTCTCCCCATGCCCGGTCTCTCCGGCCCCGCCAACGGACCCATCGGTAAGGCGCCGCCTCCACTAATCTACCCTCTTGTCAAGAAGCCACGGGAAATACTGACACGAAAGCTCTGGCAGGAAACCTCCTCAAGGGTCCCGTTGACGACAACGGCAAGCTCAAGGACGCCGGCCTCATGGTCGGTATCAAGCTTGACCTTGAGGCCGAAGTTCACCTCACGGCTCGGGTCAGAGGTGACATCCTCGTTGGCCTATACTAGGCTCGCGCGCAAACAAGAGACCAAGATTGGCGACCTCCAGGTCGAGGTCGAGGTCGTGTGCGAAATCATCAGGATGAAATGCCTGAGCGGGGACGGCGATTATATATCGGTGTGTATCGAGAGATTAGTATGGAATTTTCGGGTCGCTGGGCCAAAAGGGCGCGTCGGCGGTAGCTTGACTATAACTGCAATAAACCTCGATTGAAAACTCATAATGTTTTACGCTGGTGATGATACGGTGAGCCTGTTTTGAATGCGACTTTGTAGACCATCTCGATAACAGACTTTGATGCAGTGGTGCCAAAGCATCCAGTGTAGCAATTGCAGGCCAAGGTGTTGAGTGACCGTCGACCCAGGTCTTGGCTGTTCAAAAGAGATAACTTAACTTAACCAGCAGACCTCAAGCATACAGTCTCAAAAGAATTCCAAAACGTGGTTAAAGAACTGATAAGCGTGCACATTGAGAAGTGTCAGCTGATGTTAAGTAGACGTTCTTCTGGTGGTGTCCAGGTGTAAGAAATCCTGCCTTATCTCGATCAGCCTTGCCTCTTTTAGCCTGGGCTGGCGGGTAGGTCTCGTGGTCCTGTCGAACGTCTCATTTTAGTCAGCGAGGCGTCTCAAATGAGATGTCACTTGAGCGGCTCAGAAGCGAAATGTGACGACCCCAAGCTTTGGAGACGTGGGGTTGCACCGAAAGCGGCGTCTGCATGGCTGGCACATGGCACTAAGGTAGCTCTTAACTAGCAGCTGAGACTCCAACCCCTCCGCCGTTCTCTGTGCCCGAGAGCCTCTGTTTGACCCTTCATCATCTACAACATACCTCGAATCAATTAGTTATTTTGAGGATATTTCGACTGAAAAGATGGCTGTCGTTCTGCTCGTCGCCGTCGCCGTCGTCTTCGGATTGTTGGTGAAGGAATTTTACTCTTGGTATCGGCTGTCTCATGTCCCTGGGCCGTTCTGGCATGGAATCACTGGGTTCTCGATGGCGCGAGCTGCGCTGACTGGATCCGTTCATGAATACTACATGGAACTGCATGAGACATACGGTGAGATCACATCGTCACTCTTCATACCGTGAGCGATATGGCGAAAAGGCTGATGAAGGATGCAGGACCCTTGGTTCGTATCGGGTCCAATACTGTCATGTTCAGCGATGGTGACACGCTCAAAAAGATCTCCGGCACTCGCAGTAAGTACATAAAGGGCGAGTGGTATGCGGTCGGACGAACGACTCCAGGTGAGGATCATTTATTCTCGATGCGCGACGAGGAGAAGCGCAAGTATTTGAAGAGCAAAATGGGACCTGGTGTAAGCTTATCCCTACCCAAGATGGGCTCGAATCTCTTTGCTGACCACAAACGCAGTATTCGGGCTTGGAGAACGGAGGATTCGAAGCCGGTATAGATAAGAATGTTGCTGCGTTCGTTGACCTCATCGATCGCAAGTACATCTCGACCGCAAAGAACTTTAGACCCATGGACATGGCCAGCAAGTCGACCTATTTTGCGTTGGATGTCATCAGCGAGCTCGGCTTTGGCACCCCGTACGGCTTCCTCAAAGAAGACCGAGACCTGTATCAATATGTTGCCACGAAAGACGCCTTCTTTCCGGTCATGATTACGATGGGAAACGTACCGTGGTTGGCAACGCTTATGCACAGTTGGCCTCTGAATCTAGGATTGCCAAAGTCAGGGGACTCTGCTGGGTTTGGGGCGCTTATGGGGTGAGTAGTGTGGAACATTCCGATCCAGCGAGTAGGTGAGATGGCTAACGTCCACGGGTTAGGTTTGCTAAAACCTTTGTTGATGGACGGCTGGCTCCGGATACGAAGCCCGGTCGAGACATGATCCAGTCATTTATCAATGCTGGTCTAACGAGGGAAGAGCTGACACAGGAAGTCTACGTTGAAACGTGAGTGGTAGAGGGCCTTCTTCACCGAGGGTCTTGATCGGTTCAATAGTTGACTCTCTTCTCAGTATTGCTGGTTCTGACACCACGGCAACGGCAATTCGCATGACACTTCTGTCACTGCTATCAAATCCGCAAGCCTTCACGGCCCTCCAAGCTGAGATTGATGCCGCCGTATCCAAGAAGATGATCAGTTCTCCGATCAAAGATTCCGAGGCTAGGTTTATGCCGTATCTTCAAGCCGTGATACGCGAGGGCCTCCGTCTATACCCACCATCGACCGGCATCGTCAGCAAACAAGTCCCGTCAGAAGGGGATGTCATTCACGGATATAGGCTGCCTCCTGGGACGCAGCTGGGAGAGAATGTGTGCAGCATCGGCCGATCGAAGGACATCTTCGGACCAGATGCACATCTATTCAGACCAGAGAGGTGGATAGAGGCAGCAATGTCTGATGACGAAGGAAGGTACAAGGCGATGATTTCAACTACCGACATGGTTTTTGGGTATGGCAAGTTCTACGGCATGGGCAGGAACATTGCGTTGATGGAGTTAAACAAGACCTTTGTTGAAGTAAGCTCTTGTTGTTTTTCGTTGTGTTAAAGCTATTGCTGACGTGTTCAACTGTAGCTTCTCCGTAGGTATGATTTTGCCATTGCAAAGCCTGAAAAGCCAATGAGATTGTGGAGTGCAGGGTTTTGGATAACGCATGACTTCTGGTTGAAGATCACGCAGAGAGGCAGGTGATAGTCAAGTAGGCTTAGGTGTTGGGATATCGATCTTTCAGTATCAGTGTTTAATCTTATACCTTAACTACTGATGGTTTCACATAGTTATGTATACCAAAAGTATCGGGGATGCTATCACACCACTCATGAAGAATGGAATTGACTTGAACTTTCTGAACTAGCCATTCCCATGACCAAAGAATAAGCTTCTATGCCAAGATCTTACGGACTACGTTACCACAAACAGGCATACGACCAACCAGACCAACCGGCCTTGCTGCTTCATGATTTTTTGGTTAGTCGGTTGAGGTGTGGAGACATCAAGCCAGTACTGTGAATCTTCGAGGAGGGATATCGCCCCCTTACGCCATGCTATGCCTCGTCTTTCCCGCGCACCACCTCCGCTATCAATTTTGAAGGCCTTGCCATCGTCGCAAAAACATCTTCTATCTTGACACATTCCTCCACGATCCTTCACTCCACGGCATCTCTTTTGAGGTCTCTTCTCTGAGTCTGAAAGTCGACAGTCATGGCTCTCCGAGCAAAACCGCCCTTCTTTAATATCCCTTCGGAGGTTCTTCAGCAGATTTACCAAGAGGTCTGGGGCACGGAAACTCAGTTATTCCTACACGGCGGCCAGATGCAGATTATGCCATGTCAGGGGCCAGACGATTTCTCCGATAAACACGAAGGATTCGAGCATGCGGAATGCCTTAATGCCATTTGTAAGGACTCTACGTAGATACGCCGAGTACAGCCGGCTTGGGGTTGTCACTGGAAATGTGAGAAGATATTTCCCATATTCGGAGAAAGAAGGCGAAAACATCACATACCCTTACTTCCAATGATGTTTCTATGCAAAATGATGTGAGCTTGCCGTCTTGATACCCAGTTAAATAAGTATCCAGGGCTGGGGAGAGGCTTGCTGACATCTCTCAGGTGTTTCGATATCATTGCTTTCTTGTCTCTGCCAGCGCAGTCCATACACTTGACCGATCTGGAAGTCATTGAACATATGCTCTCTCTCGCTGCCGACGATCCAGCCAAGAGTTCCAATCGACTCGCAAACGCGCCGGGCAAAAATCACAGGTTGCTTATCTTGCCTTTGCATAACCTCAACTTAACCCTGCGACTTCCCATGCACCTACTTGGCACTCTTTACACCCCGACCTCTTCAAAACCATATGCACTTAGTGGCTCCATCATGCCTCCGGCTCGGCCTTTTGGTGCTGTTGAGGGGAGTGGTTGCCAACGACAGCATGACCAGTGGAGGCGCATATGGCCACGGATTTCGAATCTGCCTTTCCTGCAGCATTTGACACTTTGGCTCGATCACGACGATGCTTACAGCTGGAAAGTCGTGAGCGGAGAAGAGATTCTACAGGACTCAATAGACATTATGCCCACATTGACAGCTCGCGGTGCACAGGTCTCCGTCAATCTTCTTCGACTGGCGCCCGGTGAATTTCGAGATGACGAGTTCTTTGTCGGTGAGCAACCCGAATTCAGTATCCATAGACGGAAACGTTTGCCTTGGGTGATGGCTAGTCCATGCGCAGGAGAGGGAGTTCACTGGGCACATACCGAGGGAAATGGACCTCCTCCAGAGCGTACTTCAGTGTATAGAACACGCTTCCCTGACCTTGAATACCACCTCTATGATGCTTGGGGTTACGAAGTCCAAATCCATGAATATAACATTTCACTATCGGAGTCACTAATGTACTAACACTTTATGTAAGAGACCGCTACTTTGTCTTACTATTCATTAGAAAATTAGATCAAGCTCGCCCTCTTAGACTCTCGGGTGCATCGTGTCTTCCGGCCCGTTACAACTACCTAGGTACACGGGGCTCGGGCTAGATAGTGTGCCGTATCACTGTAACGATATCGCAAAGCTCAAAGAAACAGATCGTTTTCGGACTTTCAGGTTCTACCAAAGTCCGGGGGTGATTCTGCTAGACCGCTGAGATTTTCTTGTCCTGGGAGCTTTTGGTTTGAGAATCGCATCCGTATGGCGGTAGTCCATGTCAATGAAGTCTGGGGTTATCTGCAAAGTTGCTGCTACGAACCTCACAGCCAACCCGAGGAACTGGCTATGGAAACCTTCAATACGTTAGCAAAGAGCCATGACGGAAGTTGAACAGTCACATCGTCTACAAACGAAATGTTCCGAAAGACCTGTGCATTGCGTACTCTTCAGGCTTTGAAATTGGCCCGGGTACTCCACGACCGCAAGGTTACGCACCTACGACAAGTCACGGATGTGCCTACAGTCTTGTATGCGAGACCGAATTCCGATTCTGATCTTTATGTTCAGCTTCTTGTTGAGGGATTCAGCCATTTTCAGAGTTCTGACGTGAGACATTAGACTGGCGACAAGGCTTCGGACGTGTTCCATCAAGCCAATCAATCCTACCCAATTGTTGATTTCAACTGGTTTTTCGATCGATAACAGCCCCGTAATCAAACTAGTGCAGCCCCTGCTCTGTGGAGTCACCCAATGCAGCTTTCGTCTAGACGTTTAAGCGGGATTACAAAAAACATCCTCGATGCCGGACAAGGTTTGGATTGCTGACAGACGCTCCAACTGCTAAACTCCAGTCCCAATACGATTACGAAGAGACCCCCTTGAAGGATCTGCAGTAGGCCAACGGTTTTGATATATGACTTGAATATCCTGAGCGGCTTTCCGATATTCCTTCCTTTCTTCGCCACTGATTTCGCCACTAAATCGTTGCAAAATGGAGCTCCCTGCGCTGGCTGGCACGGTCTTCGCGGTTGTTGTTATCGGCTGCTACTTGCTCGAATCTTTCTTCTTCATCTCCAAAAATCCGCAGGAACCAGAGTACATTAGGCCCCGCATACCATTGATCGGTCACCTTCTCGGTCTCAATAAGTATGGCTCTGGCCACTACTTTACCAAAGTTGGGCAAGTCCCCGCCTACTTGATTTAACTTAGTGACCTCGTAGCTGACGTGATTCTATAGAGCCGACGCCAAGTCTAAGATCTTTTCTGCGCCCATCTTCTCCTTCAAGTTCTACATTATCGCAGAACGCAAGTTCATCTCGTCGATCCAACGCAATGCCAGGACAATCTCTTTTGCGCCCTTTGCAGCCAAGGCGTCACACAATTTTAGCGGTGCCGATGAGAAGGCCACTAACTTGCAAGATCACCTGGGAGGCGGCCCCGAGGCCAAAGAATTTGATCGAGTCCAGCGCACAACACTGGCAGCTGGTCCTGAACTTGATGACATGAGTCTTGTTGCAACTCAGGTGAAACTCGAAATTGTTGACAAGCTGGCTGCTGATGCCCTCAAGTCACCCGAAACAGGCATTCCGATCGATTTGTTTGCCTGGGTGAAGCACACCGCCGGGCTGTCAGCATCGGAAGGGATGTTCGGTCCTTTGAATCCTTTCAAGAACCCTGATCATGAAGCCGACTTCTGGTACTTATTTCCCTCCAGCTCTTAACTGCCTTACTCCGTGTGAGGAAATTGAGATTGAGACGAGAAGCTAACAAATGCAGGACCTTTGCTGACAAGGCACACTTGCTTCTACCCGGAGGCATCATCGCCGATCTATTTGCGAAAAAGGCAATGCAAGCAAGGGAACGCAACGGTCTACGATACGAAGAATACGTCCGTCTTGGGGGCACGGAGACGGCCTCAGGTCTCATCAAGGGCCGGTCACGCGTAATGGCAGAGAATGGAGTGTCTCCGCGTGATATTGGGCGTATCAACGTTGGCTTCGACATCGCTATGCTGGCCAACTACGTGCCAACAACCTGGTGGTCTGTCTTTGAGGTATTCTCGCGCCCGTGGCTCGTAGATGCAATCCGCGAAGAAGTCCGCAAAGCCGTCAAAAAGGATGAAAACGGGGAGCTCTGCATGGACATTTCCGTCATCAAGTCCGCCTGTCCGCTTCTTCTCTCCTCGATTCAGGAGGCGCAGCGCCTGCACACCATCCACGCACACATCCGTGAAGTTCTTCGCGACACGACAATCACAGTAGACGATAAGACTCAGCTTCTCAAGAGCGGCAACTATGTCCAGATCAACGGCATTCCCATCCTCCGCAACGAGGAAACATGGGGCTCGGATGCTACCTCCTTCGACGCCTATCGATTCATCAAGATGAAGAAGAAGCCCGACACGCCAGGCGTAGCCGCGCCAGGAGACCTGGCACCTCACTCATTTCCCATCTGGGGCGTGGCACCTCACGTCTGTCCGGCACGATGGTTTGCGACTACCGGCACAATGACACTAATCGCGTTGATGACTTTGAAACTCGACGTTGCGGTTGCACCGGAATTCAAGGGCGAGGGTCCATCCGGGAGGGAATGGAGAATGCCCGAGGTTGAAGGGCTCTTTGTGGCGTTACATTCTCCCGCTGAGCCGATTCCCATTACGGTACGGTCGAGGCAAGAATTTGAAGGCAAGTGGAGAGTTGAGACTGGAACACCAGGGACAAGATTACAGTTATCGGTGGGTTAAATAAGCTTTGAAACGTTGGTTCTCAAAGAATATTGCAACCAAGCATATGATCAAGTTGTGATGCATTCAAGAGCATGCTTCCGTGGTTCTTATTCTGTGATCTAGAAAGGCGCCTGAGGCCTAAACTCACTCAGAAGGTGTGAGTTGAGACGTGACCAGCTTGCGAGTAGCAGTTGACTGGAGGATTGCGAAATTATGACTTTATCTGGTAAGTAAGTTTTGGTTCAGACAATTATTTACTAGGGAATGCTATATGTACATATTGCATGTTGTAGTTGAACCGTGCCAGTGCCAAAGTCAATGATGTGCCCAAAAGCCAATAACTTAGGCGCGGTAGTTGTTCCAGAAGCTCAGCATGCGGGTCTGCTGGCCAGCGGTGAACTCCTCGTAGCAAGAGCTAATTCTTAAGTCAGCAAGAAACTCTGGTATTCTCAACTCGGGCAAATCACTTACTCATAGGAGTAGTCCATGTAGTTGTGGATGGGGTCAAGGCCGGCAATGCTGGGGCAAGAGTCACGGCCGGTAGGGCATCCGGAAGAAGAGCTAGCCTGGGCAGGGGTATCGGCAACGGAGTCTCCACCGTTGCAACCGCCCTGGAAGGTGTGGTACAGACCGAACCAGTGACCAATTTCGTGGGTGGCAGTCTTTCCGAGGTTGAAGTTGGTCTCGCTTCCGCCGGGAACAGTCGACGACAGGATAGTGCAGCCGTCGGCGATGAAAGCAGAAGAACCCGCGGAGGCGGTGGTGGGGAATGTGCAGATTCCGAAAGCACCACCGACACTCTTCAGGAAGTACAGGTTAAGACTGCCGTAGTCACCCTTGCGAAGAGCAGTCTTCATGGCGGTCTGGCTGCTGTAGCCGGCCCAAGCGGAGTTAATGGTACGGGTCGTCTCGACGAGGTTGAACTGGATGCCGTGAGGGGCAAAGTTGGAGTTCATCACGGCCAACTGGTCAGTGACCATCTTGTCCTACACACATATCACGCGTAAGTGATCATTCTAGTAATGTTCGCTTTCGAGTACACCCAAGGTGGAGCTAGGTCTCGAGAGCTATAGAGCTAACATGACTTACGGTGATGTATCCATTGGCCACAGTCGTGGAGGAGGCCACGATGTGGAAGTAGGTAGGGACGGTGATAGTGGCCAGAGCTGCCAGGCTGACAGTACCGTTGTTGGAGGCTTCCTCCTCGGCAAGCTTCTTGGAGATCTCGAAGTGCTCGGCGGAAGGCTCCTCAGTAGCACAGCCGAATCTGACGGCGGGCGTCACCGCGGCAGAGACGGAGGCGGCAAGAGCCGCGACGAGGGCAAGGTTGAAGTGCATGATGACTAGACTGAACCGGGGACCGGGGAGCGAACAAACGACTTGGATAGGAGCTGTGAGAGGGATGTCGAGCTAAGAAGGGGAACCTTGATGGCAAGAGAACTGGCTATATATACTCCATGATCAGTCCTCTCTTGATGAAAGTCATCTTGTCGTTGTTGAGCTTCTATTCTCGGGGCTGTAGAAATTGCCCGGTCCGTTGCAGCGAGCTGAATCGGCTTGGAACGATGCCCTAACAGGAAGTCCAATGACAACAGTACTACCAAAGTAAAAAGGCGCATCAGGTGATAGAAGGAAACCGGTAACGAGCCCGAGACTTTTCTTTCCATTCCTCCATACGCCTTCCTCATCTGGCTGATACCAAGACTCAATTGCAGCTGAAGTTGAGTTGCGGTTGTTCAAAAACCACCCGTGGGAGCCGCGGGGTTCGATATCTGCCGCCTTCTGTGTTCTGCGGTCAAGTAAGTATTGTTGATAGCCAAGCGAGAGAGTCAGGTTAGTGTGGGGATTCGTCCTAAGGCCCGGCTGAAGTTCCCTCCTTGCATGAAACGATCAGGCCGAGAGAACTAAACATGCTCATTGCTCGTCGTAATACGGTCGGGCGCCGGCTTCGACCGATAAGCTTAATTTGATCTGTTGATCAACTTGATCGTATTGAGGGGCCGGGCGGCAGACGTGGGATAAGTCTTGGTGTTGGTCGAATCGCAGACAAGCTTCACAACTGGCGCTAGCGTTGTGTGGTTGCAGTGTATTTATTCAACTGCTTGTTACTGCTAGTATGCCAAGCACTGCCAAGACGGCCTTTCGTCCAACTGTAGGAGCACGATAGAACCTGCCTATTTAAGCAACAACTTGGTAACACTGATGACTGAGCTTGCTTCTTTTATTATCGGCCATTGGTTTGAGGAACAGGATGAAAACTAATCATTGTCTCGGGAGAATTCTGAAGGACTTGTTTCCGCGTATCAGGCACGACGAGGCCAACCTGCATTCTTTTGAGGAGCTGCTTGCAGGTAGATAAAAGCTTTGATTCCCGGTGTTTCCACACTTGAACATAAGAGACAAAGACATCTTAGCAATTGTCTTACTTGAATTTGAGTTGTTCTGGCCAAATAAGGTTGGAATACATGCAACAAGATAGAATTGAATTTGAACTTTAGCAGTGAAGGTATCGCAACTCCTCATTGGCGCCTTAGTCTGTGGCGTTTACTATACGGAGCCCTCAGACTGGATCTGCACTTGAAAAGCCTTACGCTCCAACTTGAAGTACACTTGTGTATCATTACCTATGGTCATGCCGCTCCAAGGAGTCGTTGCGTTTCTCGTTGCACAAAGATCGTCTTACGGGCGTCGCCTCGCCTGGAAGATGCTGCCATAGTGGCACAAACCTTGACTACCCTACTTGGTATTAACCAATTGATAATCACTACAAATGAAGTCAACAGAAGTTGCGTAAAGAGTGCGATAATTCTGGCCAATGGTCCTTTTACATGTGGAAGATGGAAACCCCTTGGTGAAGTGAAGCCAATTGTGCCATAATCGTGCCACAGGTGAATATAAAAACAATGTGTCAATTGAATCATCTACTCAAACCAGTAAATATAACGATGGCTCCAAATTATCAGTAAGACAGAGTTTTGTTCCAGAGTTGCATGCAGAGACGTCTGCTTGATTCTATCAAACACACCATAGGTCGACGGAAGTTGCGGAGTGCACGTTATGAGCTCTCGTCAAGTCAAGTTCATTGTAACACTGAGAATGGAGGCAGGAGATCAGAGACTGTATCTATCACATTAGGCTTCCAAGTTCGACTTTTCATGATGTTTTCCCTTACAGTCTACTAGTAACTTGGAGGCACCCACCCAAGCTCCTCCATCGGCCACTGAATCCATGGCTTGTGGCTCTCGTCCAGCAGCTCCCACGCCTGTGATATGAGATGAATCGACCAGCCCTGAAGCCACCATTGGCTTTCTAATCTCTTCAGCACGACGCAGAAATGGGCATAAATACCAATAGCCGCTTGATTCGCCCTCGGTTCTTTAAGCAAAGGTAGAAACTCGTCCGAGACAAAATACTTCCAGATGAACATGTCCATAATGTCCATACCACGACCTCCGTCATGCAAAGCAAGGGCAAGAGGGAATCCCAATTCGTCAATGGCCAGATTATGGATGCGCAGCAGGTCTTTGTCAATATTACTGGCACTGACGCGTCTTCGCAGACTTTCCAAGGCGGCTGGTCGAGCTCGTGACTCGTCACGGGCTGTGAAGAATCGTTCCTTTGCGTATGTCAATAGAGGAGTCAGCGGACCCTCATAGTTCTTGGAGTTGAGGAGTTTGATGAGAGAACAAGCTCCGGATAGAAGAAACGTCCAGTCCGGAAATGCTGACTCCCAGACGACGACTGATTCTTTCAGGTAACGTCCCGATGCAAGAGCTGAGTTTTGTAAGTCAGTGTGTTGCCGGAACGCAGTCCTAGAATGATGACGAGGCTTGAAAGGACGGAGATAAAGACAATGATAGTATTTCGCGATTTTAGAAGGGTACATATATGGACGGATGACTCACCAAAGAAGATTGTGAGAAGCGAAAACAAAAACAAGTTTTCGGCATTTCGTTCGTCAAGAGTACTCATCAACTCCATTGCTTCCCTAGAAGCTGATCGGTGATAAAGTAGGGCCTTGGCCACGAGTGACTCTTTGCGTTCCGGCCGTTGATGGGCCAGATGGAGAGCGGATATGGAGAGCAAGGTTCGCATTACGTATTCGCATTTCAGCGCCATGCGCACTACAGAGACTCGCCACATCTGGCGAACGAGGTCATCAGTTGATAGTGTCATGTACACGGAGGTAGTGAAGTTATGGATAAGCTCCAAGTCGACAAAGTTGAGGGTTTGGTCGATAGCTGGCGCCGGTCTTATAGCCGCCGCTGAGGCTTCTGCGTTTCTGCCGTCGATGGATGTTCGTAAGGTGATCTGCATGCTGGGCAATGATATCGCTGTCGAGCGGCTTTGCAGAAAGTCGCAAATCACCAGGTGACGGACGCAGTTTTGGCATGCTGGCTTCAGTTCATCACACTTTGGGAGACAAATATTAGCGGGTAGAGCATAGTGAGTAGTTGTGCGAATGGGTGAAATTGCAGAAATATGGCTGAGCGGTCGTGGTGCATGGACGATCCTGAGCGCAGGTACAGTCCGGGGATCGCCAAAAGAAGGGATGGCATGCAGATGCGGCAGTTTGCCATCAGACGAACCTTGATTTTACGCCTCTTGCAAGTATGGCACCCAAGCTTGGATTTCCTATGCGGTTTCTTCGAAACTTTCGAAACTTTCGTCGCAGTCTTCTGCTCCGGAATAACCTCCATCATGTCCGAGGCCTCTCAACACCACCGTGCCGGATATGTCACCGGTTCTTATCCGTAGTTAGACGCTCTGACCTGACGCGGTCGAACCCCTGAAGCTGCAGTGTGGTCGTGGAAAGAGAAGCGAAATCTGTTGGCCGCAGATACACCTATCCAACAGGCATTCTACAGATTTCGAATTAACGAGCCAAGATTGGCGGGAAGTCGGAAGGGCGGGAAATTCCAAGATTCCGAGTCTACGTTAGCCCATGCGATTGTGTTCGCTGATGCTGACATTGGCGCCGGCCGACGAAAATGTGTGGACGGCGTTTAAAGCCGATGGAGCTCCGCAAGGCAGTGCTCGTATCGTTCGCTTAGCACCCAAGACTTCGGGTGCCAGGCCGAATGCGGGGTGGTGTCACTCGACACGTCGAAACTATCGCCTTCACTGCCCTGAGAGTAGGAATTCTAAATCATTCAGACTCGACTTGGGAAATCAAGAATCCTGGGTCTTTCTGTGCTATTTGAGATGGTTTTGCTATGAGTAGTAGAAGTATGGACCTTCCATGAGCTAGACCGAGGTAGTTGGATGGTCATTCGCTGCTGCTCTGTCTGCTCTTGGAAATGATGCAACGCTAAGATCTATAGTGGCGGATGTAATGTATTTGAAGTTGAGGCCAAGAATTTCGTAACACTGTTGTTGAGAATAATAACTAAGGTTTTAGGCAAAATTATTCTTCTTGAGGTGTTCATTTGTTACGTGTTTCTCCCGGTGGGCAGAGTGGTGATCTTGGAGAAGTTGGCTACAATTTTCTTCGGCTCAGCAGACTAATTAGTAGCCGTGATCACAGCCTCGAGGTCTGGCTTTTACGTCGACTGCAAGACACAGTCAGTATATACCTCCAGAGTAACTGATCAGTCAAAAAATAATACACGTATGGTTCTGTGTTTGATGTTTCAATCGAACCTACATGTACCCTTCAAAAATTAATTGAACAAAAAAGGCCAGGGTTTGTACGAACTAGCGGTACCTCATTGTTGAATGGAAACAGCTGGGATTTGTAAATTAGTTCTTCTCAGAGAGCCATCACACTGACTCGATTTTGCGTCACTTTCAATGTTCCAATAGATCTTTCCCCTCAGGTGAGGTATCTGTACTCATTGTTCTTCATCTCTGTTCAGCTCTTGTTCGTGTTACAAACAGATAGCTTTTGATTGACCCGTTGCGTCTTTGGTGTGTTTGGAAGCGGTCATATCGGTCTGTAGAATGACTTGTAGCTTCGTTCACTTGATTGAACAGTATGATCAAATGACCATTAAACGGAAAGGTTTATGTGAATACAGAGCGAGTATTTCGAACTAGAGGGGGAAAAGCTGCCTGGCCACTCTATTTCTTGATGTTTTTCTTAAACCACAAGCAACCGACTATGACAATTGGATCCACGCCGCATAGGCGCATATTCGCATGCAGATGTTCCCAGTTGCAGGGGTATATGCACAACCACGACCAACCAAGTGATGACATCAAACACACATTTTCTTGTCTATCCTAGCGAGAAGAGGGGTAGGAAGTGCAAGTGAAGATGGTAAGTTACCGAATGAACCGATACTCATCTGCCCCCGCTTCTTCAGCGCAACCTCTTCCCACTTCCTCGCTGGAACCTAACGTTCTTCTGCAACGCGCAACAAAAGGAGTGGAATCGCCAAATCCCATGAGACCATCTCACGGCAACGGCCATAAGCCATACCATGCAAACACCGAACGTTGAACGTCTGGCGGCTGATGAGGTAGGATCTCTCGCGAACTTGAAAGGGCCCGAAGAGGTGTAAAATTCCCCTATTCTAAGACTGTACCATCTTCCAGACTGACACCGATGGCTCATCGGTGAGCGATGTAAGTAGATGCGACACCTCGCAACCTATTTCGCAACGATCTTCACGTTGAACTTATCCATGCTTCAACAGTTTTCGTCCACAACGAGTGTGACCAGCTCCATTCGGGAATATCGCATCGAAAACGGACGAACGTACCATAAGTACAAGGATGGCAGTAAGTTTAAGATCTCAGTGTTTGAGATCTCCGAATGAAATTGAATCACAATGTACTAATTAATGATCAAATTAGAGTACGCCGCTCCCAATGACGAAAGAGAAAACAATCGCCTTGGTAGGTCATCATTTCAGTAGATTTTCGTGATATTATCTGCCTCCATTTTGACGAGAACGACACTAAATTGAACGCAATAGACCTTCAGCATAACTTGTTCATCCGCACATTTGATGATCGACTTGGTATTGCGCCACCAAACGATCGACATGCAAAGGTTGGCAGAGCACTCGACGTCGGTACTGGATCCGGAATCTGGGCTATTGACTTTGGCGACGAACACCCGGAGGCCGAGGTATGCGAATTTTACATGAATCGAAATAGAAGTCTCCCAAAGCTGACTCTTGCAAAGGTCATTGGCGTAGATCTGTCAGCTGTACAGCCTTTATTGTACGAAGAACACAACTTCCTCCAGGTGAAGCTCCCAGCTGACTGACGGCCGTTTACTAGTGTGCCACCGAATGTTCGGTTTGAAATCGACGATATCGAGGAGCCCTGGCTATTCTCGCAACCTTTTGATTACATCCACAGTCGTATGATGACGGGAAGTATTAGCAACTGGAAGCGATTTCTTCAGAGCTGTTTTGAGTGAGTCCCCGCGTCATCCTTGAGCCATTCTAAGCGCTAAGAGTAGTCACAGTAACCTCAATCCCGGCGGCTACCTTGAGCTCAACGACATCGATGCCGTTCCCGTCTCAGACGACGGGACCCTCACGGAGGATACCTCTTTAATGAAGAGCGTTCGTCTTTGTTGCGAGGCGATCGCCAAGTTGGGGGTGCCTTATGAGGAATTCGGCCGTTTCGAAGGTCTCCTCAAGGAAATTGGCTTCGAAGACGTCCACATCGAACGATTCAAATGGCCCACCAATAGTTGGCCCAAAGATCAGAAGCACAAAGAAATTGGAGTTTGGAACTACGAGAACTTTGCCCCTAATTGGGAAGGTTTCCTGATGGCGCCGCTGACCCGAGGCTTGGACTGGACAAAAGAAGAGGTGATGGTCCTCGCGATGGAGGCTCGGAAAGACTTTGCGAATAGGAACATCCATGCTTACTACAACATGTGAGTATGACTCTTTGCCACCTAGCTTATCATTAAGCTGACTTGAGTAGTTGGACCATTTATGGAAGGAAGCCATTGCCGACTAAGGGGGAGAAGCCGTCTGTTAAATAAGCCAGCAAAGGCTAATGTGGCATGGAGAAGAGATGGGTGCTTGAAGCTAAGATAATCGTGGCATTGTGCCAGCCATTAAGTGGGGTCTGATCACTAGAAAAGAGGCAAATTGATAATTCAGTCAAATCGAACTAATTCGATCAAGAACTCTATGGGCCATCGGTCAACTGGCGGGAGAGTATTCTGAGTAGACAGCCTCACGAGAATAGAAAACACAAGTCACTGAATATAGTATAAGTAAGTGTCATTCTATAAGTGTACAAAGAGGGTTGCAGAAGCAAGCCGTGTAGCCGCCCAGTACCACCCGTGCCGCTCGCCAAATGTTGTTACTTGCAGCCAGTCCTTGTCACCAGACGTACCAGGGTTAAGATGCAGATTTGAGGGCTTGTTCAGAGCCAACAGGCATTTGTTGTCCGACAAGAAGAGGGGTAATCCGAAGAGTAACGCAAGTCTCTCGATAAGGATAGATCGCCGAGAAAAGAGAGAGATGATCTGATGCGGTATGCTCGTTGGCATCTATATCTTCGACGCGATACCCCTACTAGGTACGTTTATGTGGCTCGCGCTGTCGAGATTTCAAAGATTTGCGAAATCCAGTTCTTGAGCGATCCAGCACAGCCATGGCAATTAAGAACGACGATGTACTGGCGGCAGATGAGGTGGGGTACCGTGTCAATGAACATCTGTCTACGCTGATACTGACCCTTCATCTCCTTTACAGAATGTCAACGACAATTCGTCAGTAAGCCATGTAAGCAAGAGTCTATCTCAGTGTATCATTCGCGCATTTATCGCGGAACTCATTCATAGTCGAACAGCAAAGTCTCGTTTCGTCGACGACGAGCGTGGCCAGTTCAGTTCTCGAGTACCGCATTGAGAATGGGCGGACATATCACAAGTACAAGGACGGAAGTAAGTTGCTGAAAGCACTTCCTCTCATCTTGCATCAACACTAATAAGATCAGAGTGCAACTTGCCAAACGATGAGAAAGAAAATGATCGACTCGGTAAGGTCCTCACTTGAAGGCAATATTACATCGAGGCCATGGGCTAGGTACTAATTAGACGCGATCTGGGGAAACAGACTTACAGCACAATCTATTCATCCGGACATTCGACGACCGATTAGGAACCGCGCCACCCAACGCGCGTGAATCCGAGGTCGGGAGGGTCTTGGATGTGGGAACTGGCTCAGGTATTTGGGCCATTGACTTTGGAGTTGAGCATCCCGATGCCGAGGTGAGTAGTAGACAGGATCGTCGGACAGAATCTTTCAAGTAATCGTGCGCTAAACCCACAGGTCATCGGCGTCGATCTGTCGGCTGTTCAACCAACATTGTATGAGTCTTTCTCAAGCCTACCAACTACCCTGGTTATGTTGCGAATACTAACTTCGTACCACAGCGTGCCACCAAATGTGCAATTCCAGGTCGAAGACATCGAAGAAGATTGGCACTTCTCTCTACCCTTCGACTACATCCACAGCCGAATGATGACAGGCAGCATCGCAGACTGGAAGATTTATCTCCGCCGCTGCTACGAGTAAGTCCCGCTCATCTCTTCCTTCCCACACACGCGCACAAAACCATCTTCGCCGTCTAACACACACACAACTCTACAGCAATCTCAACCCAGGGGGCTACCTCGAACTCAACGATATCGACGCAATCCCCCTCTCCGACGACGGCACCCTTACCGAGGAATGCACCCTCACAAAGAGCTTCCGCCTCTGGCCCGAAGCCATCACAGCTCTCGGGTCCCCCTTTGAGAAGTTCAACCGTCTAGAAGGCGTCTTGACCGAGGTTGGATTCGAGGATGTCCGCGTCGAGCGCTTCAAGTGGCCTACGAATAGCTGGCCGAAGGATCCCAAGTTCAAGGAGCTGGGGATCTGGAATGATGAGAATCTTGCGCCGAATTTGGAGAGTATGTTCATGGCTGGGATGACGCGCGGATTGAAGTGGAGTGAGCAGGAGGTTCATGAACTTGCTGTTGAGGCGAGGAAGGATTTCAATGATCCGAAGATACACGCTTATTTCCAGCTGTGAGTGTGCTCCCCTTCGTCTCGATTTGATACATGGCTAATTTCGGCAGTTGGTCTATCTATGGGGGAAAGCCCGCGAAGGGTTGACCTTATAACTCACGATGGGCAACTTGCAAGTTTATTGTTGCCTCGCGCAATTTCGTAGATTGTGGGGATTTTTCAATGCTATTTGAACGTTTTGGTTAGTTGACTGCCCCTTTCCCAAGGTTAGATCACATTGAAGATGAGTCCATTGAGTGACGGGAAAACTCAAGTGAGATATGGGCAGTGAGGAATCATAAAAACATTGCTTTGCCAAAGCCTCTACACATACGACCCATCAACGAATCCTCTCCCATACAGCAGAATATCCTCAAACGGATTACTCGCCCTCAAAACCCTCCTCCTCGGCTTCCCCCGGTCAACACAACTAACATACCCCGCCGAAGTCTCATTAAACCTCTGCATCCCCCTCGCAACAACCCGAAACTCGGGCACCAGCGGCCCCAACCTCTTCACCTTGCCCCCGCCCCCCTCCTGACCCTCAATCTCCGTCCCGTCCTCCCACGCCCAGAACCCATCGTCTGCGTCGCAGGGGAAATCAACCGTCAGCCGTGCCGCTACGGAAGCCGGCACGCAGTTGAACAGCTCGCGAAACTCGGGCAGCAGGCGGCGCGTGACGGGACACTCGGCGTCGAGCCAGAGGTAGATGCTCTCGGCGACGCACGAGTCCTGCTCGGAGAGTATGTGCCACATGGAGGCACCGTTGAGGTAGAGGAAGTTGCCGCTGTCGTGGCGGAGGGAGATATTGAGGCGGCGGGCTTGGTGGAGGTATTTGGGGCGGGGCCAGCGGAGGATGCGGTGGAGGGTTTGGCCGTCGGTAATCGTCAGGGTTTTGGCTTCTCTGAAGGATTCTATGCTTTCGTTGTATCTGATGGGGGTGCATTGTTAGAAAGAGGGGCTCGTTGGAGCAGGGAGAGGGAGGTGGCTTACATCCTCTTACACGACAGGAGAAGAGACATGTATGCTTGCGTCTTGTTCCCATCTACCTCACGTCCGTCTCTGATATCTTCCCATAACCTTTCGCATTTCCAGTGGTTACACCATGGGGAAGTCATCCTCTTGAACCATTTCGGGTGAGGCTGGACCTCCGCGGTAGAAGAAGACTTTTCAAAGTCTTTGGCGACTCCGATCTGCCGCTCGTCAGGCGCCTCGTGGTCCGTAATGCAGGGAGAAAACAGGAGTTTCCTGTTTCGTAGAAAGGCATGTCGTTCGACCCCGGCCGAGACCCAGAAATGCCTGTAAATCTGATTCCGTATCTCCGGAGGCAGCTGCCGAAAGAAGGTCGACTGGCCCTGGTTATGCTCTTTTCTCGGCGCTCTCGGACTGGCTTGTTGTGTGAATTCTTCGTCGACGGGTTCTTCCTTCATGGCGTTACCATCGCTGCTGCTGACCTCTTCCTTGATAGGCTCCTCTGCGATAGGCTGGTCCAAAGCCATGGAATCCTCCTCCGCCGTTTTTGTCGTGAACAGAGATGACGTTGAGAATGATGACCTGAACGATGACCTGCTGGCTAACGATCTTCCACTGATGCTTGACTTGTCATCAGGCCGTGACTTTTCCCTCACTGAAGCTTTTCTGAGAACCCGCAAGCACTTCTTAGAGGCTCTATGCAATAACAGACTCGGCCGAGTCATAATCTCGTCGAGACTCGTAACCCTGTCTTCGAGTGCCATGCTGGTCGTCTACCGTATGGTGTGGAGCCGAGCGATCGAGAGAACTCAAAAGGTTGCCCTTCTTTAAAGGGTCTTGATCCTCAAGAGGGAGGTGAAAATAGACACAGGAACATGACAAGAGGTCAGGCAAGCCAGGGGTCCCTCCGAAGGGGGGTTGAAGAGGGAAGCCAGACCTGATATAGATGAGTTGTTTGCTTCGCAGTGTCTCGGATAGCCACTTTTGCCCTCGAGGCAAGCCGTATGCAACCAATCAAGGCTGTGGAATGTTCAACCGTCCCGGTAACTTGGTATTGAAGCTCTCATACTCGTCCAACCAGAGTTGCAGTTCTGAGAGTCCGGGCAAACTTACCAGGGGGTGTTGCGGAGAGGGAAAAGGAACAAACACGCCTTGCACATTACCCACGTACCATGGCACGCCCGCCCGCTTGCTCATCTCTTCCTCTCTGCAAAGAAAGATGCGCCGATTCGTGCATGAAAAGCATGGATAAGCAAAAATTGCCCAGACCTCATTCAAAGAAAGAGCACACCCTCTTCGTGTAACCTGCCCTCCCTTGAGTTGGGGTTGGGCTGGGTGAGTGAGGCGTATGCGATAATGCGGCACATGGGGGCCCATCTTGTCCCATATTGGGGAGCTCGTCTCCAAAGGCCTAAGTTCCAACACAGAAAAGCACAAGAAAAGTTACAACCAACGAACCAACCAGCCCAACCAAATCCAAACAAAAATTGGTACCCAAAAGGAGAGTCTCCGCCGTCTGCCGCGCACTCGTTTCCATAATGGCATGGGCACATAGGGTACATCGAGACCGTGCAGCTGCCATCTCGCTGCAGGTGCTGTCACAGCGATGGGATCGCATACCTTGCTGACGAAAGGGGGCGAGTCGGCGCGGGAATCATTGCGGATCGCTTCCCGCGGTGAGACAAAGATCATCGGCTGTGTTCGCTTCAGCCTTCGAGTGCTCGTCGATTTGGTCAACTTGTGAATTCATGGTTGGTGATCACCGGGGAGTCGGGGACGAGCCCGTACACCCCTCACGCCCACAAATTGCGCCCACTTATAGGCAAGGTCACCCGTGGCTTATTCTGTCGAAACATACATTGAGCAACGAGACGGCTGCGTTTTTGCTGCTGTCTTCACAGCTCAAAAAGTGGTCGGGACTGTCGAATCGACCAAGGTGGTAACACTCGCCGGTGAATGTGATAATCTTGTCCAGGAATGAGGCGTCGGAATAGGCAAGATATGTCTTGGTTCGGCCTGTGTGATCCCGCGCCTCGTGAGCATGACACGACCGTGTGTGAGTGTCTCACGGATGGAAGAAATGCATGTTTTCTGCCCTTGACATTCCTGAATCTCAGCGACTCCAAAGGGAAACGGTCTTGCGTGCAGATGTAACCTGGAAGCCTATATCTCTGGGGAGATCACGCCCGTTGCATGTGCAGGCTGCATGGCCTCAAGCTGTCACTGTTACCTCGCCGTTGGCACATACGGGTGGATGTGCGAATGCTTCGATACATTAAGGTAGTTGATGAGGAGCCGCCGCAACGCCGTTGAAAGGCTCGGCCCTGCCCATGGCGACCTTGAAGGTGTGCGAGACAATCGACTATTGGCCCGCCTCCCGTCGACGGCGTTCTTTTCTCCTCACTGGACCGCCTTCATGTTCTCTCCACGCATCCGCATCGCGTGGACCACTCGATAAGGCGAACACAGTGACACCCTCTCGAGCTTCTATGATCTTGGCCCCCAAGCCCCCTAGGATCTTGTTAGGCTGACTTGTGTGTTTGTCCCCGGGGAACGGGGGGAGGGCCGCCCGGTCGACGGGCTGCCCGATGTGGTGAAGTGCAGGGCATCGACGGTTATCCTTGACGACAGCTCCGCCCGGCCGCGTCGCCAGCCGTGGAGCACTGGAGACCACTGGGGGCAGAAAGCGCCTAGAGTATTGAACAGGTCGAGACGGCCCAACGACCCGTACATTGGTTTGCTGTAAGATGACGATGAAGAGACCGTATTGAGTGTTTGTTGGAGCTTTGCATGTTTGAAAGGGCCAGGTCTCGGTTTTTTGTTAGTCTGCCCTTGTTCAGGCGGCTGACAGTGTCGTATCGTGAAAACTGCATGGATCGTTGACTCAAGGCGGCAGTTGAGAAGGTTCGTGGGCGGAAGCTCGTCGCCGTCTCCCCGTCGTACACATGTGTTCATCCTCTGTTTCTGCAAAAGAAAGTCCGTCTGTGATGAATGGGCAGCTTGACACAGCTGTGGACTCACATGAGGCCATTCAGGCAATGTCTCCGGGGCCAGAGCGTCTGGGACATTGCTGGCGTGACTGGGTCATGGATGCATCATGTATGCAGGCCCTTGTCTGCTGGTTGGTTGGTCGAGTAGTTTGCGGCACAAGTCACATATCAGCAGGCCGTCTATCCCGAGCCAGATTGAGCCAAGATGTGACCAGGGAGTGACAGTGACAGATATCGATGGTAGCGTGACGATTCAGGACCCTGAGAGATGCAATGTTGAGGTCGGATGAACCCTTGAACTCTATTCCGAGGTCTCAGCATGATGTTATGGATGAGACGGTCCGCAAGTTTACGATGGTCTTGTTGAATGACTTGGAGTCAAGAAGCTCGAGAATTGCCACACAACCGCGATTTGCATTACCTTCTATTTCAATAAGATGACACTCGTAAGTAGGTTGATAAGGGTGGTCAAACGTCAAGATGAAGGGATCACAAGATGCAGTAAGGAAAAGAAATATGTAGCTTCCCAAGTATTTTGTACCGTTCGGGGGGCGCATTTTCCGAGCTGACATAAGCTTCACCGTTTTTGGGTCGAGTTAATTGAGTTTTCCTTCCCGTCGCCTTAAGCGAGCGTGATAAGGTACCGTTAGGTAATACCCGGACCTGGGTTACAGCGACCTACAGCGACCTCCAGCGCCGGGCATTGGCAGTCATAGCGAAGACATGCTGTAACACTGCACTGCGATTGGCGATAACAGTTACCGTCGAACGGTTTAGGACTGACTCGCGGAATCAGATAACGATAAGACACCAGGGGGAACACCAGACGAAAGAAAAGGCGGGGGCGCTGGCAGCTGCAAGCACTGAAAGCAAAGCAAAGCAAAGCTTGGCTGCCCTGTGGGCTGTTGAACGAGAGGCGAACGCTTCGTCCAAGCGCGCACCTCGAAGAAAAAACAAGACTAACACAAAACGCCCGAATTCCATTTCCCCGTCGACAAAAACAAGGGCCAACCTGAGAACGAGGCGGTGCGACTCGACTCATTGCCATACCTTGACGATACCCTGGAATACACACAAATCCTAAGTGCCCACACTTCAATACGCTTCATAAGGTTTACATGGCGTTGCCTCTTTCATTCGTTTGGTAAACGCTGTTTCCAGTACCTTAGGCCACGCTGCGCAACGGGCGCCACTACGTCATGAAGTTTGCAAAGGAGCTCGAGCAAGACCTCGTACCAGGTACGCGCCCCCCTCGAGACAGATCAAACGCCGTTGTCTCTTTTCGAGTGTCTTGGTGTTCTACTTCTTCTTCTTCTTCTCCTTCTTCACTTACTGACGATGACCTCGTACAGAATGGCGCATCAAGTACCTCAATTACAAGGCCGGCAAGAAATACGTCAAGGCAGTGTCCCGCGCCATCAATCGCGCCAACGGCGGCCCCCAAAACAACACCAGCAAAAGCGAGAACCGCACCGCCGCCAACATCTTCCATAGCCATTCGCCCTTCAACAACCAGAAACATAATCACTCGAGAAGCGGTAACCCCGACGAGCGAACCTCACTCCGCCACAGCCCGGCTCCGGTCGGCTCAGCACGGCAAAAGCCCGCGACGCCAGCACGAGCGATTCCCGCATCCGCCAGCAACGAGCGTCAGGGTTTGAACAACGGTTCGAGCGATTTACAATACGGAAGCTTCGTCCATACGCCGCCTAATCATGAGACCGGAGCCCCCTTGGGCCGCAAGGCGACCTTTGAGCTGCCCGGGCCGGCAATGCGCGTGCCGTCTCACCAGAGCGATGCAAGCCCGCAGCAGCCGGTTCCTACCCAAGACGCCCAGCCGAATCGCCAGGCTTTGCAAAGAAGCGCGTCCATGATTGACGATCCGCCTCGCTCTTCTGGCCCGCCCCCGACTGAACACGAGAATACGCCTTCATCGATCCGACTCCCACACTCTGCGACAATTGGATCTGGATACAATGCTTCTCCAAGGGGTGGTCTTCGACGCCTATTTTCGAACGCGTCACCTCTGAATCGATCAGGAACGAACCCAGAGTACGGCCTCCAGGGACTGGCTATTGACCTGGTCCGGCAGAAGGAAAAGGAATTCTTTGACTTCCTCGACTCTGAGCTGGAAAAGGTGGAAGCATTCTACAAGATGAAGGAGGACCAGGCCGGAGAACGACTCTCTTTGCTTAAGGACCAACTGCACGAGATGAGGAACCGGCGGACCCAAGAACTTCATGTCCAGAAGCAACAGGCAGAAATCGACTTCTTGAACGGCGGACACGGCGACTCGGACGGTCCCCAGAAAGGCCCTCTCGGCTGGATCGATCCTGTAAAGTCCAAGATCTTCCGCCCGGGACCAAACTCCAAGGCTCTATCGAAAATGGCCCAGACCCCAGTCATGCGTCCAGAAGGCGGCGACGCGGGACGAGACTACATCCGACGACCCCACGAACACGACGTACCGTACCGGACCGCCAAACGCAAGCTCAAGCTCGCTCTACAAGAATTCTACCGCGGGCTCGAATTGCTCAAGTCCTACGCTCTCCTGAACCGAACTGCGTTCCGCAAGCTGAACAAAAAGTACGACAAGGCCGTTAACGCCCGGCCCCAGTACCGCTACATGAACGAAAAGGTTAGCAAGTCTTGGTTCGTCAACAGCGACGCTGTAGACGGCCACATCAAGGCGGTAGAGGACCTGTACGCTCGGTACTTTGAGCGTGGCAATCACAAGCTCGCGGCTGGTAAGCTGCGAAGTCTGAGTCGCAGACCAGGAGACGAATCCGGAAGTGCTTTCCGCTGCGGAATCCTCCTCGGCACTGGACTGGTTTTCGCCATCCAGGGTGCAGTCTTTGGCGGCCAGCTGCTCTTTGACGAGGATCCCGAGGTACGCTCACGCACCAGCTACCTCTTGCAGATCTACGGAGGGTATTTCCTAATGCTGCTCCTGTTCTGCATGTTCTGTCTCAACTGTGCCATCTGGACGCGGAATAAGATCAACTACCCTTTTATTTTCGAATTCGATACCCGGCATAATCTCGACTGGCGGCAGCTGGCCGAGTTCCCTAGCTTGTTCACCTTCATCTTTGGAGTGTTCATATGGCTCAACTTTAGCGAGTACGGGACGAACGAGGTGTATGAATACTACCCCGTAGTCCTGATTGCCATCTCGGTCTTTATCATCTTCCTCCCGGCGCCCATTTTCATGGCAAGGAGTCGAAGGTGGTTCGCGTACGCTCATGTAAGTTGTTCATCTCCCGCCTCTACTAGTAATTCAATCTGATCATACAAATAGTGGCGCCTGTTGCTGGCCGGTCTGTATCCAGTCGAGTTCCGAGACTTCTTCCTCGGCGATATCTACTGTTCCCTGACGTACGCCATGTGTGTAAGTGGTCATTATTATGCTCCTCTCTCTCACATATCCTCAACTGACCACGTTCAGAATGTCGAACTGTTCTTCTGCATATACGCCAACGCATGGGAGAACCCGGCTCAGTGCAACTCTAGTCACTCCAGGCTGCTCGGCTTCTTAGGCGCCCTACCTCCCATCTGGCGTTTCCTGCAATGTCTACGTCGTTACAAGGACACCAGGAACATCTTCCCTCACCTCGTCAACGGCGGCAAATACACAATGTCCATCATGGCCGCCGTCTCCCTCTCCATGTACCGCATCAACAACACCCACGGTCACCTCGCCATGTTCATCACCTTTTCCTCCATCAACGCAATCTACACATGTAAGACCCCCTCCCCCCTATCCATCCCTCCTTACCCCCATCAACACTTGTATCATGTATGCTAACAAACCCCAGCAATCTGGGACCTCTTCATGGACTTCTCCCTCCTCCAGCCCCAATCCCGTCACTGGCTCCTCCGCGACATCACAGCCCTCAAGAAGCGCTGGCCCTACTACTTCATCATGATCATCGACCCCATCCTCCGCTTCGCCTGGATCTTTTACGCAATCTTCACCCACGACACACAGCACTCCACCATTGTCTCCTTCCTCGTCGCCCTGGCAGAAGTCTCCCGCCGTGGCATGTGGACTCTCTTCCGCGTCGAAAATGAACACTGCGCCAACGTCGCGCAATACAAAGCCTCCCGCGACGTCCCGCTACCCTATCGCATCGAACCCCTCGTCGCGCCGCGGTCTTCGATCGAGGAAGACGACGACGGCAAGGACGGAAAGATCCCGGAGACGACGAGCGAGGCCGCTGTACCTCTTGGCGTCTCTGCTTCCGCTGGCGCTGCATCGGCAAAGACGACCGCCAGACCGGCGTCCGACCCCCGCGCCGAGGAGTCCGGAACGCTGCGGCAGAGAGTCATGTCTGGCATCACGCCCATTCAGCGCAGTTTCTCCAAAATCATTGCCGAGGCGCACAGGCAGGACTTTGAAAAGAGGAGGAAGCCTGTTCATGCGGAGACGGAACAGCTTGAAGAGGCGGGCGGGATGGCCAGTGACGATGACGATGAGGGGTCTGCTTCTGATGATGAGGAGGGTGTGAGGTCCGGAGGGTCAGAGGCGGATTCTATGGAGATTCGGCAGGTCAATAGTCTTGTGCGTGATCGTGGGGGGAGGTCGATTCATCATAATTAGGAGATGGTGTAGGTTGTAGAGTCTCGGCGTATGACTAACGATTAGAATTTTGGAGCATCATTACTTTGCATTAGGATTCTGTCATCACTCTCGAGAAGAGTCTATGAGAGATTGGTGCGTATATAGCTTTGACTTGGAAAGTATCCAAAATGATGCGTCTAATTTGTGCTGGTACATGTAAATCTACAAGCAATCGTTACTTCGTGCTCCCCTCGTTGACACCCACGCAGTACGCCACGCTTGAACCACCTCACTTACACTCCTCGCCTACTAAATATCTAGAGTACTTATATACGTTCACCTCTGACATCTCGACATGACCACGAACAGCTACTGCCACTCCGCATCAACCTTCTCAAAATGATCCAAGAACCCCTTGAAGAACTTGACGCCCAAACCAGGGTCAAGCGCACCCGTCGTGGCGCGGATGGAGTGCATACTCAACTGCGGCAGTCCCGCATCCGCAGCCCGAACACCCATGGCGGCGCTGAGCATGGGTCCCACGGTACCGCCGCTGCGTGTATCGTTCCGGATCTGGAACGTCTGCGTAGCACAGCCGCTCAGCTCGCCGACGCGCTGGAGGATGGCGGTGGAGACGGCGTCGGTAGTCATGTGGCCGTTGCTGTCGCCGCAAATGGCAATACCGACGTTGAGCTTGGGGATGTGTTCGTCCAGGTACAGGCCCAGGAAGTTTGGGTTTCCGGCGTGGGTCACGTCCGCAGACAAGAGGAAAGAGGATGCGAAGGTCTGGCAGAGGACGTCTGTGCCGAAAGCGACGTCGGCGTGACCGCTCAGAGCCTCGACGGCGCGCTCGATTGTAAGGGGGAGGAAGTTGCCTCGCGCACCCTGGCGGAGGAGGGATCCGATTTCCTCGTCGTCAAAGAGGGCCACGAGCTTGATTGTGCCGTCCTTGGGGTCCGAATCCGCGGCGAGGAGGGCGGTGAGTGCGGCCCAGGAGCAGAGCTTGTCATCAATACGTCCGCCAAAGATGAATTCGCGGTCGAGGCCACCCGTCTGCGCGGGCTGGGAGTCGTAGAGCTCAAGTTCCCAGTTTACGATCTCGGTGGGTGAGGCCAGACCGAGCTCCTTGGAGACGAGCTTGACCAGCTTGGGGGGCTGGGTGTTGACGAAGGCGCCCTTGGGGCCGAGGGGTTCGACGGGGGTGGCCGAGACGGCGTCCGGGTCGGAGGAGTCGAGGCCGATGATGGGCACGGCCTGAGTCTCTGGGTTGTTTTGGCCCATCATGCCGACGCCGAAGTGGGGTGCGAGGGTGGGGATGCGGGCAATGGGCCAGTCGAGGCGGACAAGCTTGGTGGACGTCTTATTGGTCTCCGGGTCGCGGACGATAACGCGGCCGCCGATGGAGAGGTCGCGGTCCCACCAGGTCTGGTTGAGGGCGCCGGCATAGGGGGCGACGCCGAGCTGGTGGTATCCGGCGCGGGTGGGCTTGGAGCTGACGGGCTTAAGCTTGGCGGTAAGTGCGTCAATGTGGCCGGCGACCATGGCGACACCGTTGCCGGGCTTGTAGGACTCCCCGACGGAGAAGGCGATAAGGGCGGAACCGTTGCGGGTGGTCCAGTATTTGCCTCCCGGCTGGAGCTTGGAAGCCCAGCTTTCGCGCGCAGGGAGCTCGGTGTAGCCCGCGGCGGCGAGCTTGTCCTTGAAGTAGGTGACGGCATGGAAGATTGTGGGGTTCTCGGAGAGGAAATCGACGAAGGGCTGGGTGTAGGCCTCTGGTTTACCGGCCGCGACGGCGCAGAGCTTGCAGGCGGCCGGGGTGGCGGCGCGAACGGTCTGGCGGACCTCACTGTAGCGGAGGGTGTTCCAGCAGGACTCGCAGACGGGGTTCTGGGAGGCTGGGCGACCGTTCATGTCGGCGAGGAGGAAGCGCGTCGAGGCCGGGCCGGCGGCAGCGGCGGTGGTGGTGGAGGAGGCGGACATGGAGGAGGGCGGCGCGGGGGATTGAGAGCGCGAAAGAGCTTCGGCGTGCTCCATTGCTTGAAGACGAAGGGAGAGAGAAGAGACGCGGGAGCGAAGGGAGTCGGGGGTGTGTTTAGTCATGGCGGGCGAAGCGTCGAGGGGATGTGTTGCTTGGACGGCGGTGTTTGAGTTGTTGACGAGAAAGCGGTTCATTGACCCTTGATGCGATGCGCGCTGGCTGGAGATTGAAGTGGATGAGGTTGAACGATGCCGTGGGGATGTCTGGTTGATGTTATGGAGAGTAGGGATATCAAGGTCAGATACACAGGGTTCAAAGAGGTGGAGTGGGAATCGTAGAGGTTGGCCGTTAAAGACACCTCAGCTGGAGCTTCCCGTCCGAGTCGGTCACAGGCACAACATTCAAGAGGGCAGGCGGCAGGCGCAGGAACGAGGCACGGGGCAGCTGGAACCGAGCGGATCTGCGACCCGCCGGAAGCTTCGATTGGCTCCGGCGAATGACTCTACGTCGATACGGGCCGGCCTGTCTGGGGTCTTTACCTTATCGCCTCGGTACGTCCCTTATCGCATAGCATTGGATCCGTTGCCATGGGGCCGGCGAGGGGGGCACGGGGGGGGGGGCAGAGCTTGGCCATTTCTAGCAGGTCACTCGATCTGTGCTTAGATAAGTTACTTAGGTAAGCCGCGATAGTGGACCTGCGCAATCTAGGCGACAATGGTGTCATTTGAGTTCTCAAGGTGAGGGAGGTATCTTACATAATGAAGCTTACCTTCACAAGTTGATTGAGAAGAATGAAACTTCAAGAACTGCAGTGAAGAGTTTTCACAGTTGTGCATCTTGAGAGCGAATAGCTCCCTGGTATTCATACCTACGTCGAATGTTTAAACAACTCTTCGAAAGTAGACTCTTCACACTACTGAGTCGAATGCGGATGTTTTCCCCCCAATTTCATCATCTCTTACTCTTCGTTTCCTCGTCCTCAAATTTTCTTTACGGTGTAGAAATACGCACCTACCAGATACACGGCCATGATGTAGAGGTCCAACAGTATCCGAGTAAGGCGGGGCGTTGACTTTGGTGCTTCAGAAATGATGCCGCTATCCAATGGATGCCCACTGATCCACATCAATTGAATCCGAATGCCACAGGACCCCAACATCAACGATACAATCTTTGTCATATCCCTTGCGTACTGCCTCTCAGATCCTGATACTCATTGTCCATGGAACATCGGATTTACCGAGTATTCCCGTTCTCGTCGATAATGGATAAAGGGTGATGCTTACGGAGTAGAGCTATTGGCATTAGAAAGGACTTTGGCACCCCGGCCCGGCACCACAGACCCGGAGGTGAATACGAGCAAAGGGAAGGCGTCGGAGGCAATTGGCTCGGTCGCATTGGAAAATGCGAGCGGGGCACCGGAGGCCGGGCGGAGGAGCGGGGCTTGCAGATATCTCCGGGCCGGCCTCTCTGCAGCCTTACCCTCCACCTGAGCTAATCCGTCACTCGTATCCATAGACTGTCGGTCCTCGTAGATTTTATGCCATAGTGGACAATGAAAGGAGGCATCATCCTTTGCATTTGAGGCGTCAAATATGTTTTACATTGGCGACTCTCTTACTGACAACATCTCTCCCTATATCTTAGATTAGTACTTACTGCACATTAGTAAGGTAAGGTACCTTAGGTTCCTAGCAATGACAGTAGGACGTCTAGTCCAAACTTTCAATTTTGGGCTTTAATCACAAGAGTGAGCATGATATACGAGGTTCAGTTTCCTCGTGATTTTCCTTCTAGAACTCCTTTCTCAGTCATGGATGATTAGCCCATGTCATCTAAGTACCTTAGGCTATACCAGCGGCAGTCATCTCTTACGCACTTGCACACACGTCAAGCTCGAACGTGATACGTCCCACTTCCCAATCGGGCAACCCGTAGGAACTTCGAACCATCAACTTCATTTCCCCGCCACGCTAATGGTTGCAGGGCCGCTACGTGTAAGATTCTTGTGATATCTCATGTCCGATATTTCCGCATGGATAGGATCGACAAGTGAGAGAAAGCTACCAAACGCCCGTGGCTTTGTCTCAATCTGACGAATCTACCCCTCGGTTTCTTCTCTTGGATATCTGACTGCAGATAACAGGTAAAGTAGTCATGGACGGTATCGCGGATCCGAGAGCATAGTCCCTTGGGCTCGATGTCCTGTTGGGAAATGATAAAAGGAGCTCCGATCTCCCGCTCATGAAGATTCTGGGAACAAGTTCACCCAGATTATAACCACACTCCAAACTCCAAACTTCATCAGCAACAATGACGACAAAGACAAAGCAACGAACCCGCGTTCAAGTCCGCACCCTCCCCTCCTACATCCCCACAGTCCCTCCCCTCGAAGGCGAAGAAAGCATCAACGCCGCAAAAGAAGCAGCCTCCTTCCTCGACCAGTTCTCCTCCGCCATCCGCGACGGCGACTGGGACGCTTTTGGAAAGCTCTTTGCCGAAAAGTGTTTCTGGAAAGACCACTTGACTCTCACCTTTGACAAGCGAACGATCCACACCCGAAACGATGTCGTCGCAGCATGGAAGACCCTCTCCAAGACACGTTATCCCTCGGCGTTCTCTAGCAACGAAGACAAAGATATGGACATGAGTGCCGTATGGGCTCGTCTCGGCCCCGTATTCGCAACCCTAGACGTCCCCTTCACCTTCCGCACCGAGGCGCCAGCATCAAAGTGCATCGGCCTCGCCAAGCTCATCCCTGGGCCAGATAATAAAGGCTGGCAGATCTGCGTCCTAACCACCGCCGTCATCGAACTAGACGAGAAACCCTTTGGCCCCCTCCCGCGAACAGCCCCGTCCCTAATCGATCCCTCGCAGCGCGGCAACCCCCACGCACAAGGTCTCCCCCGTCTCAAGGACGGCAACGCAGTCCTGGACGCCGTCATTGTAGGTGGAAGCTGCACCGGCATCGCCAACGCAATCCAGCTCGATGCCGCGGGCGCGAATGTAGCCGTCTTCGATGCTGAGCCCCAGGCGGGCGGGAATTGGTCGACGAGGCGGTACGAGAATGTCACGCTTCATCACCCTGCGTTTATGATTCAGCTGCCACGGTTCCCTGTGCCGGAGGAGTATCCCAACTTTCTCAAGGGGACGGATCTGACGCGGTATTATTCCTCGGCTGTACAGGAGCTGCGACTGCCTTTCTTTGGCGGGGTTGCGGTTCTGAGGAATTCGTGGAATGAGGCGGAGAAGATCTGGACGGTGCAGGTCAAAGATGTCAAGACGGGGGAGGAGATGACACTCAAAGCGAAGAACTTGGTACTTGCCAACGGATTCATGGTCGGCAATGATAACCCCCGCGTTCCGAAGCTGAAAGGAAGAGAACTCTTCGCGGGACCGGTACAACATACGACAGAGTACCGCAACCCGGCAGACTACAAGGGTAAACGCGTCCTCGTGGTCGGGGTGGGTAACTCCGCGCACGACGTCGCAGGCAACCTAGCTTCGGACCCGGATGTCAAAAGCGTCACGATCCTGCAGCGCAGCCCGACATTCCTCGTCGACTTTGCGACCGTCGCGCCTATCCTCATGATGCGGTACAAGGGCGACATCCCCGTCAACACGGCGGATTTCTTGCAGGAGTCGCTGCCGGTAGGGATGCTGCGGGACATGGCGCGCGCGGCTATCGGCGCGGCGGTCGCTGGCGCGGAGGATAGGAGTAAAGCGCTCGAGGGCTTAGGTTACGCTGTTCGGCGGGACCCGTGTTTGATGACCCAGGTGTTTGAGGAGAGGGGCAGCGCGTTCTACGTTGACCAGCCGGGGACGTTTGATCTTGTTTTTGGAGGACGGATCAAGATTGCGCGGGGCGATGCCGTTGGGTTCGTGGAGGAGGGTGTTGTTGTGAGGGATAAGGAGACGGGGAACGAGAGGGTTATGGAGGCGGATGGAGTGGTGTTGGCGACTGGGTATGAGGTTGTGGATTTGCCTTCCAGGTGGAGGGCGAGCGGGTTTGTTGATGAGGAGACGGCTGGGAAGTTGGTGAATGCAAGTGCTTATGGGGTGGATGAGGAGGGGGAGGTTCCTGGGCTTGTGACGTCTTCTGGACGTGAGTACTTTTTGCCTTGTTGTCTGTCAGCAGTCTTTGATGTTGGGAATGATGATACTGACGTGAGTGTGAACAGATTCGAATCTCTACTTTGCCGGCATTGCCATCTCTCAGGCCCGGACCAGTGTAAGTCTCCCTCCTGAAGAATACTGGGGATATGATTTTGGCTGACTTTGTTGTTTACAGTCCAAGTATACGGCTATTCAGGTGCTGGCCGATATCACTGGGCAGTCCCCGGAGAGATATGCTCGCAGCTATCTTGAGTGAAGCTGTGCGTTGCGTTCCATGTCTCGTGACGGACTGAGAGGCCCTCCAGAATATGAGGCAACGAGAGATTCAAGATGATGCTGAAAGAGACAGTATCAATAGAATTTTCGATACAACTTTACCCAAAGCCATGATTCTGATATGTGACATGAGAGCGTCTTGGGGGCCAGGGTTGGGCAGACTTTATTGTTAAGCAACAATCGTCCCCTCACCTTGAGATTGACTCAAACACGTCAACTTTTCATCCCACTACACTTCGGTTCTGGACTTACCTATCAATCTCAAGGTAGAAACCGGAAACATCAACCAAAATGACTGCAAAAGCACTGCCAAATGTCGAGCGGACGACCATCGCGGGGTCAATCGAGATACCCCGCATCCTCAACGGCCTCTGGCAACTCGCCGGCGGGCACGACCAGAACATTGACGTCGCGGCAGCAGCAGATGCGATGAAGCCATTGTACGAAATACGCACCGTAGTCTCAAAAGCATTCGTGGACAAGCTCACTGACACCTTTGGCAGAATTCAGGCAGGTCTCGATGGCTTCGACATGGCAGACCACTACGGTCCCGCAGAGCTCGTCATCGGCTACCACAACCACAACCACACTTCACCCGCGCACCACCCCATCACAGCCTTTACAAAGTGGTGTCCCGCCGAAAACGGCGATAAATCCCTCGAAACGGCAGAAGCGGCCGTGGAACTCGCTCTCAATAGGTTGGGCCAGAGGCAAATCGCGCTGATGCAGTACCACGTGTGGGATTACACCGACGACACGTACCTCTGCAACCTCTCCCACCTGCGCACCCTCCAGGAAGCAGGCAAGATTGCGCATATAGGACTCACCAACGTCGACGCGGCGCACTTAGAGTTACTTCTTCACTCGGGCTACGAAATCGCTACGAACCAGGTCTCGTGCTCCGTGATTGATCGCCGGTTGACGAGGGGCCGGATGGCGGGGGTATGTACCCGGCACGGTGTAGGCGTGTTAGCCTACGGGACGCTACTTGGTGGCTTTCTGAGCGAGAAGTGGATTGGAAAGCCGGAGCCTGCGGACGATGGGAAGGGGACGAACTGGAGTCTGAGAAAGTACCTCCGCTTCATCCACGCGGCGGGCGGCTGGGATGACTTTCAGCGTGTTCTCAAGGCTGTCTCCGACGTTGCGAAAAAGCACGGCGTCTCTGTTGCGGCGGTAGCGGTGAGGTGGGTGCTTGATATACCAGTCGTCAAGGCAGTCATCATCGGGGCGAGGTTGACTTCCGAGAGCGGGAGGTATGCCACGGATAATCTCGCTGCGTTTGGTATCTCGCTTGACGAGGAGGATCGGGGCAGGATCGAGGCTGCGCAGGCGGGGTTGAAGGATATACCGGGGGATTGTGGTGACGAGTACAGGAGGCCGCCGTTCTTGACGGCTTCGGGGGACTTGAGCCATCATCTCCAGGAGGAGGAAAGTGAGAGAGACAAGGTGGAAAAGGCTATTGCCAAGGGGAGGAGGGTTGAGTTCCGCTCGGGTGGGAAGTGGGAGCCCGTTGCTGGGTACTCGCGCGCCGTGAGATTTGGGAATGTCATACGGGTGTCTGGGACGACGGCGAACCCGCCGCCTGAGCTCCGGTCTGGACTTGAGGTGATTGGAGGGACATCTGCTCGATCTCAGGCGGTGGCGGCGCTGGATACAATTGAGGGGAGTCTTAGGCGGTTGGGGGGAAGCATGGCGGATGTGGTCCGGACGAGGGTGATGCTCCGGCAGGAAGAGGATGTGGTGGAGGTATCAGAGGCTCATGGATGGGCCTTCAAGTGTCACGGGGTACGTCCGGCTAATACCACGGTGACGGCTGGGCTCATTGGGGATGAGGTTCTTGTTGAGATTGAAGTTGAGGCAGAGGTGGGCAGTGGCAAGTCTGTGTTGGTGATCGGTGAGGATCGTGGGGTGATTTAAGTGGCGGAAGCAAGATGTACGATACTAGTTCCAAAGTCTGGCTTCCACCTTACATGATGATGATTATGCCACCACACCTTGATGTAAGTTACTATATACAACAATAGGGACTCACTTCTTGGATCAAAAATCACTTAGATCAACACGATAGGAGGGTTAAAAATGAAAAATGAAAGGGACGAGACTCGAACTCGCGCGGGTTGCCCCACCAGGAAACAGATGTTAAGCTGACCTTAACCTGGCGCCATAACCAACTCGGCCACCCTTCCGTGTGATAATCAGATGATCTGAGGTGTCGGTTTCTGCGAAATTGAGCTAGAGGTATCATTTTTGCTGTCTGGGGTGGTCTTCTTTTTGTGCGCCGCACCTTGAGGGTCCGGGTAAAGCAGTGAGAAGCCCCCGAGTGGCCGTGGCGGGGCAAAGCCGAAAGAAGAAATTTTCGACGGGTGAAGTGGACCCTCGTCCGGACCGAAGCGAGGAGCCAATGATAACAGTGCCCACGGTACGTACACTAAAAAGAGAGGCGGTCGGAGGGACGGAGGCTGCAGGGACCGACGATGACGTTTGTTCCAGTCACCTTCGCTTTCTCTCTTTTTCCTTCATTTTCTGTTCTCTTTTGCAGTCCACGGGGCATTATTCATGTAGATGAACCTCCATGGCACCAACCAACTCAATTGACCACCGGTTCGAGAATGCGATGAAGACTCATTCCACCATGCCAAGTCTCCCAAAGAGTCTGGGCTGCCTCGGCCGTCAATCACGCATCTCGGTCACCAAGGAGCCTCCCTGTTCCCCGCCTTGAGCCGTGAGGTGGTGGCATCTTTTTTTGGGAACCCCAAACTGATGGCGATTGAGATAACGATGAGATGTTGGCGACTCTTCAACGACGAGACGTTTGATTTCAACGAGTCTATGCGCGCCCAACTCATAAGAATTGAAGAGTAATACCTGACCGAGATTAATAAGAACCCAACATTCATGCGCCGCCCCAAAAGGAACCACACACGCCACAACACGTCAATCGCGAATAGCAACTAGAGGACCGCCAAGAAAGATTTCATTCTACACAGTACATTACACTCTGTGGGAAGAGTAACCGGAGCCGCCGTTGCTCACGTCCCACTCGTTCCTACGTGCCTTGATCATCTCGGTCTCGGGATGGCCGCAAGTGGGAAGAAGCTTCGTCCAGAGAGTACACACTACACAGTACACAGAGCAGCAGCAGCGCGATGAACCAACGCCAGAGCTTTTTCCAGCTTCGCCTCATTTCTCTCTGCTAAGCCGTTTTGGCTGACCGAGGCAAGAAATTTCTGGCGCACAAAGCTCCAGCTCGCACGACTCAGTACCAACCAACGCCCATGATACTGGTAGCCGTACCTTGCCTAAAGCACGAATAGATGGATGACGTTTCCACCTCGGGCAAGTGGCCACAAGACCATGTCGATTCGAAGGGCGTGATTGGCTCCAGAGAGATGAAAGCAGCCTTTCTGTTCGGGTGTCTCTCTGCTTTGCCAATTGCCTCTTCTACCTTCTCCCCACTAGCTTCCTCACCAAGATCCAAGGGCAAGGGGGGTGTTCGTGCCGTCTCTGGTCATTCAAAAAGAGGTCTGTCCGCTGTCTGACTTCTCGGCTAACAGCAACCTTGGAATGACTTTTCCAACTTTTTTGCAAGGAACATTACGGCATTGAAATCAAACAACAGACAAGTTTGGGAGTACGAAAGTATTGACTTTGGAGTGAGGCTGGCCAACAGGGAACATTGCTCCGAGCTAATTGTCATCGGGTTTCGAAATCCCATCGGAGCACTGCGCTTCTGTCGACTAATTCGCCCTGCTCCCGCTTTCACTTTGCCTGACTTTTCATCCTTCAGCTGCCACGGCCAAAACTTGCAAATATTTCTTTCGTCGACTCGTTACAGATACATCGTTGGGCGTCTATTTAGTTGCAAAAACTCCATCCAAGATACTCAACTAGACAAGCTCCCGCCGGGTATTGCCGAAGCTTCATCTGTTTCCTGCCACACTACTCCGTACGGTTACAGGCTACAACAATCCCATCTCGATCGATCCATAAAGAAGACGCCGGTTCCCACCCCTATTATACCCCTGCTATTCGTACACGCTGTCAACGGTCTAGACGAAGACCAGTGCATCTGGGCACCTCAGCTGACGACGGCTTGCATTGATCACCGCATTGAAAGACAGGACCAACTTGCATCGACGGAAACATTGGTTTAAAACACCATCGCGACACACGCATATCCGACCGCAAAAAAGCTTGTAAGAGCTTGTCAGAGGGCGGTAGACAACATTTTCGGGCTCAACGTGAAACTCTCTTCTCTTCACCCTTGAACGAACCACTCACCCCGCCGGCGCAATCCCATACCTACTACGAATACCTTGCTTAGTTCTTTACCTAATTACGAATACCCCCGGACTCGATCCCGTGTGTTTTCCCCCCTACCTCCTAATTCCTCCCAACGTCGGCTTGCGCATCGATTTATCCCCTGCGTCCGCCCACACCCCAGACCGACGGCTCAACACGCAGAGTGCAACACAGCGCACCGCAACGCGACATACCACTACAACACAAAGTAAACACCAAAGCAAAGAAGCAACACACCAAGACAGAGACCACACCACAGCAGCCATGTCGCCCGCCGCGCAAGCGCCCCCGACGGCCGCCGAAAAGGTCGCGTCCTTCTTCTCCCGCATGAGCCCCGTGCCGTCCTTCCCCGACTACACAGGCCCGCACAAGGTCGGCACCGTCGACATTGAGATCCCCGTCTCCGAGTTGGAGTCGCCCAGTCCGACCCCCTACAGCGCAACAGACATCCACACCGTCCAGTGCCGTGTCTTCTACCCCGCGGTCCCCGAGTCCAACGGCAAGCGCATCAACTGGCTACCCTCGCCCCAACGGCAGCATGTCTCTGCCTACACCCAGTTCATTGGCATCCGGCCCATGCTCGCAGACATCGTCTCGTATGTGCATTGCTTTCCTCCATCGCTCCTTTAGTATCTTCTCCAGGGGTGCTGTGCTAATGTGAACCTATCCAGATTCCTCCCGCGACACCTACACTATACCACGATCCCCGTCCACAAGAACGCCGAGATCCTCGATCCAGACACCCCGAACCGACGATGGCCGACAATGATCTTCTCCCACGGTCTTGGCGGTAACCGAAACACATACTCCCACTTCGCAGGCTCCCTCGCCTCCCACGGCATCGTCGTCATCTGCCCCGAACATCGCGACGGCAGCGCCGTGGCCTCCTTTGTCCGCATCCCCGGCAAACAAGACCAGTACTTTATGCGCGACACCCGCCGCGTCGTCCCCTACGTCCGCATAGACCACGACGCCCGCCCCGAAATCTACGAAGCCCGCGAGGACCAGCTGCGCATCCGTCTCTGGGAACTCGGCATGATCCACATGGTCACCCTCAACATGGACCTCGGCCTCGCCATGTCCAACCTCAACAAGTCCACGCCCAGCCTCACCCAGTTCAAGAACAAGCTCCACGTCCATGAGCCGGGCTGCATCCTCTTTGGCGGCCACAGCTTCGGCTCCGCGTCCATCGTTCAGCTCCTCAAGACGACATACTACGCTGAATCTTCCGCCCTCGCACACGTCCAGAAACCCTTATTCACACCGCGCCCGGACTCGGCCCTCTGCAGACAAATCACACCAAAGAACGTCACCATGCTCCTCGACATGTGGTGCTTCCCGCTTCTCGCCCCGGGCTCCGCAGACCTCTTCAACCTGCCCCTCCCAGCCTACGCAAACACGTCCACCGCGCCAGGCGGCAACGCCATCCTCGCCGTCGAGTCCGACGCATTCTACAAATGGACAGACCACCTCCACGTCACAGCCCGCGTCCTCTCCCCACAACCCTCAGCGTCGGTAATCACACCACAAATCTTCCGCCGCAGCGGCGTCAGCCTACCCGAGCCAAACTTCTTCTACGTCCGCTCCTCGGCGCACCTGTCCCAGTCTGATTTCGGCATCCTCTTCCCCTGGCTCACCAAAAAGATATTCAACTCGGAGGAACCGGAGCGCGCTCTGCGACTGAACCTGCGCGCACAACTGCAGCTCATGCGCGTCAATGGTGTACCCGTGGCGCGGACGTGGATCGGTGACTTGGTGGACGGCACGGGGTCCGGGAAGCTGGGTATCTCGACCGACGAAGACGGCGATAACGGGCCTGATGACGGAGTCATGGACGATAAAGTCATCTTTGAACGGTGCGAGGGGAAAGTGCAGTATTGGAACTGGATCGACGTCATTGGTATGGGCCAGCCGGACGAGGAGGAGGAGGCGCCGCCGCCGCCGCCGGCAGACGGGTCGACGGCTACGAATGGTGCAGGGGGCGGTAGCGGTAGCGGGTCGGGCGTTAATGCGCAGGTTGCGGGGGTGGAGCAGACGGATCGCGATATGGAGGATGAGTTGGAGCCGCTTCAGGCTGTTGCGAGCGCGGCGCAGGTTGCGGCGAGGTCATGACTACGAGGGCGCTTGTGAGTGAGGCTTGGAAAGGGGAAAGAGACCTCGGTATGGGCTGCGTTGTATGAATCAGACGGGACCGATGATCAATTGTATCACGAGATGGAACCCGAGCATTGTTGTTGTATTATCAAGGGAAATTAACGTAATTAGCATCCAGTGCGTCTTTGAGAGCACCCGCAGATACCACGATTAGAATAGTATATAAATACTTGAATTTAGATATTGATTCGTAAAGGTGGACTTGCACATGTGTCGTGAGGTAAAGGTGAATGAGATGCACGAGGAATCGAGCACGGCTTGTTAGTCAAGATCAGCCAGAACATTACTATCGGTAGCTCGTCTTCACATGTTCTTCAAATCAGTCTACTAACAATCCTAGACAACTTCTCCGCAATTGGCAGATCCGAAGAGTCCTTGTTTTACTTTGGGGTATTACCCATGACGGGACCATCCGCGTTGGTAAGTAGTCTTCCCACGCTGTGGCCCTCGGCTTGGGAGTAAGTCATCCACGTCATTGAGATGAAGGCGTCAAAGACCGCGCGACGCCATGGCGGCATTGTATCATTTCTGCAACGGCCTCGTCCTTTTGCCGGCAGGACAGCAGTATTAAAATGGAGCTGGTTTCCTCAACTGCTGGAGGGGAAGAGGATCTTTTTCGATAGAAAGGCTTAGATTTCAGAGTTAGACATCATGGCACCCGTAAGTTGCAACCTCTCAAATGCATGCACAGTGGCATACGCAAGATCCTGCACCACTAACATTGTTCCCAACAGCAAAAACAACCCGAACGCCTCAAACACGTCGCCGCAAAGGCAAACTCATCCAACCCTTCGCAACTAGGCGACCCCGTCTCCCTCAAAGCCGAAGTCTCCAAGCTCTCGCCAACGGAAGAAGACCTGGGCGCAGCAGCGGACTCCAAGACGCCCCCGTCTTCCTCTTCCAAGCAGCAGTCCGGTGGTGCTGCAGGAGGCGCCAAGAACTCGGACGGCTCCCCCGTGCAGGACTATGACAAGAGACGGTTAAAAGATGTTGCCAAGGAGAACCTCGAGAGCGGGAATCCTTCGCAGTTGGGGGATCCTGTTAGTCTCAAGGCCGAGGTTACGGAGAAGGATCCGGCGCCGGGGAGGGCTGATGGGCAGAGGGTGGAGAAGTCGAAGCTGTAAGGCACATTATAATCAGTTTTCTTGATGTTTACACAACTACCCAAACCATACCTGTGACTTTGCGCTTCTGATCGGATGTGAGGTTCCAAGTCTTGAAGTTGAATGTAGAATGCATACCCAGACGGACGGGTTTCCAGAGGTCAACTCCTTGCCCCTCTTCGCATCCTGCACAGCTCCCCAAGCCCTGGATTAATGATCTGTATCCGTCCGGAGTTTCTTATTCAAGTAAGGACTGTCACTTGCTCATGTTCTATGATTGCGCCTTATGGCTCATGGGACTTGATTTCTTGGCGACTGGGATAACGCGGTACCGTGGAAGCGGAAAGGCGAAATCGAAACAGGAAGCTCGAATAGCATCCTTGGCCCAGGTAGAGGCCCCAATTTAGAATGCAATTGAGTTTGCAAAGTGAGATATCCTAGCTTGCCGTGGTCACAAGCTACACCTTGCACTGACCAAAGTTCACGACAGTCGCCGTAAACTCTCGACGAGGGTTGAGGCTCCCCGTCCACGTGTGGATATGCCATGGCTAAGACATGACATCTTTTGCCTCATCGGTCTATGACCTGACGAGCGTCGCATCACGACTCTGAATTCTATCGCACGACGTGGAATACGAGAGCGGATGCGGTCCTTATGCGCGTTGACTCGGGCGGCGTTGCTCATTTCGGCAGTTCGCTGGTGATCCTTGCTGTCCTGGGGATGCCAACGTTGCCCCGGTGGTGGAGTTGTCGACTTCATCTCGCGATTTTATCATTTAAGCTTGTCCGCCAAGCTTCCAAGGCCTCGTGTTCCACGATGGGGAATCTCCAGTGCTGAACGTCTTATCTTGGCCCGCTGCCGTTATTTCCCTGTTGCTGGGAGATTACCCTACGTATAAATAGTCAAAGTAGGTAGCGATGGCCTGTCTGGGGATTCGTGAGGTCTTCTGAGGGTGTAGCTCCTTTGCACGAACCACATCGCCAATCTCAACCGAACTCCCGATACGATGTTGTCGCGTGCCGCCGCAGCGCTGCTGCTTTCGTTTGGAGTCTCGTCGGTTCTCGCATCGCTCCGTTGCTTCAACGACGACTTGGTCGCCGTCGAGACCCCCGTCATCGCGCTCCCGGCCTACGCCAAGCGCCAGGAGTCCAAGCCGGTCGACGTGTACTTTCACGTCACCAGCACCGTAGCCAACAAGGACAGAATCACCGACGCAGTTGTCGATGCCCAGGTGTTTAATCTCTTGACCCTCATCTCCAGAAGCCACATGCTAACAGAAACCACCTATAGTTCGAGGTCCTGCACTCAACTTACCTCAAGCACGGCTTCTCACTAACCCTCGTCAACGTCTCCCGCATCGTAGACGACGTCCTCGGCAAAGGCTTCTACGAAGAATCCGGCATCGGCATCCCCGACTTCGAAGGCTACGTTGCCTGGTGCACCGCCACGCGCCGCGGCGGCTACGACGCGCTCAACGTCTACTTCTTCTCGGACCTGGGCGCCAGCCTCGGCGGGCAGTGCGCGCTCGCTGGTGTCGTGCAGGAGGGCAGCCAGCAGTTTTATACTGATGGGTGCTGGGTCAACGGCGACTCTATGCCCGGCATGACGCCCCGCAGCGGCAACGACACGGTGCCGCGGAAGGGGCATATTGCTGTTCATGAGGTTGGGCACTGGTTTGGGTTGCTGCATACGTTTCATGGAAGGCTCTGTGAGGGGATTAATGATCAGGTTGCGGATACGCCTGCGCAGGCTGGTGGGAGTGGTGGGTGTCCTGTTGGGAGAGACTCGTGCCCTGATTCGCCTGGGTTGGATCCTATTCACAACTTCATGGACTACTCTGATGATACTTGGTGAGTGAAGAAGCGATTCTTGAGTCTTGAAGCTCGGAGACGAAATTACTGACTGTTGATCTAGCACGACCGAGTTTACTCCTGGGCAGGAGGAGCGCATGCATCAGCAGTTTGATGTGTATAGAAGATGGCAGGGCTAGAATCCGGTGGCATGGCGGCGGGATGCTGCTTTTTCTCCACCAATGTTCGACTTTCCCCTCCATTAGCTTCATGCGTCGACCATACAGTGGAACCATGGGTATCAATGCGTTCAATGTTGGTACAGTGACTGAGTTCGATGTTTGGACTCTACAGGGGCCTTTTGACCCATCATGAGCTGCCTGGTTGGAACTACTGTACTACCGTGGGCGACGTTGACAGACCGTTTGAGAACATCTTCGTCGAACCTCGGTGAGAAAATGCATCGCCAATGAGCTCCTTTGCAGCCCTACTGAGTAAAGTAGGCAGAGAAAGGCGGATGGGTGGCTCGGGACCGAACTCATCGTCGGCCTGGCCGAGTTCGCTTGCACAACCAAGGCGGATTAATTGAATGAATCCTCTCAACTTCCGAGGCTGGCAAGTGTAATAAACCATACGAAGCGCATGCGCAGTGCCTGTAGACCTGCAGGTTTAAGCTCGAGGTACGCCCGCCGAACCCTCCATTGCGACACCAGGACAGCAACAATCAGGGGAGGGATGCTCGCTGTGTTGCAACTTGGGGGCCGCTCTCGTAATATCAAGCAGGTCTTACTGCCGCCCTACGATGTCCGTCACACCGAAGACTCTTGGCCGTGTACATATGCAGCTTGAGTCTGATGCACCACTAGGCCTCATGTCACGTTATGTGGCGCCTCCAACTGCAACAATTGGTTGGTTCGTTTGAGGCATCCGATTGCCTTTCCAAAGATCCTTTCGTTTCTGCCTCTGAGATTTGAGGCATTCACCGCTAATGCGAGGTATTTCAACGCGTGCTGCATGTTTTTCGGTTCTTGCATTTCCCGTGACGATTCTCCCTCTTGGGGCGTCCAGGCAGAGTTGAAGGCATACTCCCAGCTTCCAGAGTCGCACAATGAAGAAGTCACAGGATGTCGCCGGGCAATATAGGTACTAACCGTACATCCTTTCTGGATCTGGGGGGTTGCTTCTTCTCCTCTCAGTGACAGGTTCATCAAGACAACTTTCGTCTGCCAATCTCTTCCGCAACGTAGACATGGACCCACTGTCTGTCACAGCTTCGATCGTCACCCTGATCGAGGCGTCGGGTGTCGTGAGTCAATTCTGAAGTCCAAGCATGCTCAAATCGTAGGCTGACGAGTGGACTTGAAATGACTTAGCTCACAAAGTCCTTGCATAGCTTCATACATGGTCTGAGGACAGTGGACGCTAGGGTCACCAGGCTCTATGATGAGCTCAAGAACCTGACGAATCTTCTGGCATCAGTGGAGATGGTCTTGAAAGATTGTCGGTCCTACGACCTTGACAGGGTTGAAGAGGACTTGTTGCTACAAAGCGATATCGCGCTTGCAGATTGCCAGGCTACTCTGAATGGCTTGAAGATGCTCATCGAGAAGGTCAAGAGGGCGGCAGGCTCTCGGACAATCGGATGGAAGATTAAGGCCATGTTAAACCTCTCGGTCAATGGCAATGAGTTGGTGGCGTTCCAAGAGAAAATCCACAAGTCGAATGGGGCTTTGCAGACGATATTACACACCATAACTCTGTCAGTATAGCCGTTGCTTTGTTTTTGTTGACTTATGCCTCCCAAACCCGTCAAGGATGACACTAAATTGAAGGCTGCCAGCTAACCGATCACAGGTCACTTTCCCTCAAGAGTCAAGTTTCCCATACTCTGATCATAGGCGATTTGTACAGACTGAGGCAGTCTATCGACCGAGCTCATGAAATATCGGCGAAGCCATCCGAAGTGTTCACGCACAGTTTCAGTCGCCTATCTGACGCAAGACTTTCCAAGAACTTGAAAGCTCTGGCGAAAGCGGCTGATGGCTTTTACTCTACTGCAAGCTCATCTGCCGGCACATCTCGAGGAGACCGCAGCGAAAGAACCTCGCAACCTTCGTCGTCGGCCGGCTTCGGCCGGTCAGTCAATCTTTCATCTGTCAAGCGCGAAAGAATAGCAAGGTTCCTCGTCGAAGGTCAGGTTCAGAATGGATCCATGACTCCACAACTGCTTCCGCAAGTGAATACTTCATTCCACAACCAGTCGCCTCCAGAAACATGTGCCTCGCCAGTCCGAAGGAATCCTCCAGCTCCATATGACGGGAAAGATGTAAAAAGTCTCGGCGTTGCTGCTGATGAAGACGAGGAGGACGATGAAGACGATGAAGCGTCATTTAGTAGGGACTACATTCTCTGCATTCGTCAGATTGCGATTGAGAGCATCAAAGCCCGGGATTTCACCAAAGCTGGCGATATGTTGGAAAGGGCTCTGGCACGATGTAACAAAGCTACCGCAGACAAGGAAGAGCGTCGCCAGAGCAGCTACATATCAATGCGCAGCCTCAAGGTCCAGCTTGCCATCTGCTACTTTTTCCAAGGCAACTGGAAGTTGGCAGAACCTGTGGTCACGGACTTGGCATCTTCCAAGTCAAGCAGAGATAGTGTGGTGTGCAACTTGTTGCATGCTCTGGCGCTTGCGTATTTGTCAGAGTATTCCTTTGACCTTGCTCTCGATACATGCAAGCAAGCACTCAGGGGACACGCACGATTATCCAAGCTGCGCAAGACCGATGTCATCACGCAAGATCTGAACAATAGTTTGGGACTGTTGGCTACGGCCTACGACATGACTAGCGACTACCTCAGCGCAGAAGTCTTTCGACGCAGGCTCTCGCCGGGATTCAAGTATCAGCATCCAGCCAACATAACAGAATTCCTTCAAAATCACTCAGACTTTCTCACTGCGGCTCTGGGCCCGTATACCCTCGATCCTGCCTGTGTGGTTCTACCAGACTCCCCGATAGGCCAACCCAGTGAGCAGGACGCCAGGACAACTTCGCCTTCTGAACAGGAAGTGTCACAAATTCGATGGGATGGCTGGGGGACCATCAATCATCTTCCCTCAAGTCTACGACTCAATATGGTGAACCACCGGCGACTCGAACTTGATACAAACAAAGAGGTAGTTGCACACGCGAGATCGTGCGCCATTGACGGCCACACTGTTGAAGAGAGCTCGCCTACGGAAACAATCATTACAAGTCCTGTAGCGACGGCATCTTCGGCTAACACCACACCTGAGAGTTCTCCTGTGCATGATCGAATAGCTCGATCATTCAGTGCTATGGGGCTGAATAGGTCGATTGCTAGGGCGAAACCTGGTTTCGGCAGCGTCTCCGAGCTATCATTGCCAGGTGATTCTCGCCGACATAGCACCCGAGATATCAGACAGCCTACGCTTCCGAGCCAAGGAATACAGGGCGCGACCAAGCCGAAGAGTTCTACAAAGTTGCCAAGGGCCAGACATGCAGAAAGGTGGAAATGGATGAAAAGCTGGCGGATGCCTCAGTCTGACGATTTGCTCGATGAGCGACCCCGGCCTTCCAAACTCCAGAGAAGGACGACTGCCATAGTCCCAGAGAAAAGCTTAACCATTGGCGAGCGGTTAACTCCATCAAAATGGTTCCGTACCAGAAACGCTTTGATGCAGGCAAGTCCTCATCATCGCATTGAAGCAGCTGTAGAGCCCAGGCGTATGCCCACCAGGACAGCACTTCCGAGAGGATACCAAGAACTCAATGATAACACCATATTGGAGCTTGGTATCACTAGTCCTACCCCAGAGCTTGGACAAGACCAGCCGTCACCTGTCCCAGTTACAAACGAAAGTGTAGACTACTACGCATCCGTACAAACATTCGAGAACATATCAGATAGAACGGCACATGTGGATGCATGCGAGCTGCCGTCAGATTGCACTGACGGGCGAAGTCAACGCCAGTCAGACATATTCGCATCGAGCCTTTCACCCCTCTAACCCAGAATTTATGTGGGAAGAATGATGATAATTCCTTCCCGGATTCATGCAGCCCAGTACCTTCTCCGACGATGCGGCGCATAGGACCGAAATAATATAGCTAGAAGCTAATTGCGTTTCTTTCGGCAGTCACATAGGCGACGATTTCTCAATAAGACTTACTTGATTAATTCATTCTTCGATGCTCCTTCTTTTCCGCGTGAGCTGATGGACATGTACATCCTGACCGTTGGCTGCGGCCAGGAGCTCGATTAAAGACCTCCAGCCCGGAGGGCGCCGGGCTAGGCTCCACCGGGCCGTTGCAGCCCGGTATATGATCTCCACTTCCATCGGCGTTGGCCCCACATAGCGGCGGGATGACGTCGCAACCCGCAATCTCGATCTGGGCCAGTCCTTTTTTTTTATCTTTATTTCTTTCCACACACTTGGATACCACGTCCCATCCCACCATCTCCCTCCCGCGGGACTCTCTCCCCACGTGCTCCATCGCGAATCCAACCAGCTCGAGGAGTGTGAGAGAAGATGACTCTAGCTTGGCCAGAGAGGCATTTTCCCACCACTCACTCCCTAAGGCATAATCTGAAACCCCAAGCCAACAAGAGGCAGCTCGCTTGCGCTGAGTGGTCAAAGCTACGCAGGAGGAGTCCCCCCGCGTGGCGCATCTTTCACAACTTTTGATGTGGCTGCCAACTTCCAGGATTTTGTCATTGCGCTTGATGATGCCGCTGCGCAGGGGTCCTCGACGGGGGTCCTCCCCGGCTGCCTGACAGCACGGCGAGCACAACAGCCTATGGCATCGCGTCTCGACGCCTCCATCACGGACCCGTATGACGTATCCATGGGCATCTTCAGCCACACGTACGCACATGCGCAGTAACGTAAGAGAAGGGATGAGCGAGTGACGACTCTGATGATGAAAGTGTGTGTAGGAGCTGCTGCTGGTCGCTGGTGCTTGGGCTGGGCTGGGCCTTTTGGATGGACGTATATCAGGCCGATGGTCCACGTCGTGTTCGTCGTCCGTTTATGGTGTTCATCTCGTTGATCTTATTCCAGACCTGACTGTACTCTCTCCATCATCCAAACAGCCAATATCATCACATTTAGTATTCTTCATCAAAATCATTCATCATGTCTGAGTGGGCAAAGCAAACATACAACCAGCAGTACGAGAAGTGGGTTCCATGGCTCGAGGACGTCTACTTGAGATGGTTCACCAAGGACAACAAGGCCAGCTACACGACTAAGGGTAAGCCACCAACGCCTCCACGAACCTCTCCCATCACACTAGTACCTGGCTAGCTAGTAGTGGTTAAGAATCCGCACTAACATTCTCGTGTTCAGATACTCTCGACAAGAGCAAGGTCACCGGCGTCGAGCAAGTCGATACTCTCCAAGACGGCGTGCACAACCTCGCTGCCGGCCAGGTCGGTCAGGGCGGCCTTCTCCAACCCATCGGCGATATGGCTTCCAAGGAGGGCATCAACCGCGCCGAGCGCCAGGGCAAGGACGACGAGGGCGGCTACGTGCCCACCGCCGTCCCCGGCTCCGGTGCCCTGAACCAGGCGGGCAGCGGCGTCGCTGAGGGCAGCAAGACCGTTGCCGGCAAGACCACCGAGGGCGTCAAGGGTGCCGGCGGCTTCGTCGGTGGCCTGTTTGGTGGCGGTGCTGGCAAGGCCAAGCCTGAGCAGAAGTAAATACCTCATCACCAACGACCACCAACTTGGAGAAAGGAGGAGAGCTTGCAGACTTACCTGCAAACTCCATTGCGAGTCCTTGGATGGGGCGGTAGCGTATTGACGCTGTCTTTGGATCACCGGCGTTAGATTGCAACGGAATTTTGTCGATTAGCTTTGACCACAATACCCACAAACGGTCTTTGAATTGAAGGAACTCATGAATTACAATCTCCTGTCTTCACAACAACTATGACATGTCAACTGTATGAGGGCTATCTCAAGCAAACGTTATTACCACATTCGGATGCGGCGTCGACAATGCAACTGTTGGCTGGCTCATACTAGCGGATAAGATGCTACAGGTTGTTTGCTTGCCTGTACACCTGGCTGGCGGGACTGAATACCAGTTCACGACCGTTTGCTGGTCTGTCAAGGTTGCGACAAACAGTCTCTTATTCCTAGAGTCTTCTCATTTAAAATTTCCAGCATCGACCTGGTTTTCTATTCACTTTCCCAAGCCTCACATTGGTCAGCTTGCTCCCTTCCCGAGATGCGTGACCAGATCCACCAACCGGGCCATTCTGGCCTCCATTCGATCGCAACGAGATCACTCGACCTAGCTAAAAGGCTCAAGAATAGGATATCCTCCGTTCGTTCGGATTCGAGAACGCGAAGAATTCCAGTTGCAGCTCTTTCTAAGCTACAATTATTCAGTGGCAGCGACTCCTCAGAGACACTCGTGGCGTATCACGAAGCATATGACACCTCTAACGAAGATCTGCCAGGCGGCATTTCTCATTATCACGACGACAACTTGCGCAGACCTCTACCATTCGAACAGCCAAGGACGAGCTTTCTAGGTAGGCTTCCAAAAGAGATACGGGAGATCATATATCGAGAGCTATGGCGTACAGCTGGCCTTGGTCAGCACATTATCTGGACTGAGGCCGGTTTTGGACATTCCAGATGTTTGCTTGAAAGACTCGAGTCCAACATCATCGAAGGTGATGATCCAGGGGAGTTCAACTGGATGGGATCTGATGCTCGAGGGTCGGTATCTCTATGGTACAAGCGAGAGATGTCAACGTGGTGTGATCACTGGAAATGTGAAGAAGCAAAAGATGAAAGAGAAATATGGCGAGACATTGCGCGGCGCCAAACTAGTTGTGGTATCTCAGTCAGCAACTCGTCGCCGTATCTGCCCATGATGCTAACGTGTAAGACTTTGTAAGTTGCGTTTTCTACCTTGATGGAGAAAGAGATGTAGAGAATTCTTGAGACTGTTGCGCTTAAGACAATCACTTACACAAAAGCACATAGATACTCTGAATGTTCCTCGTCAATCTACAGGTCTACAGTATTCACCATCACCGACATCAATCTGGCACGGAACCTCTTCGGCGTTCGATGGAAGACGTCCAGCATTCACCCACTCCGGCGCGTCAACTTCTCATTTCGACGCCAGGCAGACCAAGGGAGCACCTTTGAGCAATGGGTAGAATCATGGAGTGCGATCCTGAGGCTCCTCGACACGCCCCAGTTGATGACGGTCAATCTCTGGCTGGACAGCGATATCTACTACGAGCGATACTGGTTGTCCGTGACCGGCAACGTCCTCCGGCGGGTCCCGGAGGCACTGGCCCACAAAGTCGCCGTCAGCCTTCCGCCGGACGGACACGGTGACCGCATTGCGGGGGCCGCGTGGCTGACGGGGTCTTGACGGCGGGGTGCCGTGGGCGGCCTCTACTGGCGCGCGCTCGCAAGAGGCGCGAGGGAGGCGAAGTGGTCAACTCTGATGTGAGACGGGCGCGGGTTTGACTTTGCGGGGGAGGATGGATGGATGGATGGATGGATGGATGAGTCTGGAACTTTTGGGTTTCCCTACCCGCCCTTACGTGAGGGAGGCAACATGTGAGATTGGCCCGACGGCATGGGTGTCTTTTTGAAGCGATGATGGGACGACGTATGGGATGTAATACCTACCGGTAGCCTAGAGGGGCTGAGGGATCGGTCTAGATTTTGTGGCCCGGGAGATGGACGACGAGGTAGCCAATTGATTCGTCTCGTTTATCTTGGAGATCTGCTCTGCCGGCAGACGCTGGACGTCGATGATCCTCGTCGTGAAACTGCTAGACGCCTCATCGGCTGATGTGCTGGGTATTTAGAGCTTGCAAAGGTTGCTAGGGAGCACCGCGGAGGGGATCCCGGGCTTCCATCTTCACACTCAATTCGGCAGAAGCGAACGAACACTTTTTCACGTTGGCGAAGAAGCGAAAGGCACGGCGGGAAACTCTATGTGGTCCATCGTCCTGTCAACGCCCAGAGGTTCGACTGACGTGCGCGTAAGCTTTGGACATCATCCGTGATGTAGACAGTAGTGTAGTAACCCAAGAACCATTCAGGTAAGTACTTTGATATAGGCCGGTGCGGTGCGTCTTCGGCGAATTCTCATAGGCACCTTTGGTCGTCAAAGACCATTGGCTGGGGGCCACAATCTCGGAGCTTACGCCGCTTCATCTCTCGGGCGGGTGAGAGAGCTTGATGGTGGTGATGTTGCAACGATGCGGGGTACAGGTAGCTTTCGGTCAGCGATGGGGTTGCGAAGAAGACTACATCGTTGCCAGCCTGTCAGGATCTTGGCGTGAGCTTGTCGTCACGTTATGGACCGCGTCTCTCGTTTGTTTGCATAGCTGATCTGTCACTGCCTCGTTTCGACATGGCAACGGAAGCGGACGGAATGTTGTAGTCCAGGACAGAATACGCGGAGTTCATGTTATCGCCGGATACTACGGATCGCAATCGTTGTCTACTTTATTAAACTCAATGTTGAAGTGATTGACCAGGGGTTGGGGAGCATTTCCTCCGAAAGCAATAGAAAAAAAGCTTGGGATATTGAAAACATTGTGAAGGTCCGAACGTCTTTGATTGAAAATGATCCACAGGTCCAAGTGGGATGGGGAGGGGTCCCGGCCGTTGCGATTCATATCCTATAATCCTGCCCCAAGTCTCCGGAGCTCGCGACATGCGCCCTACGCCCGCCGAGACTGGGTGCCCGGCCGATATGGGCCGCCATGATACGACTCTTTGACGAGAGTTGATAATCACGATGAGTAGCCTGTCAGCTGCATTCATCGAACCATGTCTTCGCACTTCCTGGTTCTTCCCCGTCACCAAAACCTGCATTAACGCGTTCGGTTCTTCGGAAGGGAGCCATATCGGAGACATCTGGGAACTCGCGTAGAATCTCAAAGACTCTCACAAGTTCGCAATTGCCTCTCTTTCTATTCCGTACAGGGGAGAGCTTTCGGCTCACGGCCGAGAATGGGAACATGGGGGCTCTATGCGCAGAAAAGACAGCACCAGCGCAGGCGGGACCCCCCCCCCGGGAGGCCCGTTTCGCGAACTTCCACCAGGGACGGCCGAAGTGGGCACGACAGGCTCGACGAGATCGGAATCCAGATGGCTGATCGGCATTCTGACAGCAACTTTTTGGCCTGGCAGACGCAAAAGCGACAGGAGGCTCTGCTTGGGTCTTATTTAGCGCCTATATCACTCTCAAACCCGGCGCCGGGGGCGTTGCTTAGATGGTGCATTTCGAGCTAGAAACCCCTTGAAAGTGGGAATTCTACCAAGGTCAGAGCTTCTATGCATATCTGCCGACTTTTCCAGAGAGCCATGGAAATCAGGTTTTCAATGATCCGGACGACAGAGGAAAGAACCGGCCTAGCTCAACACGGCGAGGGGTGATGTTTTGGGACGGCATGAGCCAGAACTAGACATGCAAGCCATATGAGTTTCCCAACTTGGGCAAAAACGCTGTGAGAAACCCAACAGACTGAGATTCCGCACCTTTCGTAGCGAGTGGGAAAGGAACCTTGGTGCAGGCTGACCCCATCCTTCTGGCGGGGGTTGCAAAAGCGAAGCTATTCACACTCTCGAGCATTTTGACAGAATGTAACCTTACCACCAGAACCTGCCACCTCACCGAACCCATATCAAACCCGTCCAGCAGGGGGCCAATGGCACCTCGCCATTAAGCTACCTACAATCAGATAGGGCCGCCGAGGATCGAGACCGCCTGGAGGCTTGAGGCTTGTCCCGAAAGCAAGATTTCTTGCTGCGTGGCCATGACTACGCCGCGCCAATTCGTTGTCTTTTCTCAAACATCGTGACTCGAGAGGGATTCCATCTGCATCCTGCAACATCGGACCAGCTTGGCCCATGCTCCCAACCTTTTCTTCCCTACAGGCCCCGGGTTTGCTGCACGTAAGCATACCATGTCGGCCGTTGGCTCACATGGGCTACTTTGATCCGGGGCGTGGGCCCTCCGCCCGCCGGATGGTATAGATGAAATACCAGCTTAGCTGCCGCATCCGGGTGTGCCGTCTAGGGCGAGGAAAGACGCGGGCGTTTCCCCCGACACCCTAGATCGCGATGCCGGATATGGCACGAGGCAAAGGATGGAGGAGTTGCGCCCGCCGCGTTCCCCATTGCAGTCACAGCCGACAGCATGTCGTTGGAGGGGTTAATTACACTAGAGATGTGCTTCACGCGTGGGCAGCAAGGAGTGTAAGCGGCGTGCGTTTGAGTCCCTTGGAAGCTCATCCTCCTGGTTCGGAGAATAAAGGCAAACTCCGGACTGGAACTTGGAATTTGGAAGGGCTGGACCTCTATAGACCTTTGAGAGACCCTGCGACCTCGCGAGAGGAACATTCGTATGCCTCAAGTTAGTACGGAGGAACCATGTGTACGAAACTAGGACTATTAGCAAGCTGTATTAATCCTGACACTGGTACTGCGTACTGCACGGCCCAACGATGTTTCGCAGGGGTCTCAACAGCGCCAGTCAGCAATGCGTCAAACATGAGTGTTCTGTGCTCGGATCTGCATCAACTATGTTGCCCTCCGAGCGTTTGTCAGTTTCCCACCCAAGACCACGGTTGAGGCTGGCGCAAGATGTGGCACAGAGGCTGCTGCTTACGCCGTCGTCTGTCATGTAAGAGGCAAGCGACATGAAGCAAGATCCGCAGATCCGTGAGCATCCGTAGAGTCAAAGATTCCGCAACCGTGTGCCGGCGCCGGCTTGTGCGGGGAGGGGCTGCTGCCGACAATCCACCAGCCTCCTCTCCGTCCGTTCAAAAGAAAGGATCAGGGGAGCAGCGTAGAGAATAGAGTTGTGGCGGGTAGCTTGCTGTCAGCGTCGCTGTCTGGATCACTGGTGCGGAGGGCTAGCAAGTTGTGCGAGGCCGGGATCAGGATAGATATTCCGTCTGGCATAGAGCAAAGAGGGGAGTGAAAGACGAGGCCAGTACGGAGTATTGGGGGTTGGTATCAAGGCAAGCGTGTGGTGCGGTGCGGTGCCTGATCTCTATCTTGGACTAAGCTCACGATGGCTACACTGTATCCGTGACAAACAGTAGCAAGCCGGGTGCGGGGGAGCGGTATCCCTGAAGGCACTGGAGATATCCGTCCAGATAATTTGGTATTAGCAAACAAAGATGCGACGGACGAGCCCCGGTCGGTTGGCGCCGAAGGGAACGTTCACTGCAACTGGCTGGTCGCTGCTTTTTGAGATTCACGCCATTGTGACGATGCTCTTCTGTCAGTCTGCCCTTGCCCTGTCCCTATATCACGCAACAGTTATAGCCTTGTGAGAATCTGCCCATAGTCGATACCGCATCATCCTTCAAGGTCCAGGTTGCGAATCTTGTTCTGCGGCACCCACGCGCACCGCCATACCAGCGAAGTTGGAACCACTCTGTGGCCTGCCAAACACTGACGATAGTGAGGTGCCATTATAACCCCCTTGACGCTGCCATGACGTCCCGTCTGCTACCTTCTGCTTTCCCGTCAACGATGACACGGGCCCAATTGTCGGCGGCGAGAATGGAGAACAGGATGAACGACCACTCCCGTCGCCTGGCTGTCAGTTCTTGTGTGAGATGGGCCTGCTGTCAACAGTGTCGCATCGTGAGGTGGAAGGGGAGCAGTCAAGGACCGGAAGGGCACGGCGCGATACGTGCCATTACCGGAGTGGAGTTTGACCGCCGCCTTGACATTCATCCGGTGCTGCTTTCCCACCGCTTTCAAGGTCGATGACGGGGATGTGATGGAGAAGCCTGGAGGTGAGAGAGGCCGGGGTCCGGCCAAGGTCGCGCCTCCGGAGCTCTGTAGATGAAATGATTTGCGGCATGACGGCCAGCCTGCATCATGTAAATGCAGTTGTGAGGTTAGGTATCTCTACGCTGTATTCTCCCAATTACCCCAAGCCCTGGATCTAGAGCTTCTTGTCCTATGGAGCTCAGCTAGACTTGCACAGCTGAGTTGTCTCTGCTTCGGCGATGGAAAATCCCGCTGCTTAGACCAAACTAAGCTCAGCTCACCCGGGATAAGGGCTGTTGCTAATCGAGGTCGCATTGGGGGCGCTCTCAGAAGTCTTCGCGCTGTGTTCGTGTGTGTGTGCTGGTGCTGCACCGCTCGGCCCTGTGCGAGTCTGGCCAAGATTGAAAAGCACCCCATGGCGAGAGGGGTGTTGAGGACATACCTATCTGTCGACTTAGACTTCAAGACCAAGGCTGTATGTTCTCAATGGGCTGGTCTTGGCACTTTCAAAAGTTCGAATGAACGCACGATATTGGACTTGGAGCTCTTCATAAGCATCCTGTTCGAGTGCCGTGAGTGCCTTCTCCTGGCGATGTTCCCTTGTCAAACGACGAGCCCCCCCCGGCGCGCGAAAATCCTTGCGATGCGCTGCCCATGTCGTTCGGGACAAGGCTTTCTTGGCGTAGCTTCCGACAGAGTCTCATCAAAGGAACTCCGTTGACGAGGATGGTGACGAGCGGATAAGTTTGGGCGATTAGACCGCCTCTATCCCGTACCTGTGAATATCTTCTTGCTCAACCCGAGTGCCTATCCGTACGGGTGTGCCTACACTACGAGAAGTGCTTGGGAATTTTTTTTTTTTTTTTTTCAGGATTTCTATCCCGCGCTGAGACATGCGGCAACCTCTTCAGCCCGCGGGCCTCGTGGCAGCATCTCCCAGGAGGAAAACCGTGGGAGTGGGAGAAATGCAACGTCGGCGAGAGGGGAGGGAATTGACTATTGGATGCGGGCGCGCTTACACCGAGGCGGTGACTGCGTAGATTCAATGTGCATAGTGGCGGCGGCGTTGTTGAGCAGGTTTCCTTGCACCAAAGAGCCCTTGCCTGGTCTCTGGTCTCGGTATGCTTTGCACCCGAGATGGAGTTCTCAGCCATTTACTTCTCAAATCAATGACATCGTGACTAGGAGTAAGTGCGGTTACAGTAAGTAAGCTTCAGGTCGGGCTTCAGGTAGAACAGATTGTTGAATAAGCATGGGAAATTACCATGAAATAAGGCCGCGCTTCTTCTTGAACCACTATCGGTTGTCGTTAGACTCCTGCGCTTCTCTGAGTCGGGCTGCTAGAGAGCGGCCACGAGGGAGGGGGCGGCGAGGGGGAATAGGGAATAGTAGCTGTCTTGGACTCTTGGTGTCGTCAAGTGTTGCTTAGCATCAACGAGGACGGACCAGAGTGGTCGCTTGGCTAGCGTCGAGAACCAAATGTGCACAACATCGGCTTGTAGCGTGGCATCCTATCGCATCTTGCCTTGCCTTACCTTTGCCTTGCCTCAAGCCATCCTACATAAGCCAAGCCGTCTGCATGGGCAGAGATTCTGTCCCTCCCCGGACCAGTCAGACCCGTCCTCTAGGCAATGGAGGGGGTCGGAATCGAATCAAGTATCTTAGCCTTCATTCCTGGCACTTGCTGGGCGGGCTGGAATGTTGCCGGGGGTCCGGGGGAGGAGGTTATCGTAGCTTTCCCTAGAACGAGGGGTTTCCGCATGCGTCGGCGAAGGGGACCGAGATAGAGAGAGTCATGTCTTGTCTCTGTACAACCCCTTCGCTGTGCCTATGTCTCCTGCTTTGGGACAGAGTGTCCTCGACGATGGAGTCACTTCTCCTGCTTCAGGTAATGCGTCCAAAGTTTGAGTTCTGAAAGGTGACTTGTCTGATGGTAAGTACCGATAGGACTTTGCAGCTCTTTGCAGCTCAGCCCCTACATCCAATATTCCACACCGCATCAAGGTGGCTCGTTCGATGGCTTGGTGTAAGTTTCCGTCGCCAGGACCGCATGGATCGTCGACGCAAAGGCAACCAGCCACACTATCTATCTTCCCCAGATTTGGAGCTCGCATTCGTAGGCCGTGCTTGCAGCAGAAGTCCGCCTTTACTCGCCCATAGTCCATACTCTGTACCTTAGGAATGGAAATCAAAGTTCGGCCCCTCCCTCCCCGCCGTCCCCGGGGTCTGATAGCTGTCTGACCTGGTCGCAGCCGGGACCCGGGGTGTCTGTTGGCCGCACGCAGTCCCACGTTCGGCGCCATCCTGTGAGACTTGGCTTGCTGTGTGTGCTACCACGCTGCAACATGCTGTTGGCTGTTGACTGGGAGGAATGTCACGGGGCGTGTGTGTGTGAGTATGTGTATTTGTACTTCAGCCTGCCTGGCTGGTGATCAGTTACAGCCAACACATGAATGAGCCGAGATGGGCACGTTCTTTGGTGTTTTGAACAGTCAACGAGTCAAAAGCTGGTTCGATGATTGCACCAGTTTAGATGTGACATTTGGGTGCCGATGACGAGCAAACCCGCTGTCGCAATTACAACTCATCGTCCGTGACCTCATGTGGCTCGAGGCCAATAGACGGCCCAGGGGATATGTGTTGTTGGTCGAATGAGATGAGCCTGGTTAATATGGGAGACGCATTATGACTAAGAAGCGAAGGAGTAAAGCCAAGTTTCTGCCCTTGTCTTGACCTCATGTCTAATCAATTTGTATGGTATGTGTGATTTGTTGGCCGTGGCACGGCAAAGCCCATTCAATGAACGTTTCGCAATTCCATTTTTCAAAGTCCCGTCAATGCCGTCGGGACGGGAGAAGCTGTAGTGAGTATAGACACAACGCATACGTACAGACGTATCCGTGCTGTATATCTCTTACGTCGGTAATCGGGTTCTACCCCCCCAAGGTCCGTAGGTATTACGCCGCTTGGTCAATCAAGCCGCCCTGTTAGAGTCCTGAGATGGGCTGGCCTTGGAACCAGGGTTTATCGCTATGAGAAAGGGCATTGAGGCGAAGATGCCATTGTCGGTATCTCTCTGGCGGGCATCCGCACAGGAAAGCTGGAGCTAGCACGGAGATGAAGACAGCCGGAAGAAGCACCTGCAGTGGAAATATACGCCGGTCCTAGAGCGACTGATATTGTTCGGAGGCCAAGAGGCTTGGAAGACGAATACTCGGAGCGCGGCCGGATCGTGGTGCCTTGGCGGGTATGGGCGGGGTGGAGTCGACAAAGTCCGCTTCGGAGAAGGAACACCACCTTTTGGCTGCTTGAGGCTTGAGCATGTGCAAGTTCGCCGCCGTATCCATAGCGGCCCGTTGTTGAGGTTTGATTCCTGTTGGTTGGCCCGGGCATGGCGCGCCTTGTCTTACATGATGGGACTCTCACCGGAGGACCGCACCCCCCACATGAGCTTGCACGTTTTTTTCCTCACCAACATGGCTTGTGGGCCTGGAGAAGGAAGAGAGAAGGTAAGAATGGAGACGGCGGCGGCGGTGGTTGAGGCGGATCCGGAGACGGGTGCCGTTTTGAGGTCCCATGCGGCCATGCCAGGCTTGAGTTGTGGAGTTGCCTGCAAGTAAGGCGAGATACTTGCATGTCAAGATGGGCCAATGGCTTGTTGGAGAGTACGGAAGAGATATCGTGATGCTTCATCGCCTTAGTGCTATGCGTAATGTAATGGGAAGTAGCTGGCGATATGCTGGAAGCAGTAGCCGCATGTTCCTACGTGTGTTGGGTCTCCTATCGTGGAGCAAAGCCTCTGATGGAAGCAAACATGCCGTTTTGGGCCTTGGCAACGAGAAGGACGGGGTTTAGGAGCCGAGAGTTGTGATTACGGTTCCGAGTTTCGTGATAACGACTTCTTGACTTGCATTGGCGCTGCATTAAGGCCACATTGTTTGGGCCCCTCGGGCCAGGGATCGCGTCACTTGCCTCTCCGCACATCGCAACGCAAACACCGGACGTGGGAAAGCAAACATGAGATTCTTCACGCGGTGACGCTGTCATGTTGGTCTTGCCCCAAAACCATTCATGATTCGGATGCCGGATCCAATGTGAACAACACCAGTTGCCCTTGGCTCACGCTCCCCTAATTTCGTGCTTCCCCATAGCATCCGGAAAGGGCAAACCGACGGGAGCGGGGGAACAAAAGGTCATGCTCATGGTCATCATGTTAGACGGGGGCTCTTCTTCGAGATGATCTGAGGGAAAATGGTGCTTTGAACGCAGTGCTGTCATCTGTCACATTGTTCGCGAGTGGACGGGGCGACATCCCCCAAGCTCCCCGGCGGGTGGGCGATTGCCGCATCTTACATCACCGTCGCAACTCGCCCCTGGCTTGCCCTGCTTAGCCAGCGCTGAATGCTGCACTGAGCTTTTGCCGGCCGCTGGACGTTGCTGCCCTTCACCGCAAACTCCATTCGGCAGTACGATGGAACGTTTTCCTCCTCTGACCGAGCAATATGGAGAATCTGGAGACGAGGGGAAAAGGGGGGGGTTTGTCTAACGGCACGAAAGGATCTCGTAGGGGTAGGGCGAAGATCACATAGGAAAGCAAGGTAACAGAGCTCAGAGACCACTGAAGCACCAGCGATGACCACACCGATCCGATCTCGTGGGAAGGATTCACCCCTAAAACCCCCCCCAAAAAACAAGGAACGAAGAAGGAATGAGCAAAGACTACGGGGTGATTACTGCATGTAGGGGGTTATTCTAGGACAAACCGGGGTGGCAGAGAGTCACTGGACAAGGGGACGGACGGCAGCCGAAGCGAGGGGGATCGTTAGTGACGAACAGGAAAATAGGAATTAAAGGAGGGCAGAAGAAAAGGCCCTGGAGATCATTACATACATACAGAGTGAAGGACAGGGCCATGTCCGTACGTGCGTTGAAGATCAATACTGGGAAACCTGGAAAAACTTGGTGACACTAGGTACGACAGGGCCGTGACAGAGTACGGAGAACGGAGGACATTACCATTGCCAGTAGACAGCGCGAGGGCGGCAGAGCATCAGCGTCCACTCGATCGTCAATGTGCCCAGGAGGACTGGGAACGTCTGTCCTGGGTCTGCCCCGATTCCCGGCCGACTATGGCGTTGGTTGGCTTTCCTACTCTGGAGACTCAAGTTTTGGTTCCTGGGCTTTTCTGGAAGGGGGTTATTACATCAACGTCCACGGGGATGATTGGCCGGGCAAGGACTCCGCGACTTTGGGGGGCGATGTGAACCGTGAACCTGTTCCGGGCTGAATCCTGACGCGACGGGCTGGGATGAGGAGCGCGTTGGTGGGATTTCCTCGGTGGATTACTGTGTAGGAAGATCGATCGAGATTTGGGGGTGTGATTGTACATAGAGAAACACGTTATTTCACTGCCTTGATGTCTGGTTCTCTAGTTTCTGCGCGGTACTGTAGTGTGTCCGGGTACTAACGACGGCGCTTGAGGAAACCAATGTTGGCGGAGACTAAGACGGCAGACAGAACTATTGTATCGGGTAGGGACCCCCATAGCTTGAGCGTTTAAACTCGTAACTCGCAGTAGAGCCGAAAAGACGGTAGTCATGATGGTGACATTTTTGCCCGGCGCAGGTAGTCTGGAAGCTTGGGCCAAGCGAAGGGCTTACGTGCAGCATAGCAGCAGGTATGGATATCCGACGGGTGGAGAGAGAGACAGAGAGAAAGAAAGGGACGGGAAGAGACCTGTGAGTGGGAGATGGTATCCGAAAGGCTGTGGTGATTCCCATTCCCGTTGTCAGGCTGGTGGTGAGAGTACGCCAGCGAGCAACGACAGCTCGACGACCGCAGCGCCGCAGACTGACAGCCATTGTGGACACTGGAGGGGCCCACGAGGGAAGGGTAAGAAAGTGGGCAATGGCGCCGTGGGAAAGGCAAGCTGAGAGAAGGACTCCATAGTATCCGCAGTACGGATAGAAGATAGACACAGGGCGACGAAAGATGGACAGGAGACAGGCGGGTTCTTGTTGAACCTTGTGGATCTACGAAGAGAAGAGTAGGACCCGGCGATGACAAGACCGACGAAAGGCCTCCTCCTCCTCTCAAGAGGAGAAGGCTACGGCGGCAGCGAGCCAATGGAGGAGAGCGGCGCGAGCACACATCCAGAAGATAGAGTGGGAAAACATGGGAGAAGGAGGAAGAGAGACATGGGGGAGAGGGAGAGACACTAAGCAGCAAAAGAGCTGCCCCGGGCGCATGCAACGTTGGACCGGGGTTCTTGTCACCATGTTGTCACCCTGTCGCAGTGTCGCCTTGTCACCCTCGTTCTTGGCCTGTCCCTGTCTGGCCCCTGGTCCTGCTCTTTTGCTTGCGGGTTCGGTGTGTGCTTGCTTGGGCTTTCTGTCTCGTCCCTCTTTCTGTCAATGGGTTGTGTCACTGCGGTATCCGTATGGCCCATGGGACATCTCCAACAAGAAGAGTTGGTCATGATATCAGCGGGTGAATTTGTTTGCCCTCAGTGAGTGGCGAAAGCTATATGGCGGTAGACATATATGCTGTGTGTGAGAGTTCACCTGCATCGGCGACTTTGCAAGTTACCATTCAGTCGTCACCGTGCGGTACTACCATGTTGGGTATTTGATTTTTGGTCTGGCGGTATCTAGTTCGTGAAGTTGGTAAATCCTGCTGCAGCTGCTTGTTGCTTATTGCTGCTTCGGCCGGCCCTTTGCATCGCATCACATCGCATCTGAACCCCGTTCTGTCCTGTCCTCAACTTCTTTGGACATGGGTGCTAGTCCCATCTTGGAATATCCGTATTCAACTCTGTGTGGTGTATTCCCGCATATCCGTACAAATCCCACGTTCTTGGGTTCGTCGTCCGAGTTCGACGCTTACTACCTAGTTCTTGCTTGGGCACCACCACTACAATCACCACAACCATCGCCTCCTCCACCTTGGCGAACCGCACCCCTCACGAACGGGAGCAGTTGAGGTTAATTTTCTCAAAAGTGTGTTGTGTCAGTGGATGTGTGTGTTTGTGTGAGTGGGCATACTACCTATACTCTATCTCAGGTACTCATCTCAGACCTGCAGTGTCGGTCTGCCTTATCTCGGCCGTGATCTCACACACACCAAGAACAAAACAATAAACACCAACATCGACAATAACATCTGCGCGTGAAGATTTACATCTTTCTCCCTCGTTTCGTTGTTTGTTGTTTTCTCGCGACTCTGACCTTTACGAAACGGCGTCGTCCCTGCGACTGTGTTCTCCCTCAGGCTTCAGCCCTCCTTCAGCCCTCAGCTCCCACTATCGACGAAACGTGCCTCGTCTAGCATCATCCCTCTCTCTCTCTCTTCATCTCACGCTCCAGCACGCTACCCGGACCCGAACTGCGGTGATCCCACGGATATCAATACTTTAGCGATACCAAGACAAGAGAAAAAAGGGCACAGACGATCGTTGGCCGCCCTGTCGTATCGTTCCCTTGGGTCTTCCCCTAGGTTTTCTAAGTACAGAACTGGCACGACTGGGATTGCCGACTCTTCCATCATCCGTGCTCCACAGAGGGTCTGGCTTTAAGCGCGACGACGGACAGCGGACGGCGGACACGAGCAAAATAGAAACCCGAGACCCTCTTGTTCGTTTATCAACCTCTCTCACCGGGCCATTCACATTGTCATTGTTCCCCGTCATTTCCATCCAGGTCGCAGATCGGGTGTGAGGACCCGAGGGTGGTGAACAAGTTCCTTGTGTCTTGTTGTTCGTATTTGCCAAAATTGGTTCGACACAAGCTCGACAAACCGTCTGTCTTTGAACAGAATTGGTGTCTAGCTCCAGAGTTATTTTCTGTCTATTCAAAAGTCTAGAGAGAGAGAGAGACAGAAATAGAGGGCGCTATTCAAGACGCGAAGAAGGGGGAAACACGATCATCATTCATCGTCACCGTGGTGCTGAATTCCCTCTTCAGGCGTGGCTTGGACTTTTCACCCACTTTCTGAGCCCAAGGCCAGGAAGGAAAGAAAAGGTACATTTACCTCGCAGGCTCCCGGGCAATCTTAGCATTCGTCGCTCTCGGCTTTCCCGACCTAGGGAACCTCCCACTCTGCCACCCTCTCTCCACCACTCATCCACTCACTCTCACTCTCAGTCCCACTCTCACACAGGCTACTTTTGCTCATTTACACACCCCACTCAGTTCACTCTTCCTGGCTCTCTCTCACACATTATCTCATTCTCAGTCTCAACTCTCACACCTCACACCTCACACCTCACACAGTCGCACACCCCCCTCCCTGGTCACTCTCACTCCCACTCCCACTCACTCTCAGTCTCCTTCACTCTCATCCCAGCCAGAGGGGACCCCTCCCAAAGGCCACACTCAAGGTGACAGAGCGCTAAAAGGCACCTCACATCCGGCAGCCGCTGGCCCTGAGAGCTCAGCTGAAGCGCCCAAGAACTCTCCCCCCAAGTACCAAATCTCAACATTTCGCCCCGTCGACCCGCGCGAAACTTAAGGTGCCTTACTCGCCCGCCCGACGCCCAGGGACCCGACCTATAATCTCCCTCCTCTGCCCAACTTTCCTGCTCTCGGATTGTTTCTCTCTAAATCCCACGACAGCCTCCTTCTACCTCATAACCTCACCCTCCTCCTCTTCCTTTCTTCTTCATTTCCTCTTCCTCCTTCTTCGTCCCTACTATTACGACTGCTCTTCTTCCTCGTCTTCATCCTTGACGGGGCAACAAGCTTCCATCCCATCTTGACGTTGGATCACACCCCCCCACGAAAAAAAACACCACCTATCCTGAGGACGACGACACCAACCGCAGGACATAGCCTGCCTCGCAACCTCACATCAACCGCGGTCATGCTGGACCCGTCGGCGAGCCGGCGATACCAGCCGATGGACTCGTCTACAGTCTACTCCCACTCCCGCACCCGCACGACGTCCTCGAATACATTCCCCATCCAGAGCCCGACGCCGATGCACCTACAGCAGAATGCCATGAACCCACAACAACATAACCGCCGCTCCCCCTCAGTAAACACCTTCAGCACTGCCTCAAGCATTCCCCCACCCGCCGCCTACCGTACCTCGCCCACCACCGACCTGCGTCGCTCAACTTCCTCTCGCTCCGGCGGTGGCAGCCCGCAGCCGACGGGCTACGTCGCTCTTCTCCGCAAGCAAAAGGCCACCGTATGGTGCGACCGCGCTCAGTATGAGGACCCCCGCCTCTTGGCCCAGCAGCGCGCCGCCAAGATGCGCGCCACACTCGAGGTTATCGGCGGACAGCGTACCGCCTCCGGCCTCTCCGCACCGTCTGGCGGCAGGACGAGTACCGGCATCAGTGCTACCGGCAAGGTTGCCGCCAAGATCCGCCACCACGGCAAGCCCGGAGTCGTGGGCTACGCTCCGGGAGAGCACCATGTTGGCGTCGGCGGCGTTCCCATGCGGTTGAGCGCTACCGAGGTCGAGGGCGAGGACAGCGATGACGATGATGCGGCACGCTTGCATCACAGACGGACCGGCAGCAGCGGCCGCAGTAGTACAGCGAGCCGTCGCGGCCCTGGATACCGATCATCCGGCGGTGGACGCAGGTGGAGCCCTGGCGACACGCCCGAGAGGAGCGGCAGCATGGTCGAGGACGTGCCAGAGGACGCTACGCTGGGCGACAACGCGAGTGGCAGGGCCATGACAACTGGCTCCGGAAGCAGCGGCGAGCGAGCTGACAATGTCGGCGAGTTGGGCAACACTGCTGCGGCACGACTGGCGAGCAACTCACTCATGCACTCGACTGTCACCCGCGAGAAGAGCGTCAAGGGTGCCGACGACCTACGCAGGAGGGGCAGCGTCGACGAGCGCACCACCACGCTTACCGGAGGCCGTCTTTACATCGCTAACCCCGATTAAGAGAAGCCACGCTGCCCTCGCGGCCCCGTACATATCTGTAGGGACGAGCCGCCGACTTTCGCAATACGTTACGAGCCCATCGGGATGGGCTTCATCCTCCCCACCACGACGAGAGAAACACGACTCGACATTTCTCCGACTTTCCTACTCTTTCCATGTCATCGGCAACCTGTACGAACGTCTTCTTGAGACATACAAATATGGTCGTTAAGGGGGTTGGGGGTGTTTGGAGATTTCCTTTGCTGTCACAAACTTGCATCACTCGGCGTTTTACTTGAGGATTTTTATTATTATGGGTGGGATGATACCATACAGAGACCATCCCGAGGTGACGCAACCGGCTTACCGGAGTTGCCGGGGAGAGGGATCGAAAATCGAGTCTCCTTGTCAAAGATTTCCCAACACTGTTCCGCTCTACGATCGCTTCCTACGGGCCTATTTCATCTTGTTCCTACTATTTCCTTGGCTCGGGCCCTTAAATTTTCCTAGTTGGCGACGCTCCTCACGAAAACGGACCATTGCGATCTGTTTCCTAATCTGTGGATAAGACATCAAAAGCGAGACAGGAGAGGGGACGACGCTAGCAATATCGAAGACGGTGTTTGGCGGAACGAGGGGAAGACAAATCAAGACGAACTGGTCAGGGAAAAGGGGGCGGAGGATGATACCACGGTTGAGATTGAAGGCCCGGTGAGGATTGTTTGGAATCATGGGCAACGGGGAGGAGAGGAGAGAGAGAGAGGCTGAGACAACCAGAGAAGCTCGAAATGCTCGAATATGAAAAGCCATTCCTGGGCATCGTGATTGAACAACCTTTTTACCCGTATCGAACCTATGCTATGTTGTGAAGCCGTGTGTGTGACCTCTGCTGCCCAGGAACGTAAATTTCGGGAGAATTGGTTGCCGAAAGGTTGATTCAGCCCAGCCAACCAACCTCCTGGGGGGGACAGTCAGAGACATTGTTTGTAGATGTCTCCAAAACTACGTAGAGGATCGTCTTGGCTCGTCGCGGAGAAAGGGAAGCTTTTCAGCCGACCCAGTAATGTGAGATTACCTTAATGCTTCTTCAGCCGCACGCCGTTTTCATTTGCCACAATTCTTTTTTTCCTTGGGGGGTTTTTGGGGGGAACGGTTTAGGCTAACTTTTCCCAAGCATGGCAATCTGTCGAAAACTTCCTTGGACCAACCCATTCCCGCGTGGTTGAAAATGGGAGACGCCAAACCCCATCCTGTAAGATCCGGGGATGGGAGGGTGTTGACTCGAGGCATGTGGTGAGCCGCTTGCAGTGCTACACTACTCACTTTTGGCTACTTGGTTTATCCGTACAGATTACAGATGGAGATACACTTAATTATCTAGGTAGGTACTCTGCCGGCCAAGCATGTCATGTGTTCCAAAGATAGTACACTTTTGTAGATCTAACCTCCTCCTTAGCTTCCCCTTCCTTCGGACTTGACGCCGTCACTCTCACTCTTTCTCTCTCTCTCTCTCCCCCAGTTCAGTCTCTCTCGGCGCTATCTTGTAGGTTCTCAGGTTAGGTAGCATGGGATTGTCATGCTACCATGACATTGGGGACTGTCGCAATGGGCAGGAACTACTGCGACGCTGTCAGTTCGTCTTTGACACATGCGACCTCGTGTTTCGAGGAATCTGACGGTTGACTTGTCCCAAGTTGCCGTATGGCGCCCCCCCTTTCATTCTTTGGGTTCGAACGGGAACCCCGTACTCCAAACTTTGTTTCCAAGGGTCTTTGGTCTGAGTCTTTTCGATGACATGCATTTCCTGGGTTCTCAAGTAAGTTCCTTCTGCACAGATTCCCAAAAGGCCAAAGGGTTTCGAAGCGACACATAGCGGGATATGAGAACCTCTGAAGGCAGTCGATCGCCGACGTCGCCTTCAGGCGCCCAGCAACACCACTGCCACCACCCAATGTTGATCTTCAAGAGACTATATACGAGATACATGCGTAGGCAAGGATTGGGTATCACGCCCAGCGCTCGGGAAACGCGGCGCCGTAAAGTCAACCATTTGAGGAAGTTGAGCGCTGTACAATGTACGGAATACAGATACGCCCTCCATCTGCAGGCCATCCGTCCCTGGCATGAAGTCCTCGCTTCTGCACCTCGTGCAGTCTACCTTTCTCAGGTTGTTTACCTGCATTTTTGTGCGGGTATCGCTGCGAAAGAGAACCACCGCCCCTTGCCGACAAGGCAGGGATTCCTTCCTCGCTGGCGGCAAACAATCATCATCATCATAATCAGGGTCCCTAGTTGACAGAGGGACCTACGCGCAGGGCGGGCGGCGTTGTCGATCACTTCGTGTTTGCCCGCGAAACGGATGAAAAAAAAAGACCCCTAGTTTTTATTCCTTCCCATTTCCCACCTTTTCCTTGGTGATTATCGCTCTTGTCCGTCGTCTCCGTCTGCCCCGATTAATAGTGATAGGCGCAGACAGGCACAGGGTCGCGGGTGGGGAGGCTTGAGCCTTGGCCTCTTGGGTAAGGGCATCGGGGTGAATGGAGTAACATGATGACAGGTGGGAAAGCAGAGGGTGGGAAAAAGGGAAATGGCATCATGATGTAACGTTCTGACTTGGGCCAAGACCGATTGACCCCGAAGGGCGGGTCCCCCTTCCCGGTAAGGTTTGGTTGGATGGCTCTCTTGTCTTCGTCTCTCTCTCGGTGTGGTGCGAGCGAGATGCCAGACCGCAGCTGGAGACCGAGCACTCACCGAAGATGGGGTAGCCAGCAGCCCCACATCCAGAGATGCGGCCCCGTTTATCTCCAGCCACAGGAAGACAGGTGAGGTACAAGCCACAAGGAGACGTACCTTATCCTGGCCTATCCTTATCGAGCTGACTAAGACAAGTCCTGGAAGCGCGTGCAGGTGGGGGCTCTGTTTAAGAGGGTTTGTTAGTGCGCAACTGTCGGGAACATTGAAAGTCGAGTCCTCGACAATCAACCAAACCAAAGGTGCACTCTTTAACATGGAACAATGGGGATAATACTTGTTTTGATACCTGCTCGAGATCAACTGCCATGGTCGTTCATCATGGTCGCTCAACAATAGAAATGCAGTTCTTGGGAGACATCTCTTCTACATCGAGAGTTGTAAAGGCCTTTTAACAAAGTTTCCCCTTAACGCGTCGTCCAATCTCCAGTCTTTCCACTATTAGGCCCAATCTCCCCCCTTCTGCACCGAGAAGGAGCCCTGCCACTCAAGCAATTGGTGACTACCTTATTCGTACCGGCCAAAAGACACGACCCCCCGGCCTCCTCAACGCCAAATTTACGCGTCAGTCGCGTCCCGACGGAACGTCCCCAACCTGTCAACCTCCACTAACGGTCTTTTCCACTTTGCGAGACCGACGACCTACCGCAATTGAGTCTGCAATCGCGGCCCCTTCTCAAGCCAGACGACACCAAATCAATTATTCAAAGTACCTTGCTGTCGTCCCGCCAGCGATTCATTCACTCACCTACCTATTTTCTACATTCGTCTCGGACTGCCCGATCTAGTCAATCTCCCCCACCTTACCAACTGTCACGAACGCAACTTCAGCCTCATTATACACTTTACGCGAACACGATCAACCGACGAGCACTGTCGCGACCCTTGCGACACCCGACACCCGATGCCTCTGTTCGAGATGTCGTCCAATATCCAACGAGAATCAGACATGGAGGCCGGTGGCCTGAAGAGAAGTCATGACGACTTCTCCGGTGACGAGGTCACCATCGAGGATCGCGGCTTGCAGACCGACGTCAAGCACCAGGCCACCGAAGCCGTCGTCCAACCCACCAATAAAGGTAAGAGATAGTTAATATGTCCACATTGTGGCCACAATTTTTGTTCCAACCACCCATCTAACTTCCATAGCCATGTCCCCCGGCCGTGAGATGCCCGCCCGCGACACATCGCCATGCCCAAGCAGCCCAAGCTCTCTAACTGATGCCGGCACCCTCACACCAGAGCGCGGCTCGCCCTCACCCGACCTCACACCTGCAAAGAGCACGAGTCCCCTGAAGCAGTCCACAATCGCCTTCCCCGCTTCATCATCCAACACTTCTGCCTCAAATCTGACTACCTCAACAACCCAACCTACGAAACGGAAGCGCCGGACCGCAGCCGAAAAGGAGGCCGAGGAAAAGGAAAAGGCACAGAAGAAGAAGGAGCGTGAAGAGAAAAAAGAAGCCAAACAGGCCGAGAAAGCAAAGGTCGACGCTGAAAGACAAGTCAAACAGGCCGAAAAGGCAAAGGCCGACGCTGAAAAGCAGGCCAAACAAGATGAGAAGCGTCGCAAGAAGGAGGAGGAGGAACGAAAAGTGCAACAGGAAAAGGAGAAGAAGGAGCGTGCCCAGCCGAAGCTCATGTCCTTTTTCAAGGCACCCGCCACACCCAAGAAGGATGCTGTGGTGCCTATGATGAAGATGGGGAGCCCTTCCAAATCCGCGCTTACTCCAGACACCAAAACACCCGCAGTCAAGGAGGAGTTATCAGAATATGAGAAACGGTTTAAGCCGTTCTTTGTGCAAAGCAGTGTTCGCCTGGCCAAGAGCCCCTTCGAGATGGACGACGAGGCCCACGAGGCCAAGACGAGGATATTGGGAGAATACTTTGATGGGAAGAGGGAGTCAACCCGAGCGGGCAGCTTTGACCCTGTCGAGGTTTTTCAACTTAGCAGTCGTCCTGCTCCGCGAGGCAGAATCTACCCGCCAGTGCGGTTCAGCATTGAAAAGATGCGAAAGCTCACACAGGAAGCAAGCAGCGAGGAGGACAAGAAGGCAATCGCGAAAGACATTGCAGATGCGTTGAGGACGGTCCCCACAAAGTCACTCAAGTTCTATCAGGATGTGCGACCCCCTTACAGAGGCACCGTCACCCTCCGACCCTATCAAGCAGGCAAGACTGGCATGCGACGCCTCGCCCGAAAGCCCACTCGCCGCGACCAACTCCCCGTCAACTACGACCACGACTCGGAAGCCGAATGGGAAAGCGAAGGCGAGGACGTCGACATTGACGACGACGATGACGAGGATCTCGATGCCGACGGCGAAGACATGGACGAGTTCCTCGACGATTCGGAAGACAACGGCCCTGCTCGCTTCGTGAGTGCCAACGGCCTCGAACCTGAGAGCACCGGACTCTGTTGGGAGGATCGCACACGCAAGGGTCCCAATCGTACTGTATACGAACACAGGATGGAATTCATTCTGGGTAAGCTATGTCCCGTCTCCCGATATTATAGCCGCGTTAACGAATGTTTTAAAGAGAGCCTCGAGCACCACCACAGCATCGATCCTTTCTCGACGAAATACTGGGAACCCGAACCGAAGCCCAAGCCTGTCGGCCGCCCGCCCAAAGACAAAGCGGCCAAGGCCCAAGCGACCAAGGACAAGCCGGTCAAGACCCAAGCAGCCAAAGACAAGCCTGCCGCAGACTCGAAGCCGGTCGATGCCTTCAAGGCACTTACATGCGGTGGCACAAAGAGTAGCGTACAGTCGCTGCCGAAGAAGATCTTAGAAAACAACAACCTCGAGGAGCTCAAGAAGGTCATCGAGGCGAATCCCAAGATCGCCAAAGGTGGACTGGTTGACCTCTCTTACGTTGCACTTGCTCACGCCAAAATCTCCCGCAACGACCTGAAGGAAGCCATCGCCATGATTGCAGAAAAGGTCGGCGGTAAAGGGCTTGCCGGCTCCTGGGCTATCAAGTCAGGCTTCGACGTTTGAGAGAGAGAGAGAATCGACATGTTGCGAATATTTGGGCGTATGGAAAAAGGAAGGCGT